TAGCCCGCCGGAGATCATCAACCAGTGCGACCAAGGCAGTTTCAGTCCCATGATGAGGCCTGAATCCCGACTGGAAGGGATCCAAATGGTCCGCTTCTTCCAGGCGTGCCTGGAGTTGTTCAGCAACCACTCGCTCAACAAACAAAGAGGCACAAGGTCAGATGGTTCCTACAGTTTATGCTAAAATGCAGTATAAACCATAGTCAGCAAGGTTTCCTACTCTTCAATATTACTCTTCTTTTGTATTAAGGCACATATAATGACAAAACACAGGAGACAGTGTTATCATTTGAACCACCGTTTGGTTAGCAGACTGGTAAACTGTTTATATATATACATCCTTACTCCCAAACATATAGAAGTATCTGCTTATTTACATAGGATTCCATTGCAACTGTACCATTTCAATAATGTTGTTATATGCAACTTGTTTTCTCTTCTGTTAAGTTCTTTCTTTCAACAATTCAAAGATATAATTAAAAAAATTTTAGAAAGAAAAGAAAAAAAATGTATGTCACCTTGAGCTCCTTGGAGTTGGATATCACCCAATTCCAGGTAGCACTGTACAAAATATTAAAGCACAATAAAACACCAATAAAAAAAATCCCTTCAGGTTTCTTCTAAAAGTCATAAAGTTATTTATGTGTTTGACATCCGGTGGGAGAGCGTTCCGCAAGGCAGTCGGGTGCCGCCATCGAGAAGGCCCTCTGGCTGAGATGCCAATATTCCTGGTAGCAGAGTATTGTTTCCGGGGCTGGGGAGAAATTATCCCATTTCCAAAACTTTGATGGAGTTTTAGTCAGAGCCCCAGATTTCAACACCATGGAACATCTGAGTAACCAATTTTCTGACAAAAATTAATATAAAAATATAAATAAGTGTGGGCATACTGAAAACTGTTGAATTGAACTTAATTAACTCTGGTTTCAAAGGGTCTACACTTAATCCTGATCGGACCCTTTATCACCCGCAAAAACTGCAAACAGAACCAAAGCTTCTATCCTGCAGAGGAGCGTAATATGACGATTAACAACTGCTACGTTTATTGTCTCGGCGGACCTTCCTCCGAACCGGAAGCGCTTCTTCGATCCCGGAAGCACTAGGCCGGCAGGGAAAACCGGGTGGGAGGCTATTATTTGAGCCGTGTCGAAAAGAAACGAAAGCGGCCGCGGAAGCTGGAGGGCGTCCGGGCCTCGGGTCAGTGGTTGACTGAGGGGCGCTCTGAGGGAAGGAGGGGAATGAACCGAAGGGGGCGAGGCAGGCGCGCGCGAGCCGGAGGAATGGCCGTTATGACGTTACACGGGCGGCGTATCAGCTGGTGGCGGGGGGGGGGGTGGTGGCCAGTGACGTCGTGGCTCGCGGGGTTCGTTACTGGGTGGCTGGGCAGCGTGGAGCCCCGAGTTCGAATCCACACCTCCAGCTATGATGTCGTCACCAGATGACCGTATATTTAAAGTTCACCATTTACATTATTTTAAAGTTATGTTTTGTTAAACCCTTGCCTTCCTTCCTTTCTCCAAGAAGCTCAAGGTAGCGTAATAAATTTATTACTTATACCTAGCCCATCTGGCTGGGTTTCCCCAGCCACTCTGGGCGGCTCCCAACAGAATATTAATACAGTGGTACCTCGGGTTAAGAACTTAATTCGTTCTGGAGGTCTGTTCTTAACCTGAAACTGTTCTTAACATGAAGCACCACTTTAGCTAATGGGGCCGCTGTACCGCCACTACACAATTTCTGTTCTCATCCTGAAGCAAAGTTTTAACCCGAGGTAATATTTCTGGGTTAGCGGAGTCTGTAACCTGAAGCGTATGTAACCCAAGGTACCACTGTAATAAAAATCATAAAAAGGCAATGAAACTTCCCTAAACAATGCTGCCTTCAGATGTCTTCTAAAAGTCAGGTAGTTGTTTATTTTCTTGATATCTGATGGGAGGGTATTCCATATGGCGGGCGCCACTACTGAGAAGGCCCTGTGCCTGGTTCCCTGCAACCTCACTTCTCGCAGAGAGGGAACCACCAGAAGGCCCTCGGAGCTGGATCTCCATGTTCAGGCTGAAAGATGGTGGTGGAAATGCTCCTTCAGCAGTCATGTTGGTGCTGGGGTGACTTTGCTTATTTACATTATTTCTTAAAAAATTAGTTGTGTTTTCTTAAGGCAATGCTCAAGGCGATGTACCTGGTTCTCCCCCAATCCATCCTCTCAGCAACCCTGTGAGGTAGGTCCAGTTGAGAGGAAGTGGCCAGATTTCCCCCTTCAGCAATTGGGTGACTTCATTTTATACACACACACACATTTACAGTATTAATATTAATATTTATTTACATTTATTATTCTATTTTGTATCCCAGCCTTCCTTGAAGAAGCTCAAAGCAATGTCCTTGCCTCCCTTCCTCCCTCCACCCCCCATCCTCTCAAAACACCTTGTAAGTTAGGCTGGGCGGCAGTGATGGCTCAATTCCCACCTTCAGCATTGACTTTGTCACTGGGTGACATAACCTTGTTTTTTTAAAAATAAATAAATATTAAATTGATTATTTTTATATTATTTTAAAAGTATCATTATATTTTATATCCCTGCTTTCCTCCAAAGAGCTCAGGGTGGCATACTTGGATTTCTCTCCCCCCCCCACTCCATTCCCCATTCCCCATTTTTACCTCAGCAACGCTGTGAGGTAGGTTATGCTGAGAGGTAGGGACTGGCCCAAGGTCACCCAGTCAACTTCCAGGCCAAGTGGGGATTTGAACCCTGGCCTCCCAGGTCCTAGTCCAACACCCTAACCACCTCACCTCACCCGGCTCCTTTCCAGCTTAACTTCCCACACAAGGTTGTTGTGATATAAAACTGGGAGGAGTACACTGCCTTGAGCTCCTTGAAGGGGGGATATATATGTAAGAAATAAATAAATAAATTATTGAAAGGCGGGTAAGGATACAGTGGTTATCTGCTCAGAGATTTCATCTTCCCTCCTTGCAGGGAAGCAATAAAAAAGAGAGTCATACCGTTTTGGTTCTTACTCTTTTCTCTCCTCTGCTGCATCACAGTGTTGACTCATGTTATGTTTGTTGTCTACTAAGACCCTAGATCCTTTTCACATGTACTACTCACCTCCTCCTGTTGTGTTTTGAAATGACATCAAATCTGCATAGAGTGAAGAGATCAAGTGTGATATATAGACCTGATAATATATACTCACCTGCTCCACCTCTGATTAACAACTCAAGCATCTTAGAAATATCCCATAAGCTCTTATAGTTATCTCCCAACTGCATTCCAGAGAACCCCAATAAAGCTAGTAATAGGAAACAAGCTTGGCTAGATGACAGTATAGGAATGCTGTCGTATACTTAGCCAGACCATTGGTCCATCCATTTCAGTATTGCCTCAACTGACTGGCAGTGGCTCTCCATGATTTCAGACAGGTCTCTCCTAGCTCTACATGGAGATGCTGGGGAACAGACCTGGGACCTTCTGCACGCAAGGCACAAGCTCTAGCCATTTAGCCAGACCACAGAGTATCAGCCTGAGGCAGTGGCTGCTCAGGAGTCCACAAGAGAGCTAGTCAGAAATGTAGCCCACTGCAGAATGAAACGGTGAAATCTGCTATGATTAAATGGGCACAAGATGTTGGACATAACATAATGATGGCTGACTGGGAACAGTTATGGACCACAGGTATGAAGTTTACGGCATGTAATGCCTTAAGAGAGAATATTATGAAAATGATATACAGGTGGTACATGACCCCAGTCAAGCTTGCAAAAATCTATCATTTGCCCGATAATAAATGTTGGAAATGTAAAGAAAATGAAGGTACATTCTTTCACCTATGGTGGACGTGCCCAAAGATTAAGGCTTTCTGGGAGATGATTTATAATGAAATGAAGAAGGTATTTAAATATACCTTTCTAAAGAAACCAGAGGCCTTCTTGCTGGGCATAGTCGGCCAATTGGTGCCAAAGAAGGACAGAATTTTGTTTATGTATGCTACAACAGCAGCAATAATACTTATTGCAAAGTATTGGAAGACACAGGATCTACCCACTCTGGAAGAATGGCAGATGAAGGTGATGGACTATATGGAACTAGCGGAAATGACTGGCAGAATCCGAGACCAGGGAGAAGAGTCGATGGAAGAAGACTGGAAAAAGTTTAAAGACTATTTACAGAAACATTGCAAAATTAATGAATGTTAGAATGATGTTGGATAGAAACTAAGTGGTCTTTAGCTGTAATGTTATAAGGGAATATGAAAAAATGGAATATTAATAGGTAAAAATTCAATGTTACAATATTTTATGATGAATGACTAGGGTATATAAAGAGGGGAGGGATTTGCTGAACCAACAAACTAAACTGGAATACAAAAAAGGGAGGTGTGAGGAGGTCCGGGAAATAAGCAAATGAAAGATAAGTAATGGAAAGTAAGAAATGTTTTTAACTATTTTTATTTTGTATTTTTCTTGTATTTTTCTTGTATTTTTCTTTATCTTGTAATATTTCTGAAAACCTTAATAAATATTTTATTAAAAAAAAAAAAAAGAAATGTAGCCCACTGTACAGAATAGACTCCAGATCCTGCTGAATTACGACTCCCTTCATTTCTGATGGTTTACTATGCTGGCTGGGATTGACAGGTGTTGGAGTCCAACAGCACCTGTCCCCATCTCTGATTCTGTTGCCTTTAGGATATTTGTATTGCTTTGTACACCTTAAAATTCCCTCACTCTCTGGTGCCTATTCATGAAGCGATGACCAATATCTCTAAATTATGCTTAGCTCTCTGGGCCTCGTGCAGGAAGCCCACAAATACTTTTCCTCCTGAGTTGCACATCAGCGCCTCTGTTTGTGTAAAAAACATAGCAGATGTCTCTAGGTGTGGCTGTTGTATTAGGAGCAACCTGTCTTGCTTGTTGCTGGTTGTGCATTCTTGAAACAGTTCCTGATGCAACCTGTGTCTATGTGCTTATGTTTTAAAGGCAGAGATAACACGGCAGCATGCCAGCACTGCCACTGGATGAGCTCCAGTTTACAGAGAAAGATTCACTGACTGGGAAGATGAAAACTTTACCCGCCCTGGTAAGTGGGGTGCTTTTATTTTTTTTGCAGTTCAGAAGCCTGACCCATTCTCTTCTTATTTTTATTAATGCATAGAATAAAATTAGCTAAGGGGTGAAAATGCAGTATATGACTCCTTTAACTTGGGGTGGGAACCTCCTGAGCATGTTTGACTCCAGCTTCCATTATCCCCCAGGCAGCATGACCAATAGTCAGGGATGGTAGAAGCTGCACCCCAGCAACATCTAGAGGGCCACATGTTTCCCTCTTTGGGCCTACACTGGCTGGTTGCAGGTTTCTACGCTATTGGTCCTATGCTCCTGAAGGTTTCAGACAGGGCACTTTCTTAGCAATACCTGGAAACTCTGAGGATCAAACCCGGGGCTTTCTGCATGCAAAACAGTTGCTCTACTGTTTTACTGTTCCAAAAAGACAATTGGTCCAAAAGCAAATCAAGTGCAATAACAAAATAGAGAATTCCCTTCCTCTTAGTGCCTGGCATTCCTGGTTATAACTGGAAACCTAGTGATCTGGCATCTGTCCACTGAACTGTAGGTTTCCTGCACTAAAAACAGAAACTGCCCTAAAAATAGCTGAAATTAGCAAGCTGTGTAAATTATGCAAATATGTAGGATTTGTTTTGTCTAATGCATTCTGTCATTGTTTCTATTTTGCATACTTTATCCTGCTTCTCTTCATTATGGGGAAAAGCCAGTTGCTGTTTAGGGCACCACAGCCCCACCCCTACCCACCAGAAATCTCATTTGGCCACCTCTCTGGCTTCTGATTTTTTCCTCCCTCTGTTACACCAGGAAGGTTTTCTCAAACTTGTCCCAGCGAGCTCTCTAGCTGCAAAACCAGTTTCATCAAAAACCACAGTAGGACACTAAAAATAAAAAATGGAAAAACTAAAGCAAAACCTAAACCACATGGAGCAAAATAAATGGATATGTGCTTTTCCTGTGAGTAGCACTGAATCCACAATTCCCCCTTCCAGCTCCCTTGAAAAGCTGTCACCTGTGCAGTCACAGTAGAGACTACTCAATTACGGCAAATAGGGCACTCTAACATGTCTGCCTTCACCTGCCTGCTTTCTCACTTACTGCCTGTCAGCTTCTTCCTCCTTAGTCTCAGTGTTGCCCTCATGGAGCTCAGTAGGGAGCAGGAGGATGGAGACAAAACTAGATTTGGTTGGCTCTGCCTCGCATTGGTTTGGCTCCACCTACTGATTGATCCCATGCCTTCTGCCCTACCAATCCCAATAGACACTGGTCACCCCTGGAATACGGGTTTTCCATTTTCATACTATGTTGTGGCTGTTAGTACAGGATCCTGGCATATTCTCAACACATCCAAAGAGTGCTCTCCGACCAGCTTCTGCTATTTTAGTTTTGAAAACACAGGAGCACGAGGAAGGTGCCAGCTCTTATCTTAACAGGAGCCAGGCAGCGTCTGTTGTGACTTCTGCAGGATTCTAAAAGTGTTATTTGCAAAACAAGGAGTTCTTCCCAAACCACCACTCAGCAGGCCTCTTGCGATGAAAGAGAAACGGGAGCAGCCAGCAAGCCAAAGGCAGCAACAAATGAGGGGCTGGATTCCTGCTAAACCGCAGGCCAAGTTTCTGACAAATAGGAGAATTATCCCTGGTGTGCCCAGGTTCTTGAGATAGCTCAGAAAGCCAACACCGAGGACTTCTGTTTAGTCTTTGACCTGTTGACATCCCGTGGCATTCCTCCCCCTCTCTGCAGCATCCTGAAAAGAAAACAGAGCGGTCTTTTGTGCTGTATAAGCCCCCACCGAAAGCCAGAGGCGACCGTGCCCTGCTGGAGGAGTTCTGGGAGAGAGCCAAGTTTGTTGCAGATGACCTGGAGTGGCTTTTGACTCTGCCTCATGACAAATTCTGGTGCCAGGTATAATTTCTTTTGTAAAGGAAGAAAGAAGCATGTGTAGATGTGTTGGTGGTGACGATGAAAGTATAAGTCCTCCTTCTACACTGGGGTGGCGAACCTTTTTTTCATGCTGGAGGCTGCATTTCCCTCCTGGGCGACCTTCTGGGGGCCATGTGCTAGGGATGGGTGGGGCCAGAGGCAAAAGCGGGTGAGACAAAAGGTATGAATCGTTCCTTTCTGCAGTAGGCTCAGTTCCAGCCACGAAGAAGTCAGGCATTTCTACACCCCCAGTTGTACACACATCTCTCGATCCGGGCAAATGAGAGACATTAACTGTGTTCAAGGACACATATCGGTCAAGTGAAAGCAGTCAAGGAGGGGGCAGGGAAGGGTTGTGTACTAGAGAGAGTCCTAGGGGTTGTATTTCACCCCTAGCCCTCAGGTTCTCCACCCGTCCTCACAACTCTTAAAGCCCTACCCTTTTTTCTTTCACCTGAGCACTCTAGCACCTGCTGTAGAAGCATCAGTAAGGAGCTCGTAGGGGAGGGGTGAGGAGCCTTTGGCCATCCAGGTCCTGTTGGACTCCAACTCCCATCAACCCCAGCATTGCAGGCAGGCAGGGATGATGGGTGTTTTGGTCCAACAGCAATTGAGGGGTGGGCTTCCCCATTTCTGCTGCTAGAAGTAAGGGGGGGAAATGTAACAAATGCAGTTTTGATAGTTGAGGCTGAGAGTTATGGGCACACCTTTTGTGGGTTTTTTTAGGAGGACCTTGAGTCTCTGGTGTTACTGAACACAGAGTAAAAAGATAGTATTCAGGATCATATTTTATTCAAGCTGTGACATTTTATTTACCAGATTCTTTTATTTATTAAATTGTAAGTTATCTTAATGCTTCCTTCAATACCTCAAAAAGGCATAGCTTGAGATTTTGATACGTGAATCAGGAGGCTTAACCAGCCAGTTAAAAAGCAATTAAAATGGTCAGTGGTCCTATTTATGAAGCATGTTTGACTCTGTAAATGAGTATAATAAAACCTGTAAAGGGGGTGAGGCCAGGCCTCTGCATTACACTCAAGATAAATGTGTGGTGTAATGAAACTTTGAAAATGTCCTGTCCCCCCCCCCCCCAAGTGTCCTGGAATCTTTGCTTCTTTGGTGCAGCCTTCATCTTAAAAATGTTTTGCTCACTTGTTGATTCAACGTGCAATAGACTGACATAAGTTCCTGCGGTGATCTGCTGTCCTGCTAGGCGGCCAGATTTCTTTTTCCCATGAGGCCTTTTGTTTCCTTGTGGCAGGTGATATTTGATGAGACGCTCCAGAAATGCCTGGATTCGTACCTGCGCCATGCCCCTCGCAAGTTTGACACAGTGGCGGACTTGCCTCCAGAGGTGAATGACCTCCAGAGACGCCTCCATCGGAACGTTTTCCTAACCTTCCTCCGCATGTCCACTCACAAGGAGTCCAAAGTAAATAATTTCTTTACTCAGCCTGCTTTTGAGATGTGTGTACATGTTTTTGTGTGTGGAAAAATAGCAGGCTTCTGTTTGTCTTTCCTAATGGCTTTCCCTTCATAGCCTCTACCTGGAGTTTCATTCATATATATATATATATATATATATATATATATATATATATGCCATTCCCTAGTCATTAATGAATAGAAGCACAGTTACGCTCCAATATATTCAAATGGTTTTCGGGAAATGTTAATGTATTTGTTTAGGTATATGGCCCATTCTGTCCTGAAGGCCGAGGTGGGAAAGAACATTTTCTTCTTTCCTTTCACCTTCACAAATAACATGTGTGGTGCCTTTTCAGCCAAAGAGGAGCCCAGTTTGAACCTAGGTCCTGATCCAATATTCTGTCAGCTGTTTCCTCGGGGGGCTCCTATGTACATAAATTGTCTTGCCACCAGGGAGGTTCAATTAGTTGGAACCTTCAAAGAGATGTAGTTCCATGGAGGTTATTTATTTCAGGGGCAGAAAATCTTTATTGTCGCCAGGGCCGCATTTCCTTCTGGGCAACCTTCTGAGGACCACATGCCAGTGGCAGGCAGGGCCAGAGGCAAAAACAGGCTGAGCAATGAATGTCAATCTTAAAGTTTCATAGTAGGCCGGTTTTGACACACACCCCTGTCTGTCCTGTATCCAGGTGAGCAAGAAGCTCACTTCTGAGGGCTAGATAGGGAAGCCTCCATGTCTGAGGTTCCCTACCCTTAATTACCTCAACTCTTTTCAAGTTAATTTTCATAGGAGTAACTTCAGTACATCCTGTAAGAAATAAGGCAAAACTGGCTGTTCCTATTGGTTCTATCTGCAAGAACACCATTGGCTACCTCTTTCTTTTCCTTTTTTAGATGGATTGTGTCCAGTGCTCAAAGTAGACCAACTGAAATTAATGGACCTAAGTGAGCCATGTTGATTGATTTTAGTGGGTCTAGTTTGAGTAGGGCTAGCACTGGAAACAAGCCACTGATCTTAACTTTTAAAAGCACAGGTGTCTAACGTGTGGCCATCTAGATGTTGTTGGAATACAACCCCCATCTCTGACCATTGGCCATGCTGGCTGGGGGTGATGGGAATTGTAGTCCAGCAACATCTGAAATGCCACAGATTAACCACTTCTCACAACAACCAGGTGACCTCAGCAGTGTATTTCTCACATATGACCCTCTTTTTTCACTAAGGTCATTGGAAGAGCCTCTTTGCTGTGAATCCTTCCATTTTTCTGAAGTTAGATTCAGGACCATGCTGAATCCACTGATGGGTTTTTCAACTAGTTTCTGGCAGCCAGGCAAGAGGTATCCCTGGTCTTGTGTTGGGCTTCAGAGGCACTTGAAAAGCTGTAGACCTCCTTCTGAGTGCCTCCAAAGCTCAGCTGAAACTTGCGGATGCCTGGTCAGATTGATGTAGCCAAGGAATACATCCTTCTCAGTAGTGGTACCAATGCCTTGAAAATAAAACCCTGGGAAATGTTCATAGGTCCTGCCCTGTCACTGTCCTTAGGCATATTATATGGATGTTTGGAGCTACAGAGGGGTGGGTGGCTGCTTGTGTGCGATTTTATCCTGTTTTACAGTGTTTGTGGCTTTAAGATGTCAGTTCTGCTGATTTAGGGAGATGAATTTTAATCTGTGCTCGTTGATCATGGTGCTATGTTTTTGTCATGCTGTGAGCTGCCCTGGAGGTTCTTTGGAGGCATGTGGTATCGTCTAAATTCTGAATGCCTATGCGTACTTAAAAGCTACTCTGTAGAGCCTTTTAGCCCTAAATATACGCTGCGCAAAGGATGCTCTGTAAAGGCAGCAAAATCCAGAGCACTTTTAGATCTCTCCAGGCCAGCCCCTAAATCAAGGGCTTGTGCTCTTCCTGCTGACTATAAAGACTGGCTTGTCCTTTGTCCTCTTAAACTTTTACATCACAGCATGAAGGGCAATTACGCACACATGCGCATCATCCCTCCCCAACCCCCTCAGGGCGCTTGCAGTAGAGAGTCAGCGTGGTGTAGTGGTTAAGAGCAGTGGACTCGTAATCTGGTGAACTGGGTTCACGTCCCCGCTCCTCCACATGCAGCTGCTGGGTGACCTTGGGCACACTTCTCTCTGAAGTCTCTCAGCCTCACTCACCTCACAGAGTGTTTGTTGTGGGGGAGGAAGGGAAAGGAGATTCTTAGCCACTTTGAGATTCCTTTGGGTAGTGATAAAGCGGGATATCAAATCCAAACTCCTCCTCCTCCTCATATCTGTCATGACGACAAAGGGCGTTTTGCTAGTTATCCATGAGCATCTTTCAATATCTTTCTCTCCCCGCCCCTTTTTAGGATCACTTCATCACGCCATCTGTTTTTGGAGAGATCCTTTACAATAACTTCTTGTTTGATATCCCCAAAATCCTGGATCTATGTGTGCTCTTTGGAAAAGGCAACGGTCCTCTGCTCCATAAGATGATTGGTTAGTGAGGGAATGGGGTGTGTGTATGTGAAGTGTTGGGGGGCAGCACCCTCTAAAAATCAGGATTTAAATCAAATTTGCCACTTTCCTCAGTCCAATCGGCTTTACTAATTGTAGGAGTAAAGTGTCTGTTTCTTAATTTACTGTTTAATATTACTTTCACTTTGGTCAAGTCAGGCTCCATTATTTCTTTACTAGGAAACAGAAAACCAGCATTCAGCTGCAATAGTTTTTAAAGAGGGGCTGTTCCAAAATGGCCCATTGCTAAGGGACATTAAAACTTTAAAGCAGGGCTGAGGAACCTTGGACCTGGGGTCCAGATATGGCGCTCCAAACCTTTCTGTCTGACCCTTGGTATTCACTGGTCCTGCTTTACACCCTCCCTCTGTGTTTTTGGCTGGCTGGAGTGTGTCCTTGAACTCTGATTATGCCTCTCCCTTGCCTGGGTGGAAAATAGAGAGGGATCTGCTAAACCATAGTTTGGCTTAATGCAACATTCAACCCAGGCCATTATGAGTTATGTGTAACATGAAGAGGATGCATGGAGATCTCCTAATTAAGTGTGAAGCCTTTTGTGGTGTTGGATATTTTAACCTGCCTGAAACCAGTCTTTTTCTCTTTCCTTCCTTTCTTCCTCCCTCTCCACCCTACCCCTCAGAAAACATCTTTACTCAGCAGCCAAGCTATTTCAGTGACTTGGATGAAACTGTGCCTACAGTCCTTCAGGTTGTACTTCTTCTTGGGCTTATTTGAGAAGCTCTGTTCCCATTTGTAACAGTTGTGGGGAAACAAATGTTGTTGGACTCCAGTTCCCATCAGCCCCCAGCCAGTATATCCAGTGTGACACACACACACACACCAGAAAATTGGCCTGAAGGAAATGTGAACTGGAAGCTGGAAAAAAATGCTCCTTGGCCCCCCTTTATAAGGAAGGGAGTTCTTTCCTTGGAGAGCAGACCTATAAAGTCCCATGTGGCTTGGACCCAGGTGACTTGAAAAATCCTATATAAACCTGCCCAGGTGCTATGATCCTTAGCTCAGCACCTGCTTTTGGTCCCATCAACACCAGAGGCACGATTGTTGGTGACCGAGAGAGAGCCTTTTCTGTGGCTGCTCTCTTTCCCAAGAGGGGAAAGACTGGCTTCTTCTTTGTTATCCTTCTGCCAGCAGGCCAAAATCTTCCTGTTCAGACAGGCCTTTGATAACTAAGATTCAGTCTATGCTGATCTCTGGACTGCTGTCAGGGCAAACTGGATTTTCATTGCTGATTCTAAATGTGTTCTGATGTGTTTTAATCATTGTATGCAACTAGTTTGATATAATTACTTGGTATTATATAATGTTTTTAAATGTTGGAAGCTGCCATGAATTCCAGCTTGGGATAAATGTGGGATATAAATACATTAAGTTATTATTATTATTATATTATAGAAATTATTATAATTTTATTTATTTATTTATTTGTAATAACAACAACTAAACAACTACAACAATAACCTTGGTCAGGTGATGACCATCAATAAAAGGCAAAATGCACCCAGTTGTATTCCGCTTATGGACCCTTTGTGCCTTCTAGGTACTCAGCAGCATTCTGCATACGTGTGGCTTGCAGTGTGAAGGGGCTTCATCCACACCACAGAAGCTGGAGGAAAGAATCCGATTGACTCCTGGGGATATTCCTCTGCAGGTGGGGTGGGGCAGGTATTTCCTGGGACTGATGTACTTCCTCCAAACCTGGCCTCAGCTTTAATCTTCACCACAGATACTTTCTCTGTCCCCACCCCACCCAACAGATTATGTCTCATTCTGCACATGGTTGCTAGTAACACATTCCCTTCCCTGTCCTGTGACTGGGTGAGGCAGCTTTTCCTCATCACATGAATTTTTCTGTGCTTTGCGATACACTTTTTTCTGTATTGATATTTTATGTGTTCGGTTTTAAAATCTCACTGAACACTTCCTTTCTTTGTATTCTTTGATAAACAGAACCATGGGCATCTGCAATAATTTTTATAGGGGACAAAGGAAAACACTGATTTGGGGAGATGGGGGGTAAGCAGGCTAGTTTCTCATGAAAAATGAGGAGAATATACTGCCTGTAAATTTGGTTTCATCTGGTTCTGCAAATGCTAGCAGCTTGTGTGTATGTGTGTATGTGTGTGTTTTTAAATGACAGCTGGGAATTTGTGGATCAGGGCTGCATAGACACCATGTATTTAAAGGACATGACTTCCCCCAAAGAATCTTGAGGAAGAGCTCTGCCTCTCATTTGCTGTCCTGATCACTCAGTTTCATGGAATTTTATGTGCTTAAATGTTCTCCAGATGTTTTGGATGACAGCTCCCGTCAGCCACAGCATGGCCATGTTTGCGGGAGTTGGTCTAAAATGTTGAGAGCTCATCAGGCAGGAAAAAGCTGGCTTAAAATTAAAATCTGATGTAAAGAATTGTCGGTTTGCTGTCCTTTAATGCTACCGCTTGTGGTGGGCCTAATAATGGAGCTGACCGCTCTAGGACCTCCCTGGCTCAGATTCCGAGGTGCGATGTTATGCCAACTCTGAGAAGGAAGTGAACCCAGAGACTGGGGCAGGGAGGGGAGGAATCTAGGGCAGGGAATTGCTTTGTTTGGCAGCTTACTTTTAAAAGAAAAATAAAATTGTGCTTTAAAATCTGATTTATTTTTTTTAAAATGAAAGGCCTTCCTTTCTTTTCCTCCTAGGAGCTGAAGGATATTGTCCTGTACCTGTGTGACACTTGCATCACCCTCTGGGCCTTTCTGGATGTTTTTCCTTTGGCTTGCCAGACATTCCAAAAGCATGACTTCTGCTACAGGTATATTAGTAGGCTGCCTCTGTCTCTGCGTGTGTGTGTGTGTGTGTGTGTGTGTGTGTGAGTGTGCATGTGTGTGCACGTGCTTCAATTCCACTAGATAAGTGTTGTTGGATTCCAACTCTTATCGTCCCCAGCCAGTTTAGCCTTTGGTCAGGGATGATGGGAGATGTAGTCCAACTACACTGGGATCACACCAGGTTGAAGAACACTGCCTCAGAAAAGGTTACAGCTGAGAGAGCATCCATTATTATCATCCTCTTCATCACCCTCTATATTTATTTATTGTCATTATCATTATTTAAATTTGCATGACACTTTTCAAAGCAGCTTCAAAACATAAGATACAAATCATTACAATAACAAATACTAAATCATTTCAAAACGTAACAACAATCTAACAACTCGGTTTGATTCTATTATATTACTTTAAGGTCATCATAAAACAAGCATTGAAACAGATCAGTTAATGATAGATACAATAAATATCCCAAGGCAATCACTCATCAAGAATAATAGAACCAGCAACTGCGGTGTGGTAGTACTTAATGCCAAATGGTATTAAAGCTAAAAAGTGTTTCCTACAGTTGCTTACTAAAAAAAAAATGTGTCAGAGCAGCTTACCATTTTTTGAATAAGGCAAACAGTACCAGATTTAAAATAGCATCTGTGGGGTACCATGTGACTATACCTACTCTAGACAGAGCTATGACCCCCCTCCCAGCTTCCTCTGTATTATCAATATTAGAATGTTGTACACATAGCCTTCCTTGATTTGATTTCTCTCTGTCTCTGTATATAGCTATCTATCTATCTATCTATCTATCTAATTCACAATTAGGTGTGTTTCACTTTTTTCAAAAAAAGGCTTGCTGCATTTTATGAGCTGGTGGTACCTGAACTGGAGGCTGCTATTAAGAAGAGGCAACGCGAGGACAGCAGGTATGTTTCCTGTGGAGGTGACCATTCCCCTCTGAAATAAGTGCAGTTGTCCCCTCCAGGCACAAGCCCTGCAATATATCTGCCCAGGTTGCTCCTGCAGCATACCTGAAGTTCCACCATCCTTTAGGAGCAGGTGGTGGGAAAACGTTTATGCTCCACGGACCAGATCCTCATCAGGATCGGCTTTGGGCGGCTGCCCACCTGACAGTTGCCTGACATCACAATGACATCAGGTGCAAAGTCCAGCTACAACAAAGGCTCTCTCACTCCGTTTTAGCTGTGGGTTCCTGCTAAATTCAGGAAGGGGGTTGTATGGAATCCTGCTGAACTGAGCAGGATTTAACCCCTACTCATCAGTAACTCATCCTGCTCAGTTGTGTTATCTCTGTTCCCTGCTGCAATTGATTGGGCTGGAGGTCGTCCCCCCCCCCCCCGAGATGTAGGAGAGCCAGTAAGGTATAATGGTTAGAGCAGCTTTCTCCATCCTGCTGCCATTTCAGATGTTCTTGGACTTCAGGTTGCATCATGGGAGGGAAGCTCCATTGAGCTAGGAGAAGTCCTAGCCTGGACTTTCACCAGCGGCACTGCTTAGTTAAATCTAGCCTTTGTACTTAATCATGGCTTTAATGTTTTTTAGTGTTTTATTGAACGTATATACCCCACTTTGGAACCTTGCAATGAAGAGTAGGTTGAAGAAAATAATAGTCATAACAACTACCACTACAACTTCCTTTTGCTTCTGTGTCAGAAATTCTCTCTCCCCTCTCCCCTCCCCACCATCAGCTTATTGTCGGATTTGTGGAAGAGGCTGTCTCATTCTCGGAAGAAGATGGTGGAAGTTTTCCATATGATCATAAACCAGTTGTGCCTTCAGCCCATTTTGGAAAGCAGGTACTTGTTACGCACATGGATTCCATGCAGTGGGTTGCCCTTACACACTCATATCTATGACACCAGGAAAGAAACCTCAGAATAAGATAATGATTACAGATGTTGGGGAACAAATCTAGGAGCTTCTGCATGCAAAGCAGATGCTCTCTCACTCAGCTGTGGCCCTTCCCCTGTCACAGGAAGCTGCCTTATGTCAAGCCAAACCATTGGTCCATCTAGCTCAGCATCTGACAGCAACTGTCCAGAGTTTCAGACAGGAGACATTCCAAGTGCTTCTTGATGGTGCTGGGGTTGAGCCTGGGACTTTCTGCATGGAAAGCTGATGGTCTACCACTGAGCAACGGCCCTTCAGTGTACTGAGTCAGACCATTGGTCCATCCAGCTCAGTATTGCCTTCACTAACTGGCAGTGGCTTTCCGGGCTATTTTCTTAGCCTACCTGGGGATTGAGGGGATTGAACCTGGAACCTTCTGCATGCATAGGAGATGCTCTACCACTAAGCTACAGCTCTCCAGGATTTGGAGCAGAGCAGTATCTTTCCCAATCACCTGCCACTTGAACCTTTTAATTTGAGATGTCAGGAACTGTACTTGGGAGCCCTGAATGCACAGGGTGTGCTCTGCCACTGAGCTCTAGCTTCCTTTCCTAGGAACATGGGCTTGTCTGGGAACTGAACCCAGGACCTCTTGCTCCCAGCTCCAAGGATCAGCCCCCTTGGATGAACAAGCTGCACCTGAGCCTATACAGGTTCCTTGGTTGTTGTTAACATTACCCTCTTGTTTCAGCTGTGATAATATCCAGCCTTACATAGAAGACTTCCTGCAGATCTTCACCTCAGTGCTTCAGGAGAGGAGGTGAGAGTCCTGACTGGGTGTTGGCAGTCCTTTACAACCTCTGGAATATATCTTGACAATGCAGCCTGGCCTACAGCAGCCATCAGCCCCAGTCAGTACAGTGATGTTGCAAACCTGCTTTGTCTGGCAACAACAATGGGGCTAGAGAAAGTGTATGCATGTGTGTACAGTAGGGCAGCTGGCTTGAAAGACACACATCTTTTTCACCCAGGTTTTGGGTGGCTCATTACACTTTTAAAAACCTCCCTAGCCATTGAAACTGTTCGGCAGTCCATTTTGCATGTAAATTTCACAAGGCAGGCATTTTTGCTGGGAAGGTGTCCCTAGTAATTGTGCAGTGTTTATATTTGCAGGTTTCTCCGTGATTATGACGAGCTCTTTCCTGTAGCAGATGATGTGAGCCTCCTCCAGCAAGCCTCCTCAACCCTGTATCCTTTTCTGCTGGCATTTCTGGGGAACTTCCTTCACCAACCTGATGCCCTCCAGATGTTCTGGACTTCCACTTGCCTGGCTGGGGCTGATGGGAGTTGTAGTCCAAATCCTATGGAGGGCACCAAGTTGGGGAAGACTGGCTTGCATCCTCCAAAACATTGCTGCTCCTCAAGGTTTAATGAATACAGGCATTCACCACAATTCAGGCTTGGAATCTGTAACAATAAGGGACAAGGGTGCTTCTGAGAATGTGCACGTTATCTTTCCCCGAATGCATGAAAATCCACAACCTACCCCTGCACATCTGCCCTGAATGCCAGGGCTTATAGTTACATTGTGTGTGATTTACATCAGATTTATGTGTGCGGTGCCTTAATGCTGTTGGGCAGAGATGAAACCAGGACAGCTTACATCCTGCAAGGAGTGGACAGTGCCTGGGAGGGAGTGGACAGGAGGAAAAAAACAGCCCACAACCTGCCCCTGCCGGAAACCATGGCCCCGGTGCTGCCCAGTAATACAGAGGGGCTAGAGACACTTGGGGAGGAAAACCACACAGAGGTGAGTCTTCAGGGTGTGCTGCTAGCCTTGACTTGCAGTGAACTGGGGAACAAGGTTGTTGGGGAGCTACCTATGTTAGCCATGGAGCCTGCATATCTGGGATGGGAAACCCCCAAATGCTGCTGGACTCCGATCATTCCTGACCATTGTCAGGTAGAAAGTGGGGGGAGGGAGGTGGCTGGTGGTGCCCACTGGTAGGCAGAATCAACTAATTTTAGTTTTATCTGACCTCCCTCTTGAATTCTACAAGGGCAGTACTGAGACTAAGATTATAGGTTGTGCCACTCCCTGGGCTGATTGTAAGGAGTGTTCTGAACAAAGTGGGCCCTGCTACTCCTGAGAGATTCATCCTCCATTCCATGTTTGCCTCTTTCATATTGATACTGCTTTGAGCCTGCAGTGAATTTAGATAATGGGGAAAAGGGGGGGGGCTGAATTTGATTTATGCATATTTGGTACAAAAACTTGATGACAACCACCCCCCACCCTGCCCCTGGCTATGGTTCTGCACACCCAGCTACTTGCAGCATTGTGACTCTTCTGGGGTAACACTGCCTGTTGCCTTTGATGTGTCTAGTACGCTGGAGCAGCCGCTGCCCCTGTGTGCAAGGTCTCTGGGGTGGAGTTGGATTCCCTGATCTCCCAAGTGAAGGACCTGCTCCCTGACCTTGGAGAAGGCTTTGTCCTGGCCTGCTTGGAGGAGTACAACTACAGCGTAGAGCAGGTGATCAACAACGTTCTGGAGGACAAGCTGGTGGCAGCCTTGCAGAAGCTGGACCGAGCAATGCCCAGGTAGATCTGGATGGGGGAGTTGCTTCTCTTACCCACTTGGAGCCCCGGCAGGCTGCCATGTTCTGTTTTTTTGTTTTTGTTTGTTTGTTTTGAATTTTGTTTTGCTGGCATGTTACGGACACAATAATAGTGCATCCGTGGTGGGTTTAACCTGGACCATCCACACATCATTTTTCTTTGTTAGTAGTTTCGAGGATGCTTTTAATCTGATTTTTACCTTATTGTGGAAAGAAGCATTCTTTTAAACCAGGCATTTGACTAGGAATAAAAAAGTGGCAGTGGTGCTATTTTGTATAATTAATTTTAATTTTAATTTTGGTTGTTTGTTTGTTTGTTTGAATACCACCCAACATACAGAGGTCTCAGGGCAGTTCACAGAAAAGATCACAATATATAAGATAAAAATAAAAACAATCACCTAATAACATATATATTATATGTAAATATGTATATTTATAATCAGTGTATTGGTGACTGACCTTGATTGAAATCCCCTTAAATCAGCTACAGCATATGTCTGCTGTACATGTCTGCTCAAAAGCATGCTGTGTTGAGTTTGGGCGGTGCAGCTCTCAGATAAGTGGGCTTAGAATTGCAGCTCCAGAGCCACAGGCTGCTGCTTGGTTTTGTGAGGAATTTTTCAAGATTGTGTTTCTGAAGAGTGTGGTGTAGTGGTTAGAGTGCTGAGTTAAGAACTGCGTCCCCAGGGTTCAAATAGCCACTTAGCCATGTTAAGGCTCATTGGCTGACCATGGGCCGTCCGCTCTTTCAGCTTAAGCTTTCCCACAAGGTCACTGTACGGATAACATGGGGAGAGGAAGAACCATCTACTTCACCTTGAGCTCTTTGAAGGAAAAGTGGGATATAATAGCAATAATAAATAAAATAAATTGGAGGGCTTGATCTTTTTCTGTCAGGTCATTGAAGCCAGACCCAACACCTCTTCTCACTTCCCGATGCAACGTTTTCCAGAACGATGAGTTTGATGTTTTCAGCCACGACTCTCTGGATCTCTCCCGCGTGCAGAAAGGCAAGAGGTGAGTTGCCTGGGGCCTGGGCAACCCTTTCAGGCTGTGTCTGATCAATGGCTGTCAAGTTAGGAAATATTACCAGTAAAGATAAAGACCCTACATCAGGAGTGGCCCTCTAGGTGTTGCTGAAAACAACTCCAATTAGCCTTAGCAAGCTTAGCCAATAGCTGGGGATGATGGGAGTTGTGGTTCAGCAACATTTGGAGGGCCAAAGCTTTCCTGTAGCTGCCCTGCGTAATTTCTGTGGGTTGGGATTGGCGGATCTGTTTTTCTAGCCAACAGTGTTGGGCATTGTTCCTTTTTCATAGTGCTCCGGTTTTTAACATCCTCGAGGCAGGAAGGTTCTGTCCCTTCCCCTCTCCTCCCACCATGGGTAGGAAGGAATCTGGAAAGGGCCATTTTTCAGAGAGCAGAGGTTGACTTCTGGAGTGTTATCATGAGTGATGGCTGTTGTAACCGGTATTTTAAAAAACAAAACCTGTTTTTTGCCATTGTTTGGCAGCTCCTTTTCACGACCCCTGTTACCTTTCTAATCCTCACTCCCAATTGTTCTAATGCCAGAATACCACCTGAATCAGCCTTCACCAGCCTGGTGGCCTCCAGGTGCTATGGACTACAACTCCCATATGCCCCAACCAGCACAGTCTGCCCACCTGCTGCTCTCAAGGCACTATGCTAATTTTTAAAAATCACTTTGCTGATTAAGATTAAGACCACATTTGCACCATACATTTAAAGTACTGTGATCCCACTTTAAACGGTCACGGCTTCCCTCCAAAAGTTCTGGGAGCTGTAGTTTGCTAAGGGTCCTGAGAGTTGTTAAGAAGAGACCCCTATCCCCTTGCTTGGAACTACAATCCTCAAACCGCTCTGGGAATTGTAGCTCCCTCTAGCTGTTTCCTGATGTAAGGAAAGCCAAGGGTGGAGCCCTGGAGGGGACTTCCCCTCTGCTTCTTTGCTTGCAAGGAAGCCTTTCATTAAGTCAACACCGGGATGCCTCAAGCAGCTGGTTGTTCCAGTTGCACTTGCTCCTGAGACATGATCTTCCATCCATGGTATGTGAGGAATGCTGCACGGAAAAGCCCAGACGTGAATACCTTGTATATCCCCGGGAGCAAAGTAATAACAATAAATTGCTGGCTTGGCAGTTAGGAAGCAGATTTTGACATTGTTCCTTGGTAAGGCTTACTGAAGCATAGGGGGTGTGGCACTGATCAAAAGTGTAGGTTGCTGGTGGGCGTTCCAGGCTGAGCATCTGCAGGATCAGGGCCCAGCGTGGCACGACAGCCCCAGGCAGTATCACCAGAAGATGTCTGCAGAAAGGACAAGTCCAAAATGTCATTTGCTTGGCTGGGATCTCAAAACCAAAGTGTCAGTCCAAAGGGAGCGGGGAGCCAGCCAGCCAGGGAAATGGGATAGGCCAGAGACAAGGGAAGGAGAAGGTGTCATGCTCAAGAATAAGGAGCGGTCACATAGGAGGCTACTGATTCAGACCCATCGGTTCATCTAGTGTAGCGTTTCAGACACAGAGTCTTTCCCAACCCTACCTGGAGATGCCATTGGGGATTGAACCTGTGACCTTCTTCAGAGCAGATGCCCTACCACTGAGCTACAGCGCTTCCACATTACAATGACAATGTGGTTATATAATATACACATTGTTCAATTTGTGGAGTATATAAATGGCTAAGCATCAGAGGCAGACCATGTTGTGGCCTAGCAGGAAAATAGGGAGCTGCCTTATATTGAGTCAGACTGTTGGTCCATTTCACTCCACACTGTCTACACTGTATTGTCTACTACACTGACTGGCAGCTGCTGTCTCCTAAGCCCTACCTGGAGATGCCAGGAATTGAACCTTTGACCTTTTGCCTGCAAAGCATGTGTTCTGCCACTGCATAACAGCAAATACCTCCCTACAATGAGGTAAGATTCTAGTTCGCATGGTTCCAAATTAAAGGCTGATTTAAATAGGAATTCTGTGTGTCTTATCCGACAGAGCCAGGCCATTGGTACATCTAGTTCCGTATTGCCCACACTTGACTGGCAGTGGCTCTCTGGGTTTTTGAGCAGGGGACAGTGCTCCTGTAGATGCTGGGGATTGAACCTGAGACTTTTTCCATGCAAAGCCAATGCTCTGCCAGTGAGCTAAAGCCTTTCCTTAAGACGTAGGAAGCTCCCTAATGCCCAGTCATGCCACTGGTTCATCTAGTTGTGTGCATTGACTGCTAGCGGTGTTCTAGGATTTAGAGGAGTTTCTATCAGCCCTACCTTGGAAATGCAGGAGATTGAATCTGGGAACTTCTGAAGCAAATGTTCCACTACTGACCCGTGGCCGTTCCCCAGGGGCTTCTGTGTGGAAACCGGATCAGCCTTTGTTCTGATCTGGCTGGGCTTTCCTTGCGTTCCCAGGAGTGACAAAGCCTCAACCAAAAGTCTGGTGAATGACAAGCGCCTTGTGAATGAGCAGAGGGAGCGCTACACCCAGTACTCTGTGATAGTGGAGGAGGTCCCAGAGCAGAGCGGAGCAGGTCTTTCCTACCCGGATGAGTATGAGGACGAATACGATGACACCTATGATGGCAACCAGGTGGGAGCAAACGACGCCGACTCAGATGACGAGCTGATCAGCAGGAGGTGAGTTTAGAGGCCTTTCTGAATGGAGCCTGCCATAATCATTTGTGTAGTGCAGCAAGTGTGATTTGAAGGGCACTCCCTCTCCCTCCATTCTCAGCTAGGTCCCATGTGTAGCTTTTCCACAGTCAGGATGTATTCACACCATGCAACTAAAACCCCGTGCTTCCACTTTAAACAGTCATGCCTTCTCCCAAAGAATTCTGGGAGCTATAGTTTTTTAAAGGGTGCCGAGAGTTGTTAGGAGAGACCCCTCTTCCCCTCCCAGAGCTACAGTTCCCAGAAAAGCAATTGAAAAGCAATCCCTCTCCTTGGAACGTCTCATCCATTCATTTCTCCCTGCATTAGGCCATTTACCATCCCTCAAGTTCTGAGACCAAAAGATCAGAAAGAAGAGGACGAGGAAGATGACAATGAAGAGGAGTTGGCGGCAGCTGATGAAAAGGGGGCTGCAAAGGTGATTGTTGCAGGGCAGCTCTGAAGGGGGAGGAAGGGGTTGTGAGGCAAACCCTCGCAGTGCTGTTCTTTGGGGAGATGGCTCTTTGGAGACAGGACGGGGAGGCCTCCGAGATCCCTGTGGCTCAGTGGAGCTGATGCGCTTCAGCCAATGGAGATGTAATGATAACCACGGTCTGTGGGGCTGTACAGAGCAGCAGCAAGAAGATGGGTCCCTGCTCTGAGGAGGTTACAGGCTAAAATTCAACACAGAGAAGACAGTGGAGGGAGGGAAGTAAGTAAGATGGAGGGGAGGGTAGATTGGGGAAGTACAAAGGGCCCCAAAGATCCATCTCCACAACAAAGAGCATACTGCCTTGTTGAGGACTAGCCCCTTTTCTGTGGGGATAAGGGAGGTGGGGCCCCTCCCCTTCATCCACACTGCAGATGCTGCTGGGCTCTGATTCCCATCAGCCTCAGCCAGCCTGGCCCATCAGGGATGTTGGGAGCATTAGTTCAACAGCACTTGGAGGGCCCACCAGCATTTTGAACTGGAAATGAACTGGGGCTCCATTCTTTCCTTCATGTGCAGCAGGACCACTTTGTGCAGGACCCAGCTGTGCTGCGGGAGAGAGCTGAAGCCCGGCGGATGACTTTCCTCGCCAGGAAAGGGTAAGATGCAACTCCCCTTCTGTGGCTCCTGGTCTTTCTACCCCATGTGGATCAACACCCCTCAAATAGGGGACACCTTCAAACAGAGGGCCGCATCTGACAACCCTTCACAACAGACAGCTGGTCTAGCTGCCAGTGCCGTATCCGTGGGACTTGGAATTCCTCTGTGCAATATTAAAATGGGTGTTATGTTGGCTACCCCTTTCAATGCTAAGAAAACCAGTTTCATGAACAAGATTGCGTACTCTTGTTAGAAGATCAGAAAATTCACATTTGAGTTCTTCCAAGAATTCTTGGTTGCAAGCCATGTAGGCCCAGTGACTTGCTCTGTGCTGTATCCAGCTGAAGTTGCTCAGCTGACAAGAAAGCTTCCATCAGATGAACGGGGAGGAAAAAAATTTTGGGTGATTACCCCTCCTCATTTTAGTCCTCCGCATCCCCTTAGATCCACTCCAAAGGGTTGAAGGACTTGCTCAAGCAGATATTTTTAAAGTGGGAGTGTCAGCTGACCATGACTAATCTTATGGGGATGTTTTTAATGTTTGATGTCTTATTATGCTTTGATATCTGTTGGAAGCTGCCCAGAGTGGCTGGGGCAACCCAGTCAGCTGGATGGGGTATTTATATTGTTGTTGTTGTACCTCATTCCTGCTGCTTCCCTGATTAGTTTCTAACTTATTTAGCATTTAAATGCATTTTATTGCAATGTCCTTTTTCACTGTCAATTCACCTTTTCCCACCCGCCCCCTTTTTTTTAAACCCTGAGCCTCCTGCTTCTTTACAAACCACATATTTAACTATGGAACTCGCTTCGACAGGAGGCAGCGATCACTAACTTGGATGGCTTGAAAAGAGGATTGGACGGATTCATAGAGGATAGGGCTGTCATTGGCTACTGACTGCAATAGCTTTGTTCACCTTTAACTGTGAGAAGCAGTAATGCTTCTTAAGAAAACTACGCAGGGGTGGGTGGGGAGGGGAGTACTCTTGTGATTGAATCCTGCTTATAGGTTTTCTATAGAGAACAGACTGCTGGATTAGATGGGCCATTTTGGTCTGATGCAGCAGCCTCTTCTTATGTTTTGGCCTTTTTGAAAGGATGTGATCCACCTCATTGTCTCCCATTTTCTTTTCACTAATTCCCTCATTTTTCTTCTGCGCCCCCCCCCCCATTAGAAATATAACTGAATATGTTGGGCTTTCCATTCACATGTGTGCTGAATTTGATAACTTTGTGAGCACAGTCGCAAACTACTGGTCAGAACCACTTGGTTGAGGGTCCTGAGCACCCTGCAAGATTAAATCAAGGGCTGCTTCCATGACTAACTATCCTAAGGCACAATCATATCTACAAATCATAACTGTGACCCCAATGTGAATTTTCCCAGTTATTGTGAGGGCACTTGAAGGCTTCCACTAAGACAAGATTTACTCCTTTTGTCCTGTCTTCAGATGTCTGAAGGAAATAAAAGAGGCAGTGTCAGAGTTTTGATTGGTGGAATGGAGAATAGTATATATCTAGTGTTCTGTTACTTTGAGGGACTAACATTTGGAAGTATACCTGAGAGCCTTTGCAGTTTAGTGGTCCGAATGTTGGATGAGGACTTGGGAGGCCTGTGTGCAAATCCGCACTCAACCAGCCATGAACTTGTGACCTTGGGCCAGTTGATGTTTCTTAGCCCAACCTAACTCACAGGGTTTGTGGGAGGACAAAATGGGGAAGGGAAGAGTCACGGATGCCGCCTCAAACTCCTTCAAGGAAAGATGGGGTACAATGTATAATAATAAACAAGCACAGCAATCTTGGGAGGGGAAACTTAGGGGATGTTGAATTCCTGCTTCCATCTGCCCAGCATGACCAATGCTCAGCGATGATGGGAGATGTACAGCAGCTTCTGGAGGCCCGCTGCTCCCCTGGCAGAATTTTTAAGACTTTTCGTTACTTGGATACTGCCACATTTGACATATAGAGCAGTATCACTTCTGAGACGGCTGTCCCTGTGTTTTCTACAGATTTTGCATTTCAGGATTACTGTGACCCTCTGGTGCTCAGACCCACTAAGTTTCTGTTGACCTGTACTGCCTCTCCTCCCCACCCCACTCTTACACTACCAGCGAGATTTGTTGTGCCTATTTGGTGGAACTTAGCAATGAAACTTTTCTTCTTCCTCTTACACAGGCACAAGCCGGACAATTCAGGTGTCATTTTGGGCAGCGCCAAGGGACATGGCCAGAGCCGAGAGACAGTCCAGGAGCGCAGGAAGAAAGAAGCCAGCAAAGGGACCAGGGCGAATCATAATCGGCGTGCCATGGCAGACCGGAAGCGAAACAAAGGCATGATCCCTTCCTGAAGAGGTGGAGAACGGGGCAACTCTTCCTCTTAGAGGCTCATAGTACAATGCCTTTATCCCAAGGGACAGTACTTTTCCATTCTTGTTTGTGGAGAGCATCAGCATGTAACAACCAGCAACCCATTACAGAGAACTGCAACAGCTGTGCATTGTTATTTATAGGGGAATGCAACAAATATATTTATGCAGACACAATGGACTTTGCTGTGCAGGCAGTTCCTTGTGAACATTTGTCAGCACCAATAATGTATCAGCCTTGATGGATGAGATCAAGTTCCCAACTAGTCCACCAGCTCTTTTTTGCAAGCCCACAAGCAGGATGTGAAAGTGAGGGGCTACTTGTGTTCTGCCTCTAGCCTCCGTTGTGCAGAGGGGTACTACTTCTGGGGGAGGGGTCGTAGCTCAGTGGTAGAGAAGCTGCTTTGCATGCAGAAGGTCTCGGGTTCAATTCTCAATATGCCCAGGTATGGCTGGGAAAAGGCACCTGCCTGACACCCTGGAGAGCTGCTGCCAGTCAGTGTAGACAATACTAAGCTAAATGGGCCAGCGATTTAACTCCATACAAGGCAACTTCCTATGTCCACCTGAATAGGGGGCCCAATGCCCTTTTCAAGAAATCTATAGATTGTTCGCCATCATCTCCAACTTTTATTCTTAGCGAATTCCTCAATTACGCATCAGGATTGTGTAAAGTACTTCATGCTTTCAATCCTGCATTGTTTCTCACTGCCCAGACCAACCTAGCTCCAGCAAGCAAGAGGGTGACCTCATGTATCTTCAGACCATGTTCTGGGCTGTTATTATTGCATAATGATGTTATATTTGCAACCTCCTTCCGAAATGCTCAAAAATAGAGGATCAAAGGGCTGTCAGGGAGCCCTCAATGGAGAAAATTGAGAAACGCCGTGGAAGTCGTTTGACTTCAGAGGTGCGTTCGAAAACAGAAGCATTCACTTCCGGGTTTTTGGCGTTCGGCTTTACAAACGTTTGGCAGCCAAGACGTTTGAAAACCGAAGTTTGACCGTACTTTGTACTCTACTGCAGTAGGCAAGTGTGAAATCCGTGTGTAGGCATCTCATGAGCCTAAATGGGGATGAAGATCTTTAGCAACAGAGGCCTTACTTACCACTTCCTGAAGACTCCCCAAAAGGCTAAGGGCTGGGAAAAGAATTGGGGACAAAGTAAGGCATGTGTTCTGAGTTTTTCCTCCCTAGCCCTCCAAAAGAGAAAGGGGAAATAGAGGTTAGAATATGTACTTCCCGATTCCACACACCACCGTCCCACTTTTGAACTTAGACTAGGCGCTCCACTTACATTTTTTCACTAATAGGCTGATATAGTCACCCATCACGTCAAATGTTTTCGTCGGTAATTACAGCCAGTTCAAACTTCAGCAAGGTTGAGAGATTCCTGTCCATTAAATATGTGTGTCTTGTTCTTATGCCCAGGCTGTGGGGCTCTCCTATTCCCCCAGCACACAGCTGTTCCAAGTATCTGGCATCAATGTTATTTTGATGCTGGGCATACAATAAATGTACTGGCCTCAGCTGGTCCGTGAGAACCCCTGGGGCCTGCCCAGCAGGTGATGGGCTAGAACACACTTTGACACAGCTCTGAAAAGCATTGATGTGTCAAAAGTTGTGCACTGAAATTTTCTCGTAAGGAACCAAAACTTCAGCCTGTCAGTTGGATGTTCTTTAGCAATGAACCTTACCTAATGTAATTTCACGTTAAGTCTAGTGCCAAGATTTGAATCAGTGAAGTGAACCAGCTCAGCAGCAAGCGGACCCCAAGAACAGGCACTTGAAATCTGATAGGATGGCATTTTCAGTCAATACTGCAGCATGGAAATCAGCCAAAAGAAAGGCAGCATAGAGTGAGCTTTTGCTGATTTGGTCAGTTCCTGCATAATGGTTTTACCTTGTCTGCATTGATCATGAAGCGTCAGCAGCTATTACAAGTTAGGAAGGGAAGAATTTTTTCCATTTGTCCAGCACTGTAGCAAATAGAGTTAAAAGAGGTAAGAACAAAGGAGTCTGACTTATAGCAGGGTCAGGGCATTGGTCCATCTAGCTCAGTAGAGTCTACACTTGGTGTGGGGAACCTATGGCTCTCTAGCTGCTGTTTCAGGTCCACCTAGCATAGTCAGTGGTCAGGGATGATGGGAGTTGTAGTCTAGCAACATTGGGGGGGGGGCACAGGTTCTGCACCAATGGCAGTCTTCCAGAGTAAACCTGTGGTGGAGGGTGGTAGTGGAATGCTCTGCTTGAGTCTCTTCACCTTATAGAGCAGGAGTGGTTCTAACCTGTGCCCCTCTATAGGTTTAACTCTTAACTGCCTTCATCCCCAGCCAGCATGGTCAATCAGTGGTCTGTGATGATGTGAGCTGTATTCCAACAACTTCTAGAGGATCGCAGGTTAACCAACCTGATGGAGGGCAAGGCTGGCACACTGAACAGAAAGCAGCCCCGTTCAGTGCGGATCTGTTTGAAGATTTTGCATCACTCTATTTGAGGCTTTCCAAATAAACAAAAGCAGACACTTAAACTAGCCTAGCCTATAAATGCCTGCAGATTTTTAGGGGAGAGCAGGCACAGAATAGCATGCTTTTCATTGATTTTTTTTTTCTTTATCCAAAAATAGAGAGCTAAAGTCCCACATTTCTAAGGAATCAGCTCAGAGGAAATTAAAACGGAAGGTCTGAAGTACACAATGTCTTAGAATGTATTTTATTAAGCTACATTTCACAGCACAATAAGTTCATAAGTTCAGGTAGCTTGTTCTTGAGAGGATGCACTCTGGATCAAACTGCCACATATGGACAAACATTTTCTGCCTCAGCAGCCGGTGGTCAAGAAGAAGAGCTTGTAGTGAAGATCACAGAAGGTCCATCAGGAATCCAGCATTTCTGCTTCACTCGTCACGTGGCTCTTCGTACTTATGCTTGATGTGCTTCCAGAGTTTCTGCATCATAAGAGACACAAGAATACAGTAATCTTAAGCAACAACCTCAGGAATGCTTGTTTGCAGCTGAACAGGATATTACAAGCTGGCACAGTCCACTACTTACTGCCACCAGGATTAATGGGTGGTATTTGCAAAACACAGCAACACCACTCAATACTACTCCCAAGGTGATTTAAAATAAAGGTGACAACAGAGGTAACAAGATGCACAGCTGCTTTGATAACCTGCACATGATAGGGACACGGGTGGTGCTGTGGGTTAAACCACAGAGCCTAGGACGTGCTGATCAGAAGGTCGGCGGTTCGAATCCCCGCGATGGGGTGAGCTCCCGCTGCTTGGTCCCTGTTCCTGCCAACCTAGCAGTTCAAAAGAACGTCAAAGTGCAAGTAGATAAATAGGAACCGCTCCAGCGGGAAGGTAAACGGTGTTTCCGTGCGCTGCTCTGGTTCGTCAGAAGCGGCTTACGTCATGCTGGCCACATGACTCGGAAGCTGTACGCCGGCTCGTTGGGTAATGAAGCAAGATGAGCACGACTGGACCTAATGGTCAGGGGTCCCTTTACCTTACATGATAGGAGTGTCATCATTCCAGTATAATCCTAAATATGTTTATTCATAAGCCCTGTTGAACTGAACTTACACCTTCATCCTGAAAAGCGAGAAGAGCATTGCACCCCATAGTCACCTTTGACTGGACTTAACCGTCCAGGGGTCCTTTACTTTTTTACTCCCTAAAGGTGTAATTAGGACTACAGCATTAAAGTCTATATTATGCATCCTCATTTTCTCATACAACTGCACTCTTTACTTGTCAACTGTTCTCTTTCTTTGCCTTTAACACTTTCTCTTTGCCTCAAAATCAGTGCTGTGGCCTCCCCAAAAGTACAACCACACAGAATAAAACATCCAGATATATGTCAACAGCAAAAAACCCTCAGAATAAGAAAGCTTGATTTCTATTTATAGATCACCAAAGTGTCTATAAAATAAATAAAATAAAATGATGATGAGCAGATGAAAGTGCCTGCCCCAGGGAGATTACAATCTGAATATTTGTCACAGGGAAGATGTGGAGAAAGATAAAACAGGAAAAATATGCCATTATTTCAGCTACACATTCTTAAGGTTATAGATACAGTAGGGCATGAAAACTAGAAGGTTGAGGCAAATGCTTCACAGAAAACATGAGTTTGTTTGACGGATTTTGAAGGAATGAGGTTGCATCCCACAGGTGTTCTGGAAAGCAGTTCCAAGCATTCTGGGGAGCAGGAGAGAAACTGCTGAATCTTTTGAGGGAGCAAGAGACCTTGATTTATTTGCAAAAAGCAGCCACTTCCTATGGCTCTTTCCCAGAAGCACAGGCCATTGTTCTCTTCCATGTATAAGGTGAAACATCTGTTCTTCCATTGTAGATGCTGCAAAACCTGAACTACAAATTTCACAGCTGAACTAACAGATCATAATGGGTGGTAAGAACCATAGAATAACAATGCCATGGCCTTTGGCTAGCACAATAAAAGTTCATGCATGTAATTCAGCATTAAGTAGGCACTTGGGACTTGACTTGGCACAGCTTATTTGTTTATAGTTTACCTGCCATAGCGTCTCCCCAAGACTTCTAGGAACTGTAGTCTCAACTGTTGTTAGTTCTGCTATAAATTAAAGTGCGTTAGTGACTGATTAAATTCTTTCATTACCCCGCTATGCTCACAATCCAGGTAGTTAAGATTGGTCACCCCTCTCATTGGTCACCCCTGAAAGATAAAATAAGGATCTTAACAGACCGTAGTCATTGCAAGCTGCACATCCTTTCAGGCCCTCTGGCTTTCGCTTGTTTGGGAGACTGTCCCTCGTACCTTCCTGGTGGCCCCATGCAAGACGCACAGAGAAAGCCCAAGCAGGCGTTCAGCTGTTTCGAAGAACCGCGAGAGGCCGGAAGCCGGGGCCTCTCGTATATCAAGGCCCCGTTTGACCTTCACCCAGCCCCGGCCCGCGTTCTACGCAAGTCCCCGGCTCGGGCCTGCGCGACCCTACAGGCCGACTTACCTCCTTGTTAATCTGCTCGAAGATGGAGTCCGCGCCCTGGTCGAAGGCTCGCTCGAAGAGCAAGGCGCCCACCACGACCGTGAGAGCGAAGGTAGCGCTGCGGCGTAAAAGCACTCGGTAGACCTGCTTGGCGAGCGTCATCTTCGGCAGCCTTCAGGTACCGCGCACGCGCAGCTCTCGCACTCCTCTAGCAAGGGCGGCCCCTCCGGCTGCCAAAGCTTTATGGGTAACGAAGCCTTTTCCCGCGCGGGATGATGGGCATTGGAGTCCCGCTCCAACCCCCTAACTTGGAGTCTGCCGGGTAGATAAACTTCATTTCCCGGGATGGCCCACGGTTGGTGTCACGTGATCCTTGGGAGCTCATGCCTTTGGGAGTCGGAGTCTTGTGTGCTTTCCGGGGATTTTAGAATCCTGCACCAAACTGCAGCTGCTAGTTGGATAGAGTACTATAGTTAGAGATGTTGCCTGCTGGGTTCCTCTACCAGGTGTGAGGGGCGATGCCTGTGATGTCTGTGTAAAGGGAGGTGAGTAGTCTGTTGGGCTGTTTTGCTTTACTTCCTTGCCGCCCATGGCCTCGGCTCTTATTTACAATGGCATGGTTAGCTGCTTTCTACCAGGTAAGACGCACTTGTCCATCCAGGTTGCCTTATGACAGAGTCAGACCATTGGTCCACCTAGCTCAGTATTGTCTACACGGACTGGCAGCAGCTCTGTAGAGGTTCAGGCAGGAGACGCTCCCAGCCCTGGCAGGAGATGCTAGGGATTGAACCTGAGACTGGTATAAAGAGGTGTGGGAAATAGCTATTACAGTGGTACCTCGGGTTACATACGCTTCAGTTTACATACGCTTCAGGTTACAGACTCCGCTAACCCAGAAATAGTGCTTCAGGTTAAGAACTTTGCTTCAGGATGAGAACAGAAATCGTGCTCCAGCGGCGCGGCAGCAGGAGGCCCCATTAGCTAAAGTGGTGCTTCAGGTTAAGAACAGTTTCAGGTTAAGAACGGACCTCCAGAACGAATTAAGTACTTAACCCGAGGTACCGCCGTAATAGTAAATTAGCATGTGCTGTTAAGGTAAGACGGGGAACATGCAGGAGAAATAATTTTGAGTAGATATGGAAGGTGTTTGTAGAATTTGTACTGTTAAAATGGCCAGGGGTCAAACCATCGCAAGAGGTGATGAAATTTTTGGAGGCTGGATAGTTACAATGGAATGGTCTCGGGGGTGGGGTGCACATTTTTATTCTTATTTATTTATTATTATTACTTTGTCAAAATAATAAAATTATATAAATATCTGAGACTTTCACTGGTATGATCGGATAGAACAAGGAGTATTCACTGCTTGCCAGTATTGGCAATACTGAGCTATATAGACCAAAGGTTTGTCTGGGTATGTAGGGCAGCTTCCCGCGTTGCTTTCTCACCATTGTTGTTGTTGTTTAGTCGTGTCCGACTCTTCGTGACCCCATGGACCAGAGCACGGCAGGCACTCCTGTCTTCCACTGCCTCCCGCAGTTTGGTCAAACTCATGCTGGTAGCTTCGAGAACACTGTCCAGCCATCTCGTCCTCTGTCGTTCCCTTCTCCTTGGGCCCTCCATCTTTCCCAACATCAGGGTCTTTTCCAGGGAGTCTTCTCTTCTCATGAGGTGGCCAAAGTATTGGAGCCTCAGCTTCAGGATCTGTCCTTCCAGTGAGCACTCAGGGCTGATTTCCTTCAGAATGGATAGGTTTGATCTTCTTGCAGTCCATGGGACTCTCAAGAGTCTCCTCCAGCACCATAATTCAAAAGCATCAATTCTTCGGCGATCAGCCTTCTTTATGGTCCAGCTCTCACTTCCATACATCACTATTACCTCACCATTACCTGATCTTTAAAAAACCCAAAACAAAACAACCCTGGAGATACTGGAGATTGAACTGGCGGATGGGGGCTTGCAAAACACATGTTCTACCACCAATCATTCATCAGCAGAGATCACTTCAGATTGGTAACCGCGTTAAGATTTTTGCAGCAAAGACAACATCAAAGAACCTGGCAATTTCTGAAGAGACAAACAGATTTTGAAGCAATTTTAAAGTAACATTTGTATGACTCATTTTAGGAATGTTTGGGTGCCTAATTCCTTGATTGTTTGTTTGCTTGTTTAAAGCTTTATAAATTGCATTCTTGTTAAAAAAAAAAGTTCCAAAATGAATGAAAACATCAATAAACTATCACAACAAATGTCCATAAATACCAGTTGGTTAAAAAAAATAATCACTTTGCAAAGGCTGGTCTAAATAACACCATTTTCAGAAGACGTCTGAAAGAAGGGTGTGATGGTTCCTGTCAAACTTTTAGTGGCAGTGAGTTCCACAGGGCAGGGCCTGCCATGCTAAAGGCTCTGTCCCCAGTAATAATATTAATAATAATAATAATAAATTTTTAATTATACCCCGCACTCCCCAGCCAAGACCGGGCTCAGGGCGGCTAACAACCAATAAGAAAAACAAGTTGATTAAAATACAGTAGAGGCCAACCGAACCTCAGGGGAGTCGGGAACCACCAGAAATGCCCCATCAGAGAACCTTTGTGACTGAGGTGGAGCATAAGGAGCAATTGTTTTCCCATTGTAGCTATAAGAATTTAAAAAAGAAATAAATTCAAAAGTAATAGTTCAAGGGTGGGTGGGGAACTAGCACCATATTTATTTATGTTTTTGGCTGAAAAAATCATGTGCCTCTATGACTTTAATAGCTTTCTAGGTGCCACTACTAGACTCCAGCCTATTTGCAACCATCATCCCAGCATCCGAAGCAACTCTCAGTTGCCTTCTGGGCAGCAAATGAGCTGATTTGATCGATGAAGCCCAAAATGATTCTGACTCAACCATAAATTAGACTAGTCTCCTCTGCTGAGCTGTAATGTTGTTGTTGTTGTTGTTTTTTATAATTTTTACAATATTTATATACTGATTATCAACCATCATGGTTCTTGAAGCGGTATGCAATAATGCTGATCAGATTTATAGGCGGATGGGATTGCTATTACTGCAATAGACCCTATTAAGTCAGCCTGGTAAATGAGCCCACAAATAGTATTAGGCTGCAAAAATAAATATTGCTAGCCTGTTAATGAGGCTAGTGGAAGAGGGGGAGCTGTAGTCTCTGAAGCTGTAAGAATGTACCGAGAGCCTGTCTGCTGGATCTGTCCAAACACCCATCTAGTCCAGTATCCTGTTCTCAGGGTGACCAAACAGATTCTTCTTCTGGGAAGCCCATAGCCAGATCTGAGCACACCAGCTCTTTTCCCACTTGTGATTCTCAGTGACTGGTATTCAAAGGCTTACTGTGTCTCCACCCCTATCGTTCAGCCCGGACACTGAGATCCAGCGCTGAGGGCCTTCTGGCGGTCCCCTCCCTGCAAGAAGTGAGGTTACAGGGAACCAGGCAGAGGGCCTTCTTGGTAGTGGCGCCCACCCTGTGGAACACCCTCCCTTCAGATGTGAAGGAAATAAGCAGCTATCCTATCTTTAAAAGACATCTGAAGGCAGCCCTGTTTAGGGAAGTTTTTAATAATTAACTGTTTAGTAATTAAGCTGTACTGTTTTTAACACTTGATTGGGAGCTGCCCAGAGTGGCTGGGGAAACTCAGCCAGATGGGCGGGGTATAAATATTAGTATTAGTATTAGTATTAGTATTAGTGAAGAAGAGAACATAGCCATTGTGGCTTAGTAGCCAACGATAGCCTTCTGTTCCATGAATTTGTCTAATCCTTATTTTAAAGCTGTCCCCCAAATCACTACATCTTGTGGGAATAAACCTGTAGGAAAGCTGTGCAATCAAGGAAAGGAAGCCAAAGTCTGATCATTTCTCCCCCCCCCCCCAAATAATCTTTATTAGTTTTTCAATTAGATACTCCACATACACATATTGTATTGCATTTTACATTTATACTTGCTCTTCAGAGCTGACTTCCCTCCTTCCTTCTTCTGGTTTTTATATCACATACAATTTGATCACATTATTTTCTTCCAATTTATATATTTTTATTCATTTTCCATATTTGTCCATAGTGTATCCATAAACAAATAAGTCATCATGTTTATACAATTCTTGTTGTCTGTCTGTATTCATTTACCACTACTGTTAGTTATATGAGTTTCCTTATACATTTTGCTTCTTACTATTTTCATTATCCATCACTTTTCTCAATCTTTCCCGTTATGAGGTTTGTTCCCCAAAGTCTGATCATTTCATTGACATGTGGGTAAACAGTATTTGATCTTCCCTGCAGAGGTTTCCTTCATCAAGCGTCTCCATGGGGAAGCGCTATTTCTGCGACTACTGTAACCGCTCTTTCCAGGACAACCTCCACAACAGGAAGAAGCACCTAAATGGGGTTCAGCACCTTCGGGCCAAGAAAGTCTGGTATGATCTGTTTCGAGGTAAGAGGCTGCTTGGTAAGAAAGAAGAGCCCTTTGGTTGGATCAGGCCTGTGGCTTATCTGGTCCACCATCCAGTGGCCAAGCAGATGCTTATTAGGGGAAGCCCGCAAACAGGACCTGAGAATGACAGCACTCTCTTCCCACTTACAAGTCCCAGCAAATGGTATTCGGAGGCATTTGCTGTCCCCGACAGAGGATTTGGAACTCCCGATTGTAAGCCTGGGTGGGATTCTTGTGGGACGCCTCTTGCTTGCCCTAGTGGATGTTTGGAGCAAGGCCCCTCACCTCATTTTATCCATTAAGGTCCATAAATAGTGGTCCTGGGCCCTAAGGAGGTCAGATTAGCCTCAACCAGAGCCAGGGCCTTTTCAACACTGGCTCTGGCCTGGTGGAACGCTCTGTCTCATGAGACCAGGGCCCTGCAGGATCTGATTTCTTTCCGCAGGGCCTGTAAGACAGAGTTGTTCCGCCTGGCTTTTGGCTTGGAATTAACTTGATCCCCCCCCCTTTCTTTTTTCCTTTTTCCTTCTGTGATGGAACTCCTGCTTGGGGACTTCCCTTGCTTTTTTCTGGCCCATGTAGGACCAGTCTGGATAGTTAGCCTTGGTGAAGACTTGACCTTTTCATCCCCCAAAAAAGTTTTTGAGTTTCTGCTGAAATGAGGCTGCATTTTAATGTTGTATTTTAATCTTGTTTTTAAGTTGTATTTCAATCAATTGTTTTATATTTGGTGTTAGCCGCCCTGAGCCCGGTCTTGGCTGGGGAAGGCGGGGAATAAATAAAAATATTATTATTATTATTATTATTATTATTATTATTATTATCCTCTCCATACTTTTAAGCAGAGGTTGGGTGGCCACCTGTCATGGATGCTTTAGTTGAGATTGGACTAGATTGGGGGTTGGACTAGATGACCCTTGGGACCCTTTCCAATTCTTTGCTTTTACGATCCTTTGCCATCTACAGATAATGCAACCATCCTGCAGGAGGAGCAGAGTAAGAAGCCGTGCCGGGAATTCCTGCTATCGGGTATGCTTTTCTTTTCATTGGGCTCCTCCCGCCTCCAAGAAGCTGTTCTCAGGGGCAGGGAGAAGAGTATCAAATATGGGGGGTGCCCTGCTGGATCTGACCAAAGGCCTGTCTGGTCTAGATTCCCAGTAATATCCAAGACAATATGATGACAAAATACAATGATACAATATCAATATACACTCTTTATATAATATGAAATATATGAAATCACAAACAGAAAACTTACGAATCTCTGAAAGTCACAAAATATGCACTCTTGATGGATTCTCTTGAAAACATAAAACCAAATAAACATAAGTCTTGTAAGTCTCTGAAAGTCTTTGAAGACTATGCAAGTCTCTGAAAGAAGCAATGTATCAGATTCTTATCTGGTGAAAACAGGTTGTAAAGCTTTGTTTATGGCGTCCTACGCTGCCGAAGTAGTTCGCAAACAGACATTGTGAACATTGATTCCAGATATACCCACTGTTTTGTGAAATTCTTCAGCACAGCAGAAGGATACAGAAATGCTTCAAAAACTATAAAAGAATATTAAAACCATGGCCTGCATATGCATGGTAACTACAATAAACTCAAAATATTATGAACTATACACATAAACTATAATGTCAAAATAATGTGAAATAACACCAAAGGTACATATGGTGAATGGAAAAGTATAACAACAATTGCTATGGAGCGGTGGTCATAAAGTTATGCAGTCACTGCTACTGACCGTATGTTATCAAAAATATAAAAAGCTGATCCCAGGTGGTGCTCATAACAGGGAGATTGAGTTTAAAGGTACAGTGCAGTTACAGCCAGAAAATAAAGAATCAAATCAAACAATTGAGATCCAATTCAGAATTAAGTCCTCCCAGATGAAGTATTTCATATTATATAAAGAGTGTATATTGATATCGTATCATTGTATTTGGTCATTGTGTTGCCATGGATATTACTAACTACTGTTTGCAACACAGGGGTTAAATTGTTTGGTTACCTGGTCTAGATTCCCTGCAGCGGCCAAACAGATATTTCTCAGAAGCCTGCAAGAGGGGAGCAGCCCTGTCCCTCTGCTGTCGTCTCCTAGCAACTAGCGTTTAAAGATATACTGCCTCTGAACTTGGAGGTTCTATTTGTCTATCAGTAAGCCTCCAACGGGACACGGGTGGCGCTGTGGGTTAAACCACAGAGCCTAGGACTTGCCGATCAGAAGGTTGGTGGTTCGAATCCCTGCAACGGGGTGAGTTTCCGTTGCTTGGTCCCTGCTACTGCCACCCTTGCAGTTCAAAAGCACGTCAAAGTGCAAGTAGATAAATAGGTACCACTCCGGCGGGAAGGTAAACGGCGTTTCCGTGCTCTGCTCTGGTTCGCCAGAAGCGGCTTAGTCATGCTGGCCACATGTCCGAGCTGTACGCTGGCTCCCTCAGCCAGTAAAGCAAGATGAGCGCCGCAACCCCAGAGTCTGCCACAACTGGGCCTAATGGTCAGGGGTCCCTTTACCTTTAAGCCTCCATGAATTTGTCTTCCCACCCTTTTGAAACCGCTGAAGCTAGTAGCTGTCGCAGTGCATTTATTTCTCCCTAATTTTTAATTTGCGGCAGGTGGCAATAGATGCGGACTGTAATAAATAATTGAATTTGTTTGCTCAAATGGTTATATAAAAATCCCACGAATGGAGTTTTGTACACAGGAAGGGCCATACTGCCAGTAATGGAAAGGGGGGGGGGTGATGCAAGTTTTGACAATTCTTGAATGCTGTAATATCTCTTGGTCCTGCTGTGGTGGTGAGCTCCTTTGTTCCCCTGAAGCTGTGGTTTCGTTCTTTAAAATTGTGCTTGCTTTGGATCTCTCGGCAGGACGGTGTGATTTCGGCCCCAACTGCAGGTTCTCCCACATGACGGAGGAAGATCTGGAGCAGCTCAGTGCTCATGTGCAAGGTAAATAGGGTCTGGAGAACGCAGGCACCCGTAGCCTTAACAGGGTGTGGGATAAACACAAGGAAAAGTGCTTATCCCTTCTGTAGACCCTGTGCAAATCACTGTTAGGCTGCCTTTAAGTCAAGAGCAAGCTAGCATCTCCTGTGTTGCATTATGCCTGCTATGGCACTGAGGCTGGCTTCTTGCCAGAGCCTTGACTGCAGTCATTGTGATGGACATCTTTCCCTAAACGCAGCCCCCCACTCCGCAGCCAACACTACAAAGTGGAGGCCAGGGAAGGCCAGAGAGATCCGAGCAGCTGTTCCCAGCTCCTGTTGTGTTTGTTCACCAATTATACAGCTATTGATTATCAATGTAGGGTAAATGGGCTGGGCAAAAGCAAATAATTGAATCAGCTGGAGAGAGAGAGAAAGGCAACTCTCCGTCCCCAACTCCTCTGCTTGATTCTGCAAATCGAAACCTTTTTAATTAAAGACTCTCCCCTGCAAAGACGACCCTGCTGCCTAGACTTCTGGCATTTGGCAAGCCTGCCACAATTGATTTTTCGTTTCCCCACTGTGCAGAAAGGGGCACTCGGTTGGGGTTAAGCTTTCTTTGCTATCTCCCTGGGAGTTCTGAGCAAGATAAGCTGAACACACAATGCTTTTTGGGGGGTGGGGGGCTCTTGGACGGGGGTGGGGAGCAATGGCTGCAGCATTTCTGTTTTATGAAAGTTGTTGACAATTTAACAATTATCCCATTGTCTTTGGGGAAGGGCTGTAGCTCAATGGTAGGGTGTCTAGCAAGCAGGAGGTCCCAGATTCAATCCCTGCCAGCATCTCCAGGTAGACATGAGAGAGGCGCCTGGCTGAAATCCTGGAGAGCTGGTCAGTGTACACAATACTGAGCTAGGTGGACTGAGTATAAGGCAGCTTCCTATGTAAGTATGGAAAAGAGGCTAAAGTCAGGGGTGGTGGGGGCCTTGTCCAAGCCCCACTTTGAGGGGAAGCAATATGAATTTCACTTGGACAGACTGGGGGTAAGCAAGATGTTTTATACCCTTCAAGTGTAGGGCCAGGCCAGGCACGACACAGGAGATTTGTGATTCATTTCTTTTAAAAGCATTTCCATACCACTCGATAGTTTGACATCTCTAAGCGGTATGCATGGAGGCAACTTAAAAACAGTACAGTGGTACCTCGGGTTACATACACTTCAGGTTACGTACGCTTCAGGTTACAGACTCCGCTAACCCAGAAATAGTACCTCGGGTTAAGAACTTTGCTTCGGGATGAGAACAGAAATCGTGCTCCGGTGGCACGGTGGCAGCGGGCGGCCCCATTAGCTAAAGTAGTGCTTCAGGTTAAGAACAGTTTCAGGTTAAGAACGGACCTCCGGAACGAATTAAGTTCTTAACCTGAGGTACCACTGTATTGTTGAAAACGGAGCTGCAACATTTTCAAAAAGAACAAAGCAGCATTATTACAAACAAACAAATCGGAAATTCAGTAGTAACAGGGCCAGTTTTCTGGGTCAGGGAAAGCCTGGGCAAAAAGATGTCTTTGCAAGGCATATGACACAATGAGTGGATGATGGATGGGCCAGGGCATTTCACAACGGTAGAAAATGCCTGTTTTTGGCTTCTCTCTTGAACCTAAACCAGAGAGGTTGTGGGATGGATGGCGGGGGGGGGGGCGGGGAGACTCTTCCATGTTACCCGTTTCTGGCTCCTCCTCCTCCCTCTTTTCCCCCTTTCCCCGGCTGCACTCATGAATATTCAGCAGGCTGGAAGAATAATTGGCTGCCACTGCCGAGCTGGCGCGATCCTTCACTCTGCTGGAGTGGTGGCGGTGTTAATTTCACACCCTGTCGGAAAATGTTTAACATTTTGCTTAAAAGCGTGACATATGGCACCGTCTTGGTTTGGAGCAGGTGGTTGGCAGGAGGGTGGGTGCTGCAGGAGGTGGGTGGGGGGTCCTCCGGGGTAGGTGCTAGGAGATGCCTTTTTTGGATTCTGTTCTGGAATGGTTTCCTCTGGGGACTGGGCAGGGTGATCTGATCATTAACATGGGGAGCAGCGTTGTCCAAGTCCCTCTCTCCCTGCTTTCCCATTGCGTTTTTTGGTATTCAGGTGCCCCGAGGAATCTGTGTTCTCGTTGCTGATGAATGGAACGTTTCCTCCCGACTGCCTCCTGCAATCACTCAAGCTGTCTCTGGCTTATTCTGCCTTCGGGCCCGTGATTGCGCTGTTAATGTCAACGAGCCAGGATGTTTCCCCTCCCCGAATATGCATTAATGCACCAAAGCCGTAAAAAAGCAACAGCACAGGCCTCCTTTGAAAGGAGAAACTATCCTGGGGATGGGGCTTGCTTTGGCTCGCCAAGGCAAGATTTCCATGCCTGGCTTGCTTTGCAACGGGCATCAGTGTGAGTCCCCTGTCCCTGCTCAGGGACGGAGGTTGAGAATGCGAGTTCTGCCCCAGTCGTAACCGGGCGGCCGGGAAGCCACAGCTCCAAGCCCGCACAGGATCCTGAGCCAAGGGTGTAGAAATTCAGCCTGCGTGTAAGAAGAGGCTGGCTGCTGGATCAGGCCAGCATCCTGTTCTCACAGTGGCCAACCAGATGCCTGTGGGAAGCCAGAAAACAGGCCCTGAGCACAGCTTCACTTTTCTCTCCTGTGAGTTTCAGCAACTGATGTTTAGAAGCCTTGCTGCCTCTGACCATTGAGGCAGAGCAATAGCAAACATGGCGTTTGCGGCAGCTAGGCTGGTGACTGGGAGCAGCTGCCGGGACCACATAATACTGGTCCTAAAGGATCTGCACTGGCTCACCATACGTTTCCGAGCACCATTCAAAGTGTTGGTGCTGACCTTTAAAGCCCTAAACAGCCTCAGCCCAGTATATCTGCAGGAGCGTCTCCACCCCCATCGTCCAGCCCGAACACTGAGGTCCAGCTCCGAGGGCCTTCTGGTGGTTCCCTCCCTGCGAGAAGTGAGGTTACAGGGAACCAGGCAGAGGGCCTTCTTGGTAGTGGCACCCGACCTGTAGAATGCCCTCCAATCAGATGTCAAGGAGATGAGTAACTATATTATCTTCAGGACACATCTGAAGGCTGCCCTGTATAGGGAATCTTTTTAATGTGCGATGTGCTATTATGTTTTTATATAAGATGGAAGCTGCCCAAAATGGCTGGGGCAACCCGGTCAGATGGGTGGGGTACAAATAATATAATTATTATTATTTACTGGATTAGGCCAATAGTCAATCTAATCCAGATCCTGTTCTCACAGTGGCCAACCAAGTGCCTCTTCTGGCAAGCCTGCAAGCAAAGGCTCAAGTCCCTCCTGGAGTTTCCAGCAACTGTACTGCTCTCAACACATAAACCGCAGAATTTGATCCCACAAGATCTAGTACCCCTTTTTCCTAATACAGTGGTACCTCGGGTTACATACCCAGAAATAGTACCTCGGATTAAGAACTTTTCTTCAGGATGAGAACAGAAATTGTGCTCTGGCGGCACGGCAGCAGCAGCAGCAGCAGCAGCAGCAGGAGGCCCCATTAGCTAAAGTGGTGCTTCAGGTTAAGAACAGTTTCAGGTTAAGAATGGACCTCCAGTACTACTGTACTAGGACTTCCAACAACTTCAAACGTTGGAAAATTTGGGACAGACAAAAGTGCTTCCTCACACAGTGACGAACTCAGTAACTCGGCTGCACCAAGCCAAGGCTGCGTCAATACTTCAGGCATCAAACCTGTTTCCAAATCTCTTCCTCCTCCTCCTCCTCCTTCTTCTTCTTCTGCCTTGCAGTCATGCCATTGCTCCGTTGAGCTATGGAACTCGCTGCTGCAGGAGGGCAGGGATGGCTGCCAATTGGGGCGTCTTTAAAACAGGACTGGACAAATTTGTGGAGGAGAAGGCTGATCAACAGCTGTTCAGCATCACAAAGGCTCTGCTTTGCCTCCACAGTCGGAGACAGTAATGCTTCTGAATTCTAGTTGCGGGAAGCCACAGGAGGAGAGCATGCTCTTGTATTCGGGTCTGGCTTGTGGGCTTACCAGAAAAGGCTTCTGGTTAGCCACAGAGAGAACAGGAAAGCTGGACTATTGGCCTGATCCTTCAGAGCTCTTTTGATGTTCTTGTGGCTCTTCTGTCTGTTTTCGGAGAGCAACATGGACCTGTCTTCTGAAGCAGGAACTGCAGCTGGCCCTTCTCTTTCTGTTCTGTGCACAACCTGTGAGTCTCATTGGCCCTCTCCCCGGTTTCTTTTTAACTGCTGTGTGGACTGCACTCAGTGATCCTCCCAGCCTGTACAAATTCTGCCAAGGCAAAGGACGTTGTTGCTGTTGTTCTTTTGAAAAAAGGCTGTTCCAGGATTTGGAGCTGCGTAGGTGGAGGACTGGATAAGATGGGAAGGCAGAACCATCCATCCAGAACTGGCCAAATCGCAGACGGAACAGCAGCTGGGAAGGTGGTTCCGTAAAGGGAACCACGGCGCCCGGGCCAGAACTGTCAGCTGCAGGAATACAAGGGGAAACAACCACGAGTGTGTTCAATGGGGCTGTTGGGCTAAATGAGATTGCCCTTGTCCGTCTTTCCAAAAAAACAGAAGAGAGGAGGGCGAAAGAGCAGTGGCAGGACAAGGCAGTCGTCACGCCTGGCACCATTGATGAGTGGCTGGAGAAGAGAGCCAAGCGGCTTGGCACAACTCAGACTGACAGGTAATGCACTCTCTGCAGCTGGGGGGGCGGGGCGCGAGATTTAGGTGATGGCAAAGCTCTGCCTCCACAGTTGGAAGCAGCAATGCGGGAGGGGAGAGTGCTCTTTTAAAAAAATAAAAAAATAAATTTTATTAGTATTTTCCACGCAACAACAACACGAAAGATATCGAAAAATAACAATACACAACACACAAAAATCAACATTCGAAAACTAAAGAAAGCAACAACAACAACAACAAAACAAAACAAAAATCCATATCTTGCAAGTTAATATTATAGACACTAAAACAACAACAGCAAGACGTTGACTTCCACCAATCTCACAGCACCTCCTTTATCTCTCATTGCGTCTTCCTGTTTTCCTGTTTTCTTTATCATCTCTATCCTAACATCTAGATATAAATCCCTCTTTCATATCCTTTCACTTCACAAGGTTATTCCAGACTCAGCCAGATTTCTGTCCTCGAACCTTGACATCCCCAGATGTTGTTGAACTACAACTCCCATCGCCCCTAGCTAGCAAGGCCAGAGCTCAGGGATGATGGGAGTTGTAATCCAACAACATCTGGGGACCCACAGGTTGAGAACCGCTGTCTAGTCTGACTCTCCCTGTTTGCAATATTGAGATGTTGACACTGACCCTACCTCACAGGGTTGTTGTTGCAAAGGTTACTGAGTTGTTGTTGGTGTGCCCTGAGCCCTGCAAAAGCTCTGTAGAAATATGGAGTCTTGTAGGGTTGTTGTTTTTTTAATATATAAAAGTATCTGATTTCCAATGCTGTGCTTTTCTTCTCTCAGTCCCCTCTCCGAGGAAGAGTCAGTTTTCCAGTATCCACCTGGTTGGCCTTCGGTCCAGGATCTTCCACCTTCCCTGCAGGCTCCGCCTCCTGGTGGGTGGCAGGTGCCACCCAATCTCCAATGGGGATGACTCTGCTGACGCAACCAGGACGCCCTTCAGAACACCAGGCGGTGTCCCTTATGCCTTTGCTCCCAGTGTTGTGGAGGAAATGCAACAGGAACAGGGAACCTGCGGGCCTCCAGATGTTGAACTACAGCTCCCATCCTCATCATATGGTGGCCGTGTTGGCTGGTGCTGATTGGAGCTGGAATCTTGGGGCGGCGCCACATCCTTCCCATCCCTGATACAGGATGTACATGTATGTCTTTTCAGCTTTTCTGATTATTGACAGCTGTCCTGCTGCTCAAGTTCATGCATATATAATGCGGAAAATGCAAAGGGGAATCAAAACGAAGTGGACCTTATTTAACGTAATGGTTTGGTGAGAAAAAAGAAAATGTGAAAATTGCTAATGGAAGAAGTCAGCCGACTGGGCACTGAAGGGTTCGCTCTGGCAGTCCTTGGAAGGGTGTCGTAGGGTAGAATGGTCCCATCTCAAGGCTCTCCGTTGTGAGGGGCAGACCTATTCTGCCCTTTGTGGCTCCGCTGTCAGTACTGTGGGGGTTAGCAAAAGGGGGGACGTTATGGAGGGGTGCACCTTGGATTAACCAGATCCAAAGTGCTCATCTTCCCACAGTGTGGCTCAAAAGCGTGGTGGGTGTGGGGCTAAGACCCACCAACCCTGGGAGAGAAAGTTCAGAAGGAGGAAGCGTTCTGGATGATGAAAGCAGAAGAAAATGGGGAGGGGGCGGGAAAACCATCCTAACCCACAGATGCCATCGACCACTCCAGCAAGAACCCCATAGCTCCCTGGATTTTGCAGTCCCTCCAACTTGGATTCTTTGCTTTACCTGCAGAGGGTGGGAATATCTGTTGTTGTTGTTTAAATAAAGTTCAGCTGAAATTTGTACTTCCTGTGTACTTGTAATATTTCTACAGAACCAAGATTTTGGGACACGTGTGTGGGAGAGAATATTAAATCGGCAGTACCATTTGAGCGTCCAAACTTGCGTTGTTTGACTTCCTTCTCTTTGCTGCCTAGTTTAAATGTGTGCTGGGGGAACGCCAAGAGTTTTAACCCCTGTGACATTGCACATGCCCAGCGTTGTGTTTAAGATTTGGCCCTTGGCTGCTATGCGTACACTGTTGTTTGTGTGCCAGGGATCTGCAGCTGGTGTGGGCACTGCGCTTGGTGTGCTGATGGCAAGGCTGAGGACAGGGCTGGCATCATAGGGCACCTGTCAAGGTGCCGCCTGTTTAAAAGCCTTCATTGCAGAGCAGTGATGGGAGATCTGTGGCCCTTGTTTTTTTGCTGGGCTTTGCACCTCCCATCATCATTGGCCTGACTCGCCAATTGGGTCCAGTCTACTGGGAGAGCAGGGTTTGCTCTGAGGATCTTAAAAACCAGGTAGGTTCATAAAGGCAAAGAGTGTAAAACAGAGGGGACACTTATACATGTTTGGTGGACCTGTGAAAAAATCAAAAGCTTCTGGAATACAGTAAATGACCAGCTTAAAAAATGTTTAAGCATAACTTTATGAAAAACACAGAAGCTTTTCTACTAGGGATAATGGACACAGGTATAGCAAGAGACGATCAGAAAATATTCCTCTATGCCACAGGAGCGGCAAAGGATCCTTATTGCTAAAAACTGGAAAAAAGAAACTGTGCCAACAAAAAAGGAATGGCAAGACAAACCATTAGAGTATATTGAACTGGCTAGATTAACAGAGGCAATTAGAGATCACACTAGACAAGAGTTTCAAAAAGCATGGGGAAAATGCAGAGAATACTTCACAAAACAGTGCCCTAAAATACATACCTGGACTTGTTTCGATTAATGTCTGCAGGAGACTTAGTGGATATTTAAGTTAAAATTAGAAAAATCTTAATAATTATTCATAAAGGAAACAGTTTATAAGAAGTAAATAAGGAGGCCAGATACAGGAAAAAGGAAGTATTTTATTTCGTTGTTTGTATTGTTGTATGTTATACTCACTGTATGTTATGTTCACGTTTAATGAAGGTGGATTGTGTATTGGGGGGTGGGGGTTTATGTTATGTTGTAAATAAAATTCCAATTAAAATTATTTTAAAAAAACAACAACATAAAGGCAAAGAGCCAGGCCTTTCAGTAACTGGGTCCCAGATCATTTAGGGTTTTGAAGGGAAAAACCAGCAGAAGAAAGCATGCCCTGAAGCTGCAACCAAATTGGTAACCAATGTAGCTGCTATAGGTAGAGTGCTTCGTGGCGTTTTGAACCATTCAAGATCTCTACAGTGTCTTCAAGGGCAGCCCCATTGCGAGAACATTACGCTCACCTTGTCTGGATGGCGACAATGCCTGCGTGACTGAAGCCCTGAAGGATCGTGGATCTAGTGCAAAATATCTCTTGTCCCTGTAATCTCATTGAGCAGTCTAAAACCACCATAAGGCTACTAAGAAAGGGGATGCTGGAAGAAGGTGACTGTCAGGGGCTGGACTGAGGAAGAATGGTGGGGACCACCCCCCTCCTCTTGAACCTTCCTGGAAACAGGAGGACAGTATAGATTTACAACAGTGGTTTGCAGAAGGTCATAGTTCAGAAGTGGCAGAGGGGGAGAAGCTGGGAAATATGGGGAGAGCAGGAAGGAGAAGAAGAAGAAGAGGAGGAGGAGGAGGAGTTTGGATTTGATATCCTGCTTTATCACTACCCGAAGGAGTCTCAAAGCGGCTTACATTGTCCTTTCCCTTCCTCCCCCACAACAAACAATCTGTGAGGTGAGTGAGGCTGAGAGACGTCAGAGAAGTGTGACTAGCCCAAGGTCACCCAGCAGCTGCATGTGGAGGAGCGGAGACGCGAACCCGGTTCACCAGATTACGAGTCTACCGCTCTTAACCACTACACCACACTGGCTCTCACATGTCTTTAGAAAGCATTCCAGCCCCCCCCCCCCGACTAAGCGGGCATTGAGAGTAGTAGAACAGAAAGCTCAGAGGCAGAAAGCTCAGATCAGCTGGCACAGGGGTGACGTAGAATAGGAGAGACAGAGGGGATGGGACTTGGAGCAACGCCATTATCTAAGAGAGACTGCATTTCTTCATCTCTCTCTGTGAATATTGAATGAAATACTTGGTAAGAACACTTGTTTATCTGCTTCTTGGCTGCCACCGTGGGAGGGATCGGATTCCCCGAAGATTCCTGCTCTGGTCAGACCTCACCTGGAGTACCGTGTCCAGTTCTGGGCACCACAGTTCAAGAAGGACACTGACAAACTGGAACGTGTCCAGAGGAGGGCAACCAAAATGGTCAAAGGCCTGGAAACGATGCCTTATGAGGAACGGCTAAGGGAGCTGGGCATGTTTAGCCTGGAGAAGAGGAGGTTAAGGGGTGATAAGATAGCCATGTTCAAATATATAAAAGGATGTCACATAGAGGAGGGAGAAAGGTTGTTTTCTGCTGCTCCAGAGAAGCGGACACGGAGCAATGGATCCAAACTACAAGAAAGAAGATTCCACCTAAACATTAGGAAGAACTTCCTGACAGTAAGAGCTGTTTGACAGTGGAATTTGCTGCCAAGGAGTGTGGTGGAGTCTCCTTCTTTGGAGGTCTTTAAGCAGAGGCTTGACAACCATATGTCAGGAGTGCTCTGATGGTGTTTCCTGCTTGGCAGGGGGTTGGACTCGATGGCCCTTGTGGTCTCTTCCAACTCTATGATTCTATGATTCTATTCTATGATTCTATGACAGTGAACCAGTGCAGAGCAGTGTTTAGAACGCTGGACTAGGACCTAATAGATCAGGAGTCATGGACTGGCCGAATGTAGAGGAGTGGTGGGAGGGAAACCCCAGGGGAAGAAGGCTCAGAGCCAGGGAAATAAAGGTGGGATATAAATGCAATTTAAAAAGAGAGAGAGAAGGTATCTCCTTCTTAAGTGTGGTAAACAACAGGTTCTAATATAATACATAGATGCCTGCTGGCAACAGGTTTTGATCTAAACACACACACGTACACATGTGGTTCTGTGTCTACAGCAGAAGCCATTGCAAGGGGACAGGGAAGAAGCTATACGGGGACGACCTGATCTCATCAAACTCCGAAGCCATTAAGTTGTGTGATCACAGCCCCAGAGCTCACAGTTTACCTGTAGGGAGTCATAAATTACCAGCTTTTTATAGCCTTGTATTCTCCTTATTTTTTAAACAGTGCTGTGAGTAGGAAGCTGTAATGGCACGATGCATCATCGATGTGCCAGCTGTCAGGAGTGAACTTGTTAAAGAGTGCCATCGGAAAGGAGCTTGGCTGGGGGAAGTGCAGGCAGCGTGTGCCCCAGCAGGGTATTAATTCAGCACGTATAGCCTATTAACCAGAGGTGCCTGGACGGAGGGCCAGAGATCGCAGGGTGGTTGCTGGGGGCCTGGAGGCAGCTTGATGGGTCATCACCCACAGCCTATCGCTCTAGATTGCTCCCAGCTGTTGCCTTCCATTAAGAGCTTGTTAAAATGCATTGCACTTTTCCTCCACATTCATGCCCTCCCCCGCTTTCATTCAGCTTCTCCGTGCCAGTGGTCACTTGGCACAGTTGTGGTGGGACTCTGAAACGGGTGGGAAGGTTGGTGGTACTAATGGAACGAAGCGTCCGTGTGAAAGCATCTCTCCACTCAGAAGGGATTGCCAGCTGGTTCATTCTGCTTCTCTACAAATAGGAAGAGGCTTTTCACCAGAATCTGCTAAAATGAAGGGGGAAACCTTCATTTTAAATGGGAGTTTCCAAGCAACCCTCTTCCTGAATCAGAGAGGAGGTTGCATGGGTTCCTGCCAAACTGAGCAGGATTTAACCCCCCCCCCCCGCAAAGGTAAAGGGACCCCTGACTGTTAGGTCCAGTCGTGGACAACTGGGGTTGTGGCGCTCATCTCGCTTTACTGGCCGAGGGAGCCGGTGTACAGCTTTTGGGTCATGTGGCCAGCATGACTAAGCCGCTTCTGGCAAACCAGAGCAGCACACAGAAACGTTGTTTACCTTCCCTCCAGAGTGGTACCTATTTATGGGTGGCAGGAACAGGGACCGAGGAATGGGAGCTCACCCTGTTGGGGGATTCAAACCGCCGATCTTATGATCAGCAAGCCCAAGAGGCTCAGTGGTTTAACCCCTACACACACACACACACACACACACACACACACACACACACCACACACCAGCCAACTTGCTGGGGACTGAATACTGCTGCTTTTGTCTGCACACCCCTATTCCCTACTATGAACAGGTGCCAACACAGGATTGAACCCCCACCAACCTGCCCATCAGCTGGCATCACAAACTGGGGGGAGGGAATGGACTTACTGGCTGAACTGGACTACTCTGGAGGTCCAGGAATGGCCTGTGGGCTGGAGATTCCTCACCCTTGCAATATCTCATCTTTCTCAGGGCACTGCTGGGTTCATGAGCGTGAGACCAGCATTAAATATTGGAATCTGTTGGCTTCCTGTGCCATGGTCCTTTTGCTGAGCACCCTTGGAGCAGAGAGTTAGAATCACAGAACTGCAGAGTTGGAACAGATCCTCCTGCAGGATGGTTGCATTATCTGTAGATGGCAGAAGATCACAGAAGCATAGAAGGAGAGCCCAACACCTTCTGAAGTAGTCTGTTCCACTGAAGAATGGCTTTTGCTGTCAAAAAGTTCTTCCTGATGTTGAGTCGCAATCTCCTTACCCTTTGAAGCCATTGGTTCAGGTCTTCTCTTCTGGAACATCAGAAAACAAGCTTGCTCCACCTTCCATGGGACAGCGCTTCAGATGATTGATGTTGGCTATAGTATCGCCTATAGGGATGTGGGTGGTGCTGTGGGTTAAACCACAGAGCCTAGGACTTGCCGATCAGAAGGTCAGCGGTTCAAATCCCCATGACGGGGTGAGCTCCCGTTGCTCGGTCCCTGCTCCTGCCAACCTAGCAGTTTGAAAGCACAGCAAAGTGCAAGTAAATAAATAGGTACCGCTCCGGCGGGAAGGTAAACAGCATTTCCATGCGCTGCTCTGGTTCGCCAGAAGCGGCTTAGTCATGCTGGCCACATGACCCAAAAGCTGTACACCGGCTCCCTCGGCCAATAAAGCGAGATGAGCGCTGCAACCCCAGAGTCGGCCACGAGTGGACCTAATGGTCAGGGGTCCCTTTACCTTTATAGTATTGCCGCTCAGTTTCCTCTTTTCCAGGCTAAACATACCCAATTCCTTCAACTGTTCCTAATGAGGCTTGCGTTTCCAGACTCTTGATCATCTTGGTCACCCTCCTCTGCACACCTTCCAGCTTGTCAATATCCTTAAACAACAATGACTCCAGGTGAGGTCTAACCAAGGCAGAATACAGTGGTACCTCAGTTTAAGAACAGCCCTGTTTACGAACTATTTGGTATAAGAACTCTGCAAAACCGGAAGTAGTATTCCGGTTAGCGAACTTTACCTTGGTCTACGACTGGAAGCCGAATGGTGGAAGGTTAGTGGCAGCGGGAGGCCTCATTAGGGAAAGCGCACCTTGGTTTCAGAACAGCTTTGGTTTAAGAACGGACTTTTGGAACAGATTAAGTTCGTAAACTGAGGTACCACTGTAGAGTGGTACAATTCCCTTGATCTGGACGCTATATTTGTGTTCCTGCAGCAAATAATTGCATTACCCTTTCCAAAGCTATTTTTGCTGCTGCATCACACGGTCTTGTTACCATCAATCTATTTGAACACATAGACTGTTTTTATTAATATGTAGGTTTAAATTAGAATTGATGTGTTGTTCTTATTGCTAATGTGAGGTGGTGCTGCTTCTGTTTTTCTTTCTGGTTTTGTGTGTGTGTGTCCTGCAAGGCATAATTCAGTGTTCTCACAGAACTCCAGTTACTGACACCCTCCCCCCCTCCCACGGCCTCCTTTTATAAACGATTGCAGAGTGACAGCTTTGGAAAAGCTTTTTTCCTTTAGCAAATTTGTGTGTCATTTACCATGTCTGATATGCACTTAAGCTTCCTGAACTGGGCTTGGGAGAGGGGTGGGGGGAGATACAAATGTACAGATCTATAACTCTTATCATAGCAACAGGAAATTGGAAACAAGCAAAGCAAATCAGACACTTTTTTTTTTTTAATAAGAAGACGACCAGAAAATCCATTGATCAGAAATAGGCATCTTGAGCATGGCCAATCCTGTCAAGTAAGAAGGGGGAAAAAGGGCTAGGACTTTGGAGAAGAGCTGTGGCTCAGTGGTCAGAGCATCTGCTTAGCATGCGGAAGCTCGCAGGTTCAATTCCTGGCATCTCCAAGTAGTGATGGAAGAGAGTCCTGTCCGAAATCCTGGAGCTCCACTGCCAGTCCATGTAGCTAGAAGGGCCAATGATCTCACTCAATACAGTGGTACCTTGGTTCTCAAACGCCTTGGTACTCAAACAGCTTGGAACCCAAACACTGCAAACCCAGAAGTAAGTGTTCCGGTTTGCGAATTATTTTGGAAGCCGAACGGGCCCCATTTGAGTGTTACGCTTCCAATTTGAGTGCCACACTTCCGTTTTGAGTGTTACACTCTCTGTTTTTGCTTTTTTCTTTGCGATTTTTTTTGGCTGCTCTTTTTTGTTTTGTTTTTGTGGCTGTGTGGAACCCATTTTTAGCTACTGACTGACTGATTGTGTGATTGCAGTACATTGTTTATTGCTTTCATTTTATGGATCAGTGGTCTCGTTAGATCATAAAATTCATGTTAAATTCCTGTTTTAGGGGTTGTTTTTAAAAGTCTGGAATGGATTAATGCATGGGTAGGCAAGCTAAGGCCTGGGGGCTGGATCCTGCCCAATCGCCTTCTAAATCCGGCCCGTGGACACTCCAGGAATCATCGTGTTTTTACATGAGTAGAATGTGTCCTTTTATTTAAAATGCATCTCTGGGTTATTTGTGGGGCATAGGGATTCGTTCATCCCCCCCCCCAAAAAAATATAGTCCAGCCCCCCACAAGGTCTGAGGGACAGTGGACCAGCCCCTGTTGAAAAAGTTTTCTGACCCCTGTATTAATGCATTTTGCATTACTTTCTATGGGAAAGCATGCTTTGGTTTTGGAACTCTTTGGTTTTGGAATGGACTTCTGGAATGGATTAAGTTTGAGAACCAAGGGACCACTGTATAAGGCAGCTTCCTATGGATATCCTCAGGCAATGCATCCTATTGAACCTCCATTAAGTAGGTAAATCATGGATGGACAAATCTGTCAATTTCACTTCCTCATTTTTCCATTAGTCTTCCACATCAGTTTGAGATTATTATTTTTTTAAAGTCCTCAGGAAAATTCATCAGTATTTTAAGGCGATTTTCTCTTAATATACCCATTTTATGGAACTTTGCCTAATACACAATTTTTTTTCTTTCTGCAAATCAGTTTTCCCTACCTTTTTTGGTCTGTTGCTTTCACTAACATATGCACTTTTATGCACGCTTCACCCCAGTACATGCATTTTTGAATGCATAACTTGGCTGGAGAACTCCACTGCGCAATTCAGATTAGGGTGAATCTGGGAGGATGGCTGTTTCCCCTGTATCATTTCAGGAAGTGCAAATGAGTCAGGTTCCCCTTAAATGTGCGCTGAACCAAATTTCTCCTCCGCCCCTAGTCTAAACTGAGAATTCTCATTCATTACGACATGGTATACAAGATCAACACCTGGCTTCATAAGCTTTTTGCAACCATATACAACCCTCCTTGTTTCTCTAAACCAGGAAGCTACAGGCAACAGGTGAACCAGGAATTATGTTTAATGGCTTCCTAACAACCTGGGATCTGGAAAGCTGATTTAAACCACAGCTTCATTACCTAGTTTGTTTGGAAGCCACTAACCATAGTTTCCTGGTTCATATGTAATTGAAAGCTACAGCTGATTGCAGTAGCAATGCTTTTAAATACCAGTTGCTGGAAAGCACAGGAGATGAGAGTGCTCTTGTGGTTGTGTTTCTACTTGCAGGTTTATTGCAAATATCTGGGTGGCCACTGCGAGAACAGGTTGGGCCACTGGCTTGACCCAGCAGCCTCTTCTTATATTCTCATGGAAGGAAAGGGGCTATGGGTGAATGCATTGGACCTGGCATATTGAGCTGGGGTTTGATCACCTGGATGTGGCCGCTGCCTTTGTTTCCCCATTGGATCCCTGCAGTACGGCCGAGGCATTGCATTTCTGCCATTGGTGGGAAGTGGAGCTTGAATGAAGGTTCCACACCATCTCTCAGAATAGTACCATCTTCTCCAGCAATGCCTTTTCCTTGTGGCCGACTTCCAAGTTATAATGTTTCTTTGGAAATAAGTCCCTTTCAGCAACGGTTTGTTGCAATGTTGAAGAAAAAGTTGCTCTCTTGTAGTCAGGCCACTTAAGAGATTGTTGAAGGGATGAGTGACAGTCCTATTCATCAGTAACTCCTCTGCTCATCAGAGAGCAATAAAACAAGCAGGACCTGAAAACAGGGAACTTTAAATTAAAGGCACAGGAGGCCCCAGAAGTCTCAACAACACTTTGCCCACCCCACATTAGATGGGTGGATGTTGCAGTTGTGATTTTGTTGAAGAAAAAGCACAAAAAATCAGATCTGGGGCAAAAAAACACACAAGGAAGGGCAAGACAGGGAATGCTGGATTTGAACAAACGAATAGTGACTGGGTCAGGAATGAGGAAATCTGGAAAATATGACAATTCCAGAGAACAGAGGGAGCATGAAAGAAGCCTGGGTCGTTCTCCAGATTTCTAAGGTTGCAGATTTGAAGGAAAAGCAAACCTAGCTTAATTCATATTCTGAATTAAACGGTGCCTCCTGTATGGTGGGAGGCCTAGGATGTGAAAGGCACACCAGGGCGGGGGAAGGACAGAGGTTCTGCAGATATAGTGCTGGGGGATTTGCTAACGACTCTTGGAGTTTACCCCATTTTTATTTATTATTTTAATCTGTTTCCTATTAAAAATTCATAATTTGGGGGACTAAGGGAGGATCATCCATTAGGTAAGTGTCAGAGACTTCTGCCTAGAATGCAGGCAGAAATGATCTCGAGAAAGTATTTTACGTAAACGAGGCATCGTTTTCATTAGTAACACATTTCACATCCCTCTTTGCAGAACTGGAATTATAGCTGAGCACAACGTTATGGCAAAGACGCAGGGGTATGCGTCCTCTGATCCTGGTTGCACGGTCAAATTGCTCTGTCTTCAACAGGTCAAAGCTAATATCAGCTGCAGCATTTAAGAGAATTGAGTTAAATCTGCGCTCACTGTGCCTTGCGGAACTTAGCATGTCCTTAAAGTTAAGTGAGGCTTTAACAGGCTTTGCTGCTGTGGGATGAAACACTTTATCTGGTTATAGCTGTGCAAGGTAAGAGAATATTTTCTCTAGAGCAGTCTTCCCAAACCTGGATAACAATTCCCATCAACCCCAGCAAAATATGGTCATGGCTGATGGGCGCTGTAGTCCAAAACATATGAAGGGAACCAGGTTGAGTTAATATAGGTTAATGCCCTGAGCTGTACTTGTCTGGAAGTCCACGGGCAGGCTGGTAGTTTAAGCACCATGGAGAGCTCCAAACAAGCAAGTTGCTCCAGGAATATCTGGAGCTCTTCTTCTCAGTTCCGATTGAAATTGGAGGGGTTTTTTTGGGGGGGGGGGATGCATCAAAATGCAGTATTTAATATGGTCAAGCTTGCAGGGGCTTATTGGAGCTGCAGTTCCAATTCCTGACTTGACTTGGATTGGGAGCCCACAGGGCACCAGCTAGGCTGGTAGTTTCAGCAGCACACAGAGGGCACAGGGCTAATTACTGGTTTCAGCACCACAGAGAGCTCCAAGTGAGCACGTTGCCCCAGGAATATCTACAGCTCTTTTCCTCATTTTGGATCGAAGTTGGTGTTTGGGGGAAATGCATCAAAATGCAGCATTTCATAAGAAATGACAGGATAGATGTAGATTGTTGCTAACATCATCTCTACACTGCCTCCGAAACCTGCAGTGGAAGCTCACAGGATGCAGAGCAAATGGGTGTGTGTACACAGCCTTAGATTAGAAGCCAGGGGTTGTGCTGTTCATTATTAATATTGTGTCAACCATTCCAAGGCCTACTGGCCCATCGAATCCAGTATCCTGTTCTCACAGTGACCACCTTGAGAAACCTAAAAGCAGGATTCAAGCGCAAAAGAACTCCCCTTTTCTGTGGATTTCAACAACTGGTACCCAAAAGCATCACTGCCTCCAGCTGTGGAGGCAGAGCTTAGACACTATGGCTACAGCCATTACTAGCCGCCTCCTCCTTGCACATGTCCAATTCTCTTTTAAAGCCATCCAGGTTGGTGGACATCACTGCCTCTTGTGGGAGTGAGTTCCATAGTTTAACTATGTGCTGCATGAATGGCTCTTACAGGAATGCACAGAGAGGTGCAATATGTTTTGGCAGCACAAAGAGACACGTTCTGCACTGTCATGCATGTGCACACACAAATGCACACACAGGGTCTTGGAAAAGAGCAGCTACTACCTCCCTCGCCACACATAACCTGCCCATCAAATTGACAGGCATCCCCCCCCCCAAAGAAAAACAACAGTAAGGACTGTTGTCACCAGCATGCAAAAATTATGGTTAATAATGCACAGCAGGCTGAATTGTTTAATCTATACTTAAAAAAACAAACAGCAACCAAGAGCTCTTTATTTAGAAATTAGCAGTATGATTTATGCCTTTTATTATAAATGATGGTGAGCAATTCCCTCTTTGATTGTAACAATGGAACAATATTCACTCTGTCAGGAGCATTGCAAACAGAACCAAGACTCTCTCCTTTTAAAAAATAAACCCCCTCGGGCTTACATTTTTGAATAAATTCTGAGAATGTGCATATTATTTCAAACACCTTGGCGAATTGTACCAGCAGGGTTTTTGTCATGGCAACTTTTAGTTCAGCCTTCCCCAACCTGGGGCCCTTCGGATGTGTTGACTATGACTCCCATCATCCCATGCTACCTGTCCTTGACCCAGATCACAGGGGACCATAGCTCAGTGGCAGAGCATATACCTGTAGAAGATCCAAAGTTCAAGCCCCAGCCTTTCCAGGTAGGGCTGGGAATGTCCTCTGCCTAATACCCCAGAAAGCTCCTCGCAGTCAGTGTAGACAGCCAGAGCTAGATGGACCAGGCTTCTGACTCAGTATAGTGATGGACCATAGCTCAGGGATACAGCTTCTGATCTGCATGCAGGAGACTCCAAGTTTAATCTCCAGTTAGGGCTGGGACATTATTATTTACTCCTTGACATCATTACTTACTCCATGTATTCCACCTCACTCTGCCCAATGGAGGGACTCGCCTAGCAGACTGAGACTGTCAATTGCTGGATGCAAGTCCTCACCATGATTGGATTATTATTATTTAAAAAACCCTTATAGAAAGGTCAAAGTCAGATATGGAAGTAAATGTGTGCATTTAATGTGTCTGGTTCCCACCCCCCTAAAAACAGCACTTGCAGTGGTGGAGAGAGCAGGATCAAGATTACAACACACACAAAGGTTTGAAAACATCAACCCTAAACTCTTCCTCTTCCCTGCCAAAAAGTGCCCCTGAAGCTCTAACACCTGCTAGCTCAAAGAGAGAAGCTTCTGCAGCTAGTTTCTGGCATCTGGATGCACAAATCCTTCCAGGTGCTCAGCACTTTCCATTGGCTGTGTGCATTGGTTTCGGAAGAATGTGTGACAGTTAAAATCCTCAAATACATCTCATGGTTTCCCCTTTTATCGGGAGTGGTCTCACAAACTACTAAAAGGCAGGTCTTAGATGCTGGTAGATTCCAGCTGCCACCAGGTGGGGTCGCCGTTGCTATCTGAAACTGGCCAGAGAGAATTCTGGTGTGGTTTTGCTATTGTACCAGCCCCAAATGGAAATCTATATCTGAACATTCAGGCCAATAGCGTTTATTGGGTGGGAGAGTGTGGGGGGGGGGGGTTGCCAAGGAAAGTGCACATATATAGTGCAGTCCACACCTTATTCTGGGTTCCGTACTTTTTTTGTCCTCAAAAGCTTACGTTTTTGATCCCAGGTCCCTGATAAAAAAAAAACCAGGATGAGTTTTTGACATCCCAATTCTGCCAGATCGCTTCCTTTCCTCCTCACCCCTAATACACAAATGATTGTCCATGGAAGAAGCTCTATAGTATTCTTCACCAACCTGGTGCCCTCTGGAAGTTCTGGACTACAATTCCCATTAGCCTCAGCCAGCACAGCTGAGGCTGATGGGAGTTGTAGTCCAAAACATCTGGAAGGGGACAAGGTTGGCCAAACCTGCTTTGCAGGTAGCCAGCATGGAACCCTTTGGATGTCATTGGACTTCAACTCCCATCAGCCTCATAGCTAGTTGTCAATACCACACCAGTATCTCCTATACTAGCTTATTTAGAAATAGTTCATCTGTTGATTTAAAAGCAGAGGGGGTGGTTTTGTTCTTTCGGTTAAATATATGTTTGGAAAAAAACATACTGGTCTTACAATCAACACAAGAAAAGCCCTGCTAGATCAGGCCAATGGTCCATCTAGTCCAATGTTCTGTTCTCACAAAGACCAACTGGATCCCCACGGGAATAGTGGTTAGTGTGTCAGACTACGACTAGGGAGACCAGGGTTCAAATCCCTGCTTGGCCATGAAGCTCACTGGGTGACCTTGGACCAGTAACTGCCTCTCAGCCTAGCCTCCCTCATGCGGTTGTTGTGGGGATTAAATGAGGAGGAGGGAACTGTGTACGTCATCTTGAGCTCTCTGGAGAAAATGTTGGGATATACAGTGGTACCTCTGGTTGTGAACAGGATCCGTTCCGGAGGCCCGTTCGCAACATGAAAAGAGCGCAGCCTGAAGAGCCGTATCTGCGCAGGTGTGTGGCGTGATTTGGTGCTTGTGCGCATGCGTGAAGCACGATTTAGCGCTTCTGCGCATGCACGAGGGGCAAAACCCGGAAGTAACCCTTTCTGGTACTTTTGGGTCACCACAGGACGTAACCTGAAAGAACGTAACATAAAGCAAACGTAACATGAGGTATGACTGTAAATGAAATGAGTAAGATATAAATAATAATATACCTGAGTGAAAGAGAACATTCCACACTTCTGAGCCCCAGCAAACTGGCATTCAGAGGCATATACCCTCCAATTCCGGAGGCAGAGCATAGTCATCTTAGCTAGTAGCCACTGACAGCCCTCTTCTCCACGAATCTGCCCAATCCTCTTTTAAACCCATCCCGGTTGGCAGCCACCATTGCCTCCTGTGGAAGGGAGTTCCATAGTTTAACTACGCACTGCATGAAGAAGTTCTTTCTTTGGTCTGTCCTGAAGCTTCCAACATTCAGCTTCATAGGATTTCTACAAGTTCTAGAGTTATGAGAGAGGGAGGAAAAACCTTTCTCTCTCTCCCCTTCTTCCTTCCTATGAGTGCTTTTTATAAACCTCTATAATGTTGCCTCTGATTAACCTTTTCAAAGCGGGCGGCTGGAGTGCTTCATTCACATAATCACCCATTCAGGGACATTCACTAGCTTCCCCCTAAAAGCAGCCAATGCACATTTGCCAACAAAAAAACGGAACATGTGAAAAGTCCATAGAAAACCATGATACAGGTTGACACAAGAGGAGGGTTCCATTGTTGGTATTGTGTCTTGGGTGGCCTAGTCATGCGTACAAGTCATCCCCTTGATGGACATGCACATATGTGAACCGGAGAGGCCCACATGCACAGGAATTCAAGGCAGAGAACTCCCATGATGTCCATTGCTTGCTTAGGCCAGTCCCAAGAGCAGGGGAATTGTAGCTCAACAAAGAAGGCTGAGCTGTCTCACGTCATCCTCGGCCAGAGCTTTGATTCACAATACAGTTACTAACAATTCCATCTCTTTCTGATGTTCAGGCTACCAGTGCTGTCCCAAAGATACATGATTCATCTAGCCAGCATGATGTCTAAACCTCAAACTGATGAGTGGATTTACACTAAAGACATATCAGTTTTCTGCGGCATATAATACTCTCTGCGAAGCAGGGAATGTTCACAGGGCTATCTCTACCGGTAGGCAAGACAAGGCATCCTTGAACCACGGCAGCAGCCCCTGGCTGCTCCTCCTAAGACCCCCTGGCCAATTCCTCTCTGCTGGAGGGCATTGCATTAAGATTCAACAGGCAGTCCAGTCATCTTTGATACATGGAATCGGGACAGGGAGTTGTCTTCTCCATTAACTTAGGCAGCAAAATGTATCTGGGGAAACCTGCTTGTTCAGATGTCTGTACTTCCTCAACATGCACTAAGTGGGACCACTCTTGCTGGCTGTGCCCCCAGTGCCAACATGCCCCGCTCTCACTGCTGCATGCATAGAATCATAGAATTGTAGCGTTGGAAGGGACCCAAAGAGTTATCTAGTCCAACCACCTGTGATGCACGGAAGGCCTTCTGATGAACACCAAATGCTGAGGGGTTGTGACTGGCACGTGCTTCAGTCTCGATCCTATGGCCCCCCTCTCATGCACATGAGGGGTTTCTGCTGAACAGCTCTAGTGTTAGGCTGGATTAAATTTTACGTGACCCGGAGGTGCCCATAGGGATTGTTGGGTGGAAGGCAGGGAGCCCAACACTAGGGGGCGCCAGAGCCAATGGCATGCAGAGCCAGCTAATTCTAGTTTTGTCTCCATCCTCCTTCCGGCTGAGTTCTACAAGGGCAACACTGATGAGACTACAGAGGAGGAATCTGATGGCCAGGTCTCCCCTGCCCGCCCCCTCACCTCCCACCCCCCGCCCTGGACTGGCTGCAAGTAAGAAGGCAGGCAGATGGGGGCTGGCTGACGACAGACTGAGTTAGGTGGGGCAGTGCCCCATACTATGCTAATGTACCAGCTTCCGGTGTACTTTTCTGAGCAGAACACATTTCCAAAAAACAGAAGCGGGAAAGGGCAACAGACTTGAGGAACAGGACCCGCTTGGCTTTTCTTTAAAGTTTAAGAATTGACTCATTGCGGCACAAAATACATTCATGGAAAGAAAGCATGGGAAGAGCGAAAGTCTCTTTGATCTAGCCATAGTATAACAAGAACCAACAGCTTGCAAGTTAAAAGTTGGACAAATTCAAATCAGAAATAAGGCACAATATATATATAGATAAATATCTCTCTCTTTTTCCCCTCCCTTCCTTCCTCTTTTTTTTTTTTTTAAATAACAGGGGAAATAGTTAACTGCTGAGGCAGGCTGCCCAGGAATAGCAGTGATATCTCCATCACTCAGACGTCTCCACCTCAAGACAAAACACTGTTGGAAAAGAGAACTCCCCTCTAGCCAGGTGACGTTATACTGGGCTTAGCAGAAGGGAAATTTGCAGTTGGAAAGATGGCGGAGTTGGTGATGTCAGTGGTGCTCTCTGGACACCTTTGTTTATATATACAGGATGTGACACCGTCGTGAGTGGATGGCTCAGGGCACAAAGGAGGTGGAGTCTCTTATGTCTCCTGGAACATTCTGGCCCAGCGCCCCCTTGAGGAGGAAGAAGGGATTTCCCCGCGCCTGGTGTGGCCTGCCGCAGCTCATTCACATGCAGTGGGGAAGAGAACAGCTGCAGAGGCCACACCAAGGCGCGGTTCCTCCTCTGAGCAAGCCGACCTTTGGCCGGTGTCCTCCATCTGAATAACCCCCAGGTCCACATAAGCAGGCTCTAGTAAGCCCCTCCCTCCCAGGTTTTTTTTGGGAGGGTAGGGAGCGGGGAGAAAAAAGTGCATAGATGCCCCCAAAGGGCCTGCTGGGAAGGGGGGAGGTCGGATGAAAATACAAACAGCAAGTGATTCGCGTCCAGCCCTTGGAGTGTTTAATGTTCATGCAGCGCCTGAATTTCAGACTGGAAAATCCTGACGCAAGTGTATTGCTTAACTGATTATTCAGTTTATCATAAATATATATATGTATATTATATATAATAAGAAGAATAATAATTTCATATATATATATATATATTTGTAGGAGTCTAATATCTGGTTATAAAAGCACACGGTATTGCATCACTCAGATTTTAGGAGGTGGGGTGGGGTCTCCATGCACGTCGACATGCTTTTAAAGTTGAGTTTAAAAGTTCCACCGTGGGGAGGGGGTGGTTCCAGGGACTCCCCAGCCAGACTGAGGTGGACCCACCCCAGGGGGAGACCATGCTATCTGCTGAGAGAAGACAGCAGCATCTCGGGTAAGGAGGGGAGCCCCCCTCCAAATACAGGAGGGAGGGGAGGTGGGTTTATGGGTGTGTGTGCAGGAGGCTTGCCGTGGAGGAATCACAATTCCCCCCCTATCCCACCCCTGGCCCTCGTGGCTATAGGTATTTATAGATATGTATAGTTTGTTTTCTCCATTTGTTCTTCAAGGAAGTCCATCTCTCCAATTATCCGTCCGTCCATCCATCCATCCATCCTTCCAGCTGTGGCTACTTCATCCCACTTCTCAGCACCTGGTTGGCAGCAATCAACATGACACTGATGATGAACGCGATGGCAAAGGCGCAGATGAGGCTTTTGCGGACGCACGTCTGTCTGATCTGTTGGTTTGAGCAGGCTGAGGAAGAGGGAGGAAAGGTGAGGAGGGGAGGAACAAGGAGAGGAGGAGGCGGAGGGTGGTTTGAACAGAGAATGAGAAAAGAGAGAGCATAGAAGTCAGTGGCATAACTTTGGGATGGCGGCAGAAAAAGGATACCTGCTGAGCTTAAAGATTCTCTAGCCCAGGGGTTGGCAAGGTTTATCTCGCCTGGGCTGGTTCACTGCAGCGGAGATCCCTCTGTAGGCCAGATTTTGCACGCATGCGTGATTTCCAGTGCCTGCGCCTGCACAGATGCAATTTCCGGCGTTTGCTTCTACGCAGACATGATTTCTGGCGGCGCGGGGACTCGCCAAGTGGGCAGCTCGGTTAGGGGGTGGCTCGTGGGCTGGTTAAATGACCCCTGTGGGGTGCTTGTGGTCCATGGGCCTTAGGCTGCCTGCCCCTGCTCTAGCCCTTGAAGAACAGAACCTTCATGAGCATCAGTTCCTTAAAATATATATATACAGTGGTACCTTGAGTTACAAACGGCTTAGGTTACAAACACTTCAGGTTACAAACTCCGCTAACCTGAAAGAGTTACCTCAAGTTGAGAACTTTGCCCCAGGATGAGAATGGAAATCGTGTGCCAGCGGCACAGCGGCAGCAAAAGGCCCCATTAGCAAAAGCACGCCTCTAGTTAAGAACAGGTTCAGGTTAAGAACAGACCTCCGGAACAAATTAAGTCCATAACTTAGAGGTACCGCTGTATGTATGTATGTGTGTGTTTTACAAAATTTTATACATTTTATCTTTAACCATTTCAAACATGGAATAAAATTAGATTTTCTGCATCTTTTACCGTTATCTAACTGTTACATATCCATAGTTACCATCATTAATTCCACATTACAAGTGTCATTACGTCCCTGCCAATGATTTTAACTGTTTACAGTGGTCTTTTAAGTAAATTAATAATGTACTCCAATTTTTTTTTAAAAAATACTTGATCTTCCTGGTTCTTCAGTTCCACTTCCACACCCATACAGCATATATTAACATCAGAGCTGTTTGGGAGAATAAAAGACACATGCCAGCAAATATTGCTCATCCCCTGGAAGCATGGACGCTGGGTTTCCAAACCATCAGACAATGGTAGCCAATAATGCCACTCTGAACAATTATTTTGGGGTCTTCCCCATGACTAGCAAAACCCACATAGAATTGATGGGATATACATTTAAGAACACGTATAAAAAATAACATGTAAATATGTGAATAATTTATACAGGTTGCTGCCTACAGTTTTTCTTGAAGCAGGGCTATGGCAGGCACCCATTGTCTGCACTTCTCAGAAACAGTTAAAGACATTTTTGTTCCAGCAAGCTTCCGTAGCAGGATAAATGGGTCTTTACCATGTGTGTGCTCTTCTTAGGGTTTCAGCCTTGTTTTAAATGTAAAGTGGTACTTCTGGTTACCAACTTAATTCATTCCGGAGGTCCGTTCTTAACCCGAAACCGTTCTTAACCTGAGGTACCAGTTTAGCTAATGGGGCCTCCCGCTGCCGCCATGCCACCAGCACACGATTTCTGTTCTATCCTGGGGCAAAGTTCTTAACCCGAGGTACTACTTCCAGGTTAGCGGAGTCTGTAACCTGAAGTGTTTGTAACCTGAGGTGTTTGTAACCTGAGGTACCACTGTATTTGTTGCTTTTGGTGTTTTAAACCGTTTTTAAAAATATTATCTTATGGGTAAATTGTTTTGAGACAGTGCTTTAGATGGTAATTAATAAACTAATTGTAATAATGATGATAATGGTAACTTGGAGCAGTTGGAAAGGATTTAGAGCACCAAGTAAGAATGTTGGTTGATTCAGCTCAGTGTTAGCTAGGCCAGGGGTGGGGAATCTGTGGCCTGCATGCGGCCCTAGGTCGGATTTCTTGCAACCCGTGTTCTGATTTCACATGGGGGGGCTGATGTGTCATGTGCATGCCCTGTGGTTTGCATGTGTGACATGAGCCTGCCCTGTGGCATGCGTGCATGGCCGCCTGGGAATTTTAAGGGGCCTGGCCCCCTCCTTGATATTATTTTTTTTTGGGGGCTCATCCCCCCACGGCACACTTGGTGGTCAACCAGATATGGGAAACCCACATGCGGGACCCGAGTGCAAGACCAACTCTCCTCTCCAGTGCTTTCCTGCAACTGGTATTCAGAAGCATTAAGAATATAAGAAAAACCTACTGGATCAGGCCAATACAGTGGTACCTCGGGTTACATATGCTTCAGGTTACATACGCTTCAGGTTACAGACTCCGCTAACCCAGAAATATTACCTCGGGTTAAGAACTTTGCTTCAGGATGAGAACAGAAATTGCGTGGTGGCGGTGCAGCGGGAGGCCCCATTAGCTAAAGTGGTGCTTCAGGTTAAGAACTGTTTCAGGTTAAGAACAGACCTCCAGAACGAATTAAGTTCTTAACCCGAGGTACCACTGTAGTTCATCTAGTCCCGTATCCTGTTCTTACAGATGCCCGTGGGAAATCCTCAACCTGGAGCCCCTGCCCTCCCTGCAATATCTGGGGATCTGTTTCCAGCAATATATCCAACTTCTGAGACTTGCTCCTTCCTACACACTGGCTGCCAACCCCCCACCACTCTGGGCTGGTGTGATTTGGCATGCAAAGCCATTCTTCCTCCACTGGTCCCCTTGCAGCCACCATTGGCATTAGTATTCAAAGCCGCTCATAGCCTAAACAGAACAACCACTTCCCTAATTAAACAAAAGACGAGTGAGCAAGATCTAGCACAGGAACAGACAGGACTTGCTGATGTTGTGGCCTTGCCAGGGCCGGATAGACATGGGACATGTGGGACATTTGTCCCAGTCCTCAGTTTTTTTGGGACACTGAACAGCTAACCACCTGCTCTGGCCTTCCTTTTGGTTCCCAGGTGCTGCAGTGTCTTAAGGAGGGTTAGATACTACAGCCTTTGTAGAAGACAACCCAAAAGGAAGGTTTCCCTCCCCTCTTTGAGGTTGGCTGCTAGCGGGTGAATCATGCCCCTGAATAAGTAAAGGTAAAAAGGTAAAGGAACCCTGGACGGTTAAGTCCAGTCAAAGGTGACTCTGGGGTTGTGGTGCTCATCTCGCTTTCAGGCTGAGGGAGCCGGCGTTTGTCCACAGACAGCTTTCCAGGTCATGTGGCCAGCATGACTAAACCGCTACTGGTGCACGGAGGACTGTGATGAGTGCCAGAGTGCACAGAAACACAGTTTACCTTCCCACCACAGCGGTACCTATTTATCTACTTGCACTGGTGTGCTTTTGAACTGCTAGGTTGGCAGGAGCTGGGACAGAGCAAGGGGAGCTCACCCCATCGTGGGGATTTGAACCGCCAACCTTCTGATCAGCAAGCCCAGGAGGCTCAGTGGTTTAGACCACAGCGCCACCCGCCATCCCTTATGCCCCTGTATAGGTTGGGAGGAAAGGAAGGCCTGAGCGATGGATACCCCAATAGCTGGGAGAATGGGAATAGAGACTGACCATAGCCAGTGGGTTAAAAGTAAAGAACGTCAATGAAGGACTGTAGCTCAGTGGTAGAGCACCTGCTTTGCATGCAGAAGGTCCCAGGTTGAATTCCTGACAACTGGTGGTTGCTGAGCTAATTTGCCCCACTCAGTTTAACAGTGAGGGTCTCTAGGTGAGAAAGCTTCCTGAACCACTGAGTACCTGCTGGAGGGTCACTGTCTAGTTCGATTTATCCTGAGGACAGTCTGGATTTTATGAACATTATGCATAAGATCTGGTTCTTTTGGTGTAGCAGGGCTAGGGAACATACCAGCCAGAGACCATGTAGAACTGCTTCTTGCCCAGGTATATAGTACTGCAGGGGGTAAAGAACCTGTGGCCCTCTGGACATTGCTGGTCTACAGCTCCCACCATCCCTGACTGTTGGCTAAGCTAGGTAGGGATGATGGGAATTGGAGTCCAACAACTTCTTTAGGGCCAAAGGTTCCCCATCCCTCTGAGTCCTGGATCAGATCTAGGTAGATGGAGAGAGGTATTGAGGGACAACCATGTAGCTTCCCAGAGTACTTTTAAAGGTACAGGTAAAGGGACCCCTAACCATTAGGTCCAGTTGTGGCCGACTCTGGGGTTGCAGCCCTCATCTTGCTTTATTGGCTGAGGGAGCTGGTGTACAGCTTCTGGGTCATGTGGCCAGCATGATTAAGCTGCTTCTGGTGAACCAGAGCAGCGCACAGAAACACTGTTTACCTTCCCGTCGGAGCGGTACCTATTTACAGTGGTACCTCGGGTTAAGTACTTAATTCGTTCTGGAGGTCCGTACTTAACCTGAAACTGTTCTTAACCTGAAGCACCACTTTAGGTAATGGGGCCTCCTGCTGCTGCCGCGCTGCTGGAGTATGATTTCTGTTCTCATCCTGAAGCAAAGTTCTTAACCTGAAGCACTATTTCTGGGTTAGCGGAGTCTGTAACCTGAAGCGTACGTAACCTGAACCGTATGTAACCCAAGGTACCACTGTATCTACTTGCACTTTGACGTGCTTTCGAACTGCTAGGTTGGCAGGAGTTGGGACCGAGCAATGGGAGGTCACCCCGTCATGGGGATTCGAACCTCCGACCTTATGATTGGCAAGTCCTAGGCTCTGTGGTTTAACCCACAGCGCCACCCACGTCCCAGAGTTTAAAGAACCCCTATCCTATCTACAGGGAGAAGCCGGAGATGATTGGCTCCTTCCCCATCACCTGATACCTTGGCTGGAAGGCTTCTACCTAGATGCTCCTTCCTATGGGATTGAAGGGCATGTAGTTCCCTTTTATGGCCAGCTGGTAGAAGGGTACATACGGAGCTAATGTCCAACTCCCATGGCTCCCATGATTCCCATGGCTCCCAAATTGAAATCCCATGGCACCCGGTGATTCAAGTGCTGACAAAGGTTTGCTTACTCTCCACATCAACCGGACACTCCTCTGCATTCCCCATGTGGCTTTCCTCCTCCGTCATGATGATGTTCTCAATGTCCTTCATGGAGAGGTGCTCACAGAAAGTGTCGTACAGCAGCCGCTTCAGCTCGTCAACCGTCAGCTTCTGCATGTCGCACTGCAGAGGTAGGAACAGTCGTCACAGGATGGTCACAGCTCCTGAATCCATTGCATGGAGCTTTGGTTGAGCCAGGGAGCACACACACACATACACACACGTACACCAGGGTTAGCCAATGTGGTGCCCTCCAGATGCTCTTGGAGTACAATTCCCATCAGCCCTTGCCAGCATGACCAATGATTGGATGTGATGGAAATTTGGGTTGTAGCCAAGGAATGACTTCTGGTTCCATTTCAAACCACATGGGCAAAGGAAAATATGCTACTCGATGGCATTGTGATGTCAGGTGACTGACAGGTGGGTGGCGCTATCCACCTCTCAAAGCAGCTCTGGGCAGGGGAGGTTGGGGGACCGTTTTACCGGCTTCATCAACTATAGCCATTCCTGGACAGGGATAGCCGGACCACTGTAGTCCACACATTGGTAACATCGAGGTTGGATTGCTGTAATGCACTCTGTGTGCGTCTGCAGAATGCAGTGGCCAGACGGCTGACAGGAGCTTCTGGTCGAGGACATGAGACACTACTGCTGAAACAGCTGCACTGTCTACCCATCTACTACCAAGCCAGGTTCAAGGTTAATTTACAAAGCCCTGAACAACTTAGTTCTAGGGTACCACAGGGATCGCCTGAACTCTTATGCCCCAGATCAATATCTGAGATCATCTGCAGGAGCATCGTTGGCCATTCCCTGACTTGCTGAGACTCGTTTGACAACAACAAGAAACTGAGCCTTTAATGTTACTGGGCCAGTCTTGTGGAACTCATTGCCAATAGATATTCAGCAGGCACATTCTATGCTGAAAACCTTACTATTGTGCCAGGCCTATGCAGGCAATTAAGAGTACATATTTCCAAAACGGTTAATTGATGTCTGTTTTAACCTTAGTTATGGTTTTTATTGTATGGTTTTATTGCTGGAAACTGCTTTGATATGGATTTTTCTGACACAGCGGCATGTAAATATTTTTAAATAAATAAACAAATATCCATCCCACTGGCTGGAAATGGTGTTCCGTCCCTGGCCAAGAGGAATATGGTTCACGTGAAGAAACTACTGAGCCATTGTTAGGGCTTTGCATGAACAGGCTCAATGTTATGAATCTTAAGATAAAAGAGAGAAGCTCCTTAGTCAATGACTGGTGTTTGTAATTCTAGACTCAGGGATCTTTTAAAAGGAAGGTGGCAAGGCAATCACAGACTGGCTGTGTGGCATATTTGCACAAATGGGGCTACTTGAAAACGGTGGAGAGAATAGAGTGCTTTGATATATTGATTTGCTAAAAGTGATCCTATGGACATTGTTTTAAAGACAGGGTGCCAAACCCAACAGCAGCCTTCTTCAACTTGGTTTTGGGCTACAAAACCAGAGGGTTTGGACTACAATTCCCATCAGCCCCAAACCAGCACTGCTGTATGATGGTAGGGTAGATAAGAACATGGTTGGGGCTGATGTGAGTTGTAGTCCGAAACATCTAAAGGGCACCAGGTTGGGAAGGCTGTTCTAGGATTTCATATAGGCTGGGATAGGGAGGTGGGGGCCATCCAGATGTTGTTGGACTACAGCTCCCATCAGGCTCAGCCAGCATGGCCAATGGTCAGGCATAATGGGAGCTGTAGTCCAGCAACATCTGGTGGACCACAGGTCCACCATCCCTGATAGGCTAATGTCCTTCCACAGGGCACAATGCAGGTCAGTAGTTTCAGCACCATGGAGAGCTCTAAGTGAGCTGCTTGCTCCAATGATGACTGAAACCTGTTATGACTTCACCATCACTTCTCCCAGATTCCATCCCTACCTCAAAGAGTGGAAGGCCATGCAGGCTGGGGCTGATGGGAGTTGTAGTCCAAAACACATGGATGGCACCAGGCTGAGGGGAGGCTGCCATAAAATGTAGAAACACCCTGAAGAATCCCCATTCCCTTCCTCTGCGAGATGGAAATTGAGCTGGGAAGCATGAAGGAGCATGACATAATTAAGGAAAATGGTGATGCCTACCTCCTGGTGTGAACCAGCAGTTCCAGTCACCATGAAAAACGGGAAAATACGCATCTTCAGTACATATATCTGCAGTAAAATCAAGAAAGAGGGCCAAACCATCAGGTTTCAGGGGCGGGGGGGCGGGAATCGGTGTTTCCTTACCTTCCAAAACACAGTGTCAAAGTCAGTGCCGTGGAATTTTTCCGGGATGCCGGATGTGGAAAGTTTGGGGCCAAGCAACGTCACAAACTCCTCAAAGTCCACTTGTCCGTCGCCTGGAAATGACAGACACCAGCACAGGTGAAAACAAGGCAGCACCAGGTCCCCATGGCAGGTTAAAACCATATAAAAATGCAATACTAAAATCAGTAAAAACAGTTCACAGGCAGGCAACTTCTTTGTGGAAGGCAATAATTGTTCTTAGCAATGCTTCATAGAAAACAACCAAATGGGCATACTAGTGTTAGAAGTATGTGGTCTTACTAAGGGTTACCTCCCCTGCTTGCATTGCTTGTCAACCACCTACGTGACGACAGTCTTACATTTATATTTATATGGTAAGTTATTTCTTGCTTTTGTTTGTCTCTAAATAGTTTGAGAAGGGATATGTTTGCTTTTTAGCTTTGCTTTCACACAGAATGTTTTCTGAGGTCCAGATGATACGTTGTGTTAGTCACATAGCTTCTCCTGTAAGGTTGCTTTAATTATTGAATTAAACAAACAAACAAACAAAACAAAAGCAAGCAAACTAACTAACTAACTAACTAACTAACTAACTAACTAACTAACTGTTAAGGCGATTCAAAGACATAAACACGGGGTCCATTTTTATGGGTCAGGGAAAGCCTGGGCTTGCTCTAGCGCCTTGATGGTTTTGATTTCCCTTTTCCTGAACCCCCCCCCCAGCTCTGCAGTATCCTTGTTGACCTGTCTTCCAGGTGTGGTCACAGGATAGATTTGTACAACTGCATTATTTAATAATAATAATAATAATATTAATAATAATAATAATAATAATAATAATAATAATTCTATGTCCCTTTCCAAAAGACCCCTAGCATGGAATTCACCTTTCCCCTCCGCAGCTGGTAGGCACGCTAGGCCAACATTTTCATCAAGCTATTTGCCACGACCCCTATATATCTCATCCCTGGTCAGTCACCACCAATTCAGTTCCCATTAGTGCATGTGTTAGGAGATAAATATATATGCTAGCTAGATGCTTTGCCTCCGTGTGTATCACTTCACACACTGCCTTTCACTGCCTTTGATCTTGCATCCCAGCTGCCTTGACAAACAGCCATTCCTTCTGATTGGACCTCCCCCCCCCCATTCCCTGCTGCCCCCAAAGAAACAGGCACAAAGGTTAAAAAGCCCATTAGGTAACCAGCTCACAGATTAAAATCCAGCAAGGAAGTCAATAACCTAGGAAATAGAGTTGGGCTGAAAACACCATCCCTCTGGGGATCTTCTATCTACCCTGGTGATCTGGTGAGTAGATCAGATGAGCTGGCATGGCCTCTGGATAATTATTGGGGAATGCCAGAGTTAATTATCTCCATTACACGGACAGCTCTGTTAATCTGTCACTGCAACAAAGGCCGCCCAGAGGCAGCAGCAGAAAATGAAGGTATATTATTCTCCAGCTGATCAGTGCAGGAACACCAGAAGCTGCCTTATACTGAGTGGGAGTATCGGTCCATCCAGCTCAGTATTGTCTACACTGACTGGCAGCTGCTCTCCAGGGGTTCAGGATGGAGTCTTTCCTAGAACTTCCTGGAGATGTCACAGATTGAAACTAGGACATTCTGCATGAAAAGCAGATGCTCTACCACTGAGGTATCACCCTTGCCTTAGGACCCATCTCATCTTTAGTGGAGAATAGCCATACTCAGAGATGCCAAGGATTGAACCTAGGACTTTTGGCATGCAAAGGAGATGCTGCGTCCTTTCACAGTATTGAGTCAGACTATTGGTTCATTGACTGGTTGGTTCATTGGTTCATTGTCTACTGGCAGTGTTTCAAGCGTGGAGTATCTGTTAGAAGTCCTGCTCCATGATTGCAGTCATGGGATTTTTGTCTATCACATGATGGTGTATGTTTTGACTCCACAGAGTGGGAAGTGATGGAGACAGGATGTTTGTGTTACTGTGTTCCGTGAAGTGGGACTATTGTCCTTTGTCCCTTTGCTGTCTGATGCTAGAGAGAGAGGGAGCCATGTTGCAGTGCTCCATGTGTGTTTATATGTAAATAAAGTAGATTAGCCAAAATGCTGAGTTGCTGAGGTCTGTTACGCAAGCTGCGAAGACTCTGTGGATCCCTAAGTGTGCCGATGTCTGTTGGCATCGGTTGCTGTAATGTTTGGGCAGAAGAAAGCTTTTGAAGCTCCTGAACGATCGACCAGGAGGGAGGGAACATGCCAGTCGGGCATGTGTCTCTGCCAGGGTCCTATTCGAGTGTAGGATGAGCTCCTGACAGTATCCTCTCCTCCCACGGTAGCCTCAGAGGCAAGAAGAACAATCTGTTAATATTTTACGGCTTTTTATTCAGTCATCTGGTTGCAAGACAAAGGATCCATGTCTCCACGCATAGGAGATGTTAGCTACTCCTAGTCCCTCCTCTTCCATCTCTCATAACATTCTGGAAAGCTACAGGAAGTCACAGGAGTCACATCCCTCTGCATTCTCTGTTCTTGAATGTGGAGGGACCAGTGAGCCCTTGGACTAGGAGGGTCTCCCATACCCTCCAGGAAGGGTTCTGCTCTCTGCTCTCTAACTTCTCCCTCCTCCTCCACTATCTCATTAGACATTTCCTCATTCTGCTTTACGTCATCCCTGTCTCCCTCTCCTCCCGAAACTGCTGGAGACATGGGGGTCGAAATTTCCCACTCCTCCTCCTCTTCTGAGAGGAGCCGATCAGACCGAGGGCTCAATTCCCATTCTTCCTGTTCAGTCCAGTCCCTGACAGAATGGTTCTCCAGGGTTTCAGGCAGGAGGAGTCTTTCACAGTCCTACCTGGAGATGTCATGGATAGTTTGTTTGTTTGTTTGTTTGTTTAACATGTCTTCAGCCCTATGCTCACAGGTCTCATGGCAGTTCACAACATAAAATCACAAAATCAAAACACAAAACACAAAATATACAAAATCAAAACAAGAACAACCCCATAACCCCTGCCCTCAACACATTTTAAAAGGGCATTGGATGTCAATCAGCCAAAGGCCTGTTTAAAGAGGAATGTTTTTGCCTGGCACCAAAAGGTGTGTAATGAAGTATTGAACCTGGGAGACCTTCTGCATATGCAAAGCAGATTCTCTGCTGCTGAGCAATGGCCCTCCAACTAAAGCTGTTTTCAGGCTGGGAACTTAGGATCAATTCAGACATCGGGGGGGGGGGGGGGTTGAAACTCCTTTAGACTACGTCAGCTTACTGGTTCACTTAGTCCACCACTGCCTACTCTCACTGGCAGTGGCTTTCTGAGGTCTCAGGCTATTTCCCCCAAACATATTTGAAAATAATGTCCCTATCCAAGCTGATGTGCTTTTTGCCAATGCAGAGCCAAGGTGGGCTGGGTTATCCAGAAACTATGGATTACCTATAGTCACCACTGGGCTGCTCAGAAAGATACTTGTCATTCCCCAGCTGCTGGGCCAAACTGGCAGCCAGTGTGTGTGAGAGAGAACCAATTTCCTGGGCAAGCCCCCTTGGCACACAGGAGTGGCCAGCCGGGGTATCACTACTGAGCTGGATAATATCCCTGTGCAGACACCTGCTCTGCAAATCCACTTTGCCATCATGGCTTTCCTTTGCATGCACCTATAATTGACTGCTACTAAAAGATGGAGATAGAAAGCTGTATTATGCTGAGTTAGACCTTGGTCCACGTAGCTCAATATCATCCACACTGACTGGCAGCATCTTTCCAGGATTGCATGCACTGGTCTCTCCCAGCTTCACCTGGAAATGCCAGGAATTGAACCCGGAACCTTTGGCATGCAAGGCAGATGCTCTACTGACTGAGCTAATGTTAGTAATATAGGAAGCTGCCTTATATTGAGTCAGACCACTGGTCCATGTGCTCCAGTATCTTTTTTTTTTTTTTTTTAAATGATATTTATTAAAGTTTCACAAAAATACAGAAAACAGAGAAAAAAGTATAAATTACAGCAAAAAAATTAAAAGTAAGAAAAGACATACAAAATAAAACAATTAAAAACACAATGATGTTCCATAACCTATCTTCCTTACTCTTATTTCCCCAGACCTCCTCATACCTCCCTTCTTTGTATTCCAATTCAGTTTGTTGGTTCAGCAAATCCTTACCATTAATCTTTTACCCAATTGTTAACCTTTTTTTTTTTTCATGTCTCTTAAAGCATTACAGCTAAAAACCTCTTAATTTCTATCCAACATCCTTCTATAGTTCCTTAATTTTACAATATTTCTGTAAATAGTCCTTAAATTTTTTCCAATCTTCTTTCACCGACTCTTCTCCCTGGTCTCGGATTCTGCCAGTCATTTCCGCCAATTCCATGTAGTCAATCACCTTCATCTGCCATTCTTCCAAAGTGGGTAGATCTTGTGTCTTCCAATACTTTGCGATAAGTATTCTTGCTGCTGTTGTAGCATACATGAAAAAGGTTCTGTCCTTCTTTGGCACCAGTTGGCCGACAATGCCCAAGAGAAAGGCCTCTGGTTTCTTCAGAAAGGTATATTTAAATACCTTTTTCAGTTCATTGTATATCATTTCCCAGAAAGCCTTAATCTTTGGGCACGTCCACCAAAGGTGAAAGAATGTACCTTCAGTTTCTTTACATTTCCAACATTTATTATCGGGCAAATGATAAATTTTTGCAAGCTTGACTGGGGTCATGTACCACCTGTATATCATTTTCATAATATTCTCTCTTAAGGCATTACATGCCGTAAACTTCATACCTGTGGTCCATAACTGTTCCCAGTCAGCAAACATAATGTTATGTCCAACATCTTGTGCCCATTTAATCATAGCAGATTTCACCGTTTCATCCTGAGTATTCCATTTCAACAGCAAGTTATACATTCTTGACAAATTTTTAGTTTTGGGTTCTAACAATTCTGTTTCTAATTTTGACTTTTCCACTTGGAAGCCTCTTTTCTTATCGAAATTATATGCCTCCATTATCTGATAGTAGTGGAGCCAATCTCTCACTTTATTTTTTAATTTTTCAAAACTCTGCAGTCTCAATTTATCTCCTTCTTGCTCCAAAATTTCCCAATATGTCGGCCATTTGGCCTCCATATTAAGCCTTTTCAGAGCTTTTGCTTCCATTGATGACAGCCACCTTGGGGTTTTATTTTCCAATAAGTCTTTGTATCTTATCCAGACATTAAACAATGCTTTCCTAACAATATGATTTTTGAATGCTTTGTGTGCTTTGACCTTATCATACCATAAATATGCATGCCATCCAAATACATTGTTAAAACCTTCTAAATCCAAAATGTCTGTGTTTTCAAGAAGTAGCCATTCTTTCAGCATGTGCTCCAGTATCATCTGTGCTGACTGACAGCAGCTCTCCAGGATTTCCTAGCCCTATCCTGAGATGTCAGGGATCGAACGGGAGACCATTTGCATGCAATGCATGTGCTGTGCCAAAGGAAGCTAATTTATACTGAGTCAGACCACTTGTCTATCCAGCTCAGAATTATCTACACTGACCATCAGTGGCTCCCCAGGTTGTCAGCCAAGGGACTTTCCCAGTACTACCTTGAAATGCTGGGGACTGAACCTGGGACCTTCTGCATGCAAACTAGATGCTCTACCACAGAGCTACAATTAGGAATGTAGCACGCTGCCTTAAACTGAGTCACACCATGAGGCCATCTAGTTCAGTATTGTCTACACTGACTAGCAGCAACTCTCCAGGGTTTCAGACTGAGGATATGCCTGGCCCTACCTGAAGATGCCGGGGATTGAACCTGAGATCTTGTGCATGTAAAAAAGAAGCTCTACCATTCAGCTATGGCCTGAAGCAGTCTCCTCCAAGCTGGAGCCCTCTAGCTATTTTGGACTACAACCCCCAGCAGCTTCAGGTGGTGCAAGAGGGAAAATCGTGCCTCTTTCTGCAACCTTCTAAAACAGTAGCTAATGGGGGCCATCACATAAGGTAGACAAGCAAAAGAAGGGATAGAATCCAGCTACTCCATGGGTGCCCCTTGCCCCTATGAATGGGCCCTTCCTGAATCTGCGGGCCAGGGACCTGAGTCCAGTTGGCTTACTCTCTGGAGCCAGCCAAGTAGGGTCAGTTTTGCCACCTTTAATATCAATCCCTTCCATGGAAAGCAGCCCAGAGATAAGAGCAATTCTGAGCGCTGGCAAATTCGCAGCTTGAATTTTATGGAGCTGTCAACCTTTTTTTACAACTCTGGGATGAGACTCTTTTCTGAAAGACAAATATTCCCTTTAGCTGGGGGACATCAAATCTGTAATAGCTCTGGCAATGGTCACATTAGAGACACATCAGCCGGGGACGCTCATGAAGTTCAGTGCGGGAGGGAAGGCAGCCTGGCTGAGCAAGCTAGAAACACAAGGGGGAAAGGAGTGAGGTGAAGATGGGATAAGAAGAATCAAGACTGAGCACCCTCCCCCAAACATGTCGCCTCTCTATTCCCCACATCCATGCCTAATAGCACCAGGGAGAAGGCACAGGGATTTGACAAATGAGCACAAGGCTGGCCAGTAGTTTCAGCACCACGGAGAGCTCTAAGTGAGCTACTTGCTCCTAGAGTGCCTGGGACTTGACTGAAGCCTTTTATGCCTTCAGGGACAGATCACTCCTCCCAAATGCCATTTCTTCCTCCAGGAGTGGAAGTCTTTGCTGGCTGGTCCACAACATCCGGAGGACACCAGATTGGGGGAAGGCTAGTCAGGGAGGAGAGCACACAGAAGAAACAGGGAGTTTGATTCAAAAGAGAAGAGCAACAAAAGGGGGGGCATCCAAAACTTTTCCCACCCCCCTCCAAAAAGTCTTACCATCCATGTCTAGTCTCTGAATGATGACTTCCAGTTCCACCTCATTGGGCATGTAGCCAAGGGACCTCATTGCTGTGCCCAGTTCCTGCTTAGAGATGAAACCGTTGCCGTCCCGGTCAAAAACTTTGAATGCCTCACGGATCTCTGCAGGGAGAGGGAAGAGGTTGTTATTTAGGCTACTAGGGTTTGTGACCAGGCCTTGCGGATAGGCATATTTGTCAATTTTGGTTTCTCCCCCCCCCCCCATTTTTAAGTTTAGTTCTCCTCATTTCCACATTAGGCTGCAAATTTTTCAGAAACAAGTCCCCATGAAAATTCACCATAATTTTAGTGCGAATTTCTCTCGACAGGCATATTTGTAAGCAATTTTTCCTAGTGTACACGGTTTTGCAAAGCAGAATGCGTATTTGTATGGTTGTAGGTTTTTTTTTTTACAAATGCATACATTTTTATGTACGCTTTGCCCCAGAATATGCAGTTTTGTACACATTACTTGGTTGAAAACAATACTACATTTCAACATTTGGCAAAGTGCAAATTTCAAAGGTCCAGTACTGTTTTGGAAAGTGAGAATCAGGTGGTTTGCCTTTTGATACTACAGTGGTACCTCGGGTTAAGTACTTAATTCATTCCGGAGGTCCGTTCTTAACCTGAAAGTATTCTTAACCTGAAGCACCACTTTAGCTAATGGGGCCTCCTGCTGCTGCCGCACCGCCGGAGCCCGATTTCTGTTCTTATCCTGAAGCATAGTTCTTAACCTGAAGCACTATTTCTGGGTTAGCGGAGTCTGTAACCTGAAGCGTATGTAACCTGAAGCTTATGTAACCCGAGGTACCACTGTAATGGAATTGAATCTCACACCCATCCCTACCAGAGAATATAAGAATATAAGAGGAGCTTGTTGAATCTGGCCAGTGGCTCATCTAGTTCAACATACTGTTCTCAGAACATCCAGGGCATGAGAACAGGGCTGCTCCTGACACAACTCCTTTTAGAGGTCTTGGTCTGGAACTTCCAATCTTCAGCTTCACTGGATGTCCCTGAGTTCTAGTGTTATGAAAGAGGGATAAAACCTTTTCTCTATCTACTTTCTCCATGCTACACATAATTTTATAAACTTCTATGATGCCACCTCTCTAAACTAAAACCCCTAAATGGCTATGGTGTTATTCAACCTTATTTTGATTTGCTCTGAACCCCCATGATGGAAGCAAGTTGGATCTTGAATGTTTATAACATTTTAGAACAGCTACCTGTCCCATGGACTGCAAGAAGATCAAACCTATCCATTCTTAAGGAAATCAGCCCTGAGTGCTCACTGGAAGGACAGACCCTGAAGCTGAGGCTCCAATACTTTGGCCACCTCACGAGAAGAGAAGAGAAGACTCCCTGGAAAAGACCCTGATGTTGGGAAAGATGGAGGGCACAAGGAGAAGGGGACGACAGAGACGAGATGGTTGGACAGAGTTCTCGAAGCTACCAGCATGAGTTTGACCAAACTGCGGGAGGCAGTGGAAGACAGGAGTGCCTGGCGTGCTCTGGTCCATGGGGTCACAAAGAGTCGGACACGACTGAATGACTAAACAACAGCAACAACCTGGTTCCATGCAAAGGGTGGTGTGATCTTCACTTGTTTTGTGTCCTTACTAGAACTGCATCAGCATGTGCTCCTGTGTGCTGCTTCCAGCAGCCACCAGCCAGCCAGATATCTCTGGTGGGAGATGAACAGGGTGAAAGGGTAACAGCCATCCCTCCCTTGTCTTCCTCAGCATCTCGTAAACCTCACTTGAAATTTATGGGCAGTAAAACGCCTTGCTTTCAGATTCATTCCAGGAAATTGGCAAGGAGATCAAGTTAGATGTCAGAAACAAAGCCAGTCCCTCCTTGCTTAAGCTACCATTTAATTACACACAAGAAACCCCATCCAGGCAAGGTGGCAATTTATTATTTATGTGTGGATTTATGGGCTCCTAACTCTTTGTGGCCTTGAGGGCACATTTGGAAATCAAAAACTGTCATGGGGACACACACACACACGTTTCAGAGCAGAAAACCCAGTGAGGCACAGAACCCCCCCTCTTCCAAACAGACAAAACACTTAGATTGCTTCTAGATGACTTGTTTATTGAGCATTCATTCTGATTTGTTTGGAGGGGAGTTAGACAATATCTGCTATTTATTGAACATGTATTCTGATTTGCTTGAAGCTGATTGATCATGAAGGTTAAGGCTATCAGTGGGTATCAGTGGGTATCAGTGGCTATCAGTGATAGCCTAATGATGCCTCTACAGCAGGGGTCGGCAAGGTTCACCTCACCTGGGCTGGTTCACTCCAGCAGAGATCCCTCTGTGGGCCAGATTGTGCACACGCATGAGTGTGCGCGGCCGCGATTTCCAGCGTCTGAGCATGCACAGACATGATTTTCGGCATCTGAGCATGCGCAGATGCGATTTCTGGCACTGCAGAAGCGAGTCCTCACGACGCACTGCACTGGTTTAGTGCAGCGCATGGAGACTTGCTGAGCAGGTGACTTAGTTTGGGGGTGGCTCAGGGCTGGTTAAACGACCCCCGTGGGCCGCTTGTGGCCCATGGGCCTTAGGTTGCCTACTCCTGCTCTACAGTCAGAGGCAGGGATACTTCTGAATATTAGTTGCTGGAAGTCACAGGAGGGGCGAGGGCTGTTGTGCTCTGGTCTCACTTGAGAGTTTTGCCCAGGCATCTGGCTGGCTGTTGTAAGAACATGATGCTGGACTAGATGGGCTGCTGGCATGATCCAGCAGGGCACTATTATTATTATTATTATTATTATTATTATTTATCCACCCATCACCCTCAGGTCCCAGGGTGGGTTACAACAATGGAAACAAACATTAATATTAACATACAATATTACACAATATTAAAAACAATTGAAAAAACTAATTTCTCTCTCTCTGTGTCGGTCTTTTATTTATTTTCTTAAGTTACATAACAAGCACCAACAATTTAACAAAAGACAAAAGGATGTTATGAAATCTACCCCGTAACAAGCTGAACAAAATCAGAAGAAAAACACCAAGAAGCTTCTATGCTCAGACACCCACAAAGAAGTTCATATAAATGCAGAGATAGCGTATTTAAATTAATAAGAAGTGAGAACAAACATTTAACAGATCCATATTCTGGAGCACACCCTAGGGACTTTCTGTTTGCTGTCTGAAGTATTTGTATAAGCAATAAGCGATAAAATTCCACTGGTCTCTCGCAAACCAATCTCTGTGTTTATTTCCTCTAGCTATTCTTAGTTTACATGTGATTTTATCTGCTGAAACCTTTCATACCATGCTGTTAAATTAGCACCTTAACGGTCTTTCCAAAAAGGTGCAATAGTCATATGAGCAGCTTCTAATACGTATCCTATCGTGGTTTATCTCTCAACTCCATATTATCATCTGTAAATAAATTTAGCAGAGCAAGTTCTGGGGTCTTCCTGACATATTGTTGAGCAATTTTATCAGTTTCATTGAAAACCTGATCCCAGAACACAAATACATTGACACTTGTCCACTGCATATGTTTGGCGTTACCACTTACGTTCTCATCCTTCACTTCCCAGCTGCTTTGTGACAAAAAATGGTCTGATATTTTGGGGAAGTGGGCTCTGAATCCACTTTGACCGAGTGGCCTGAATTTGCTTGCAGGTGACTGAAACCTGCTTGAGAATAGCAACACTCTGCATGCGCACCAGTGTAAAGGTAAAGGTAAAGGTAAAGGGACCCCTGACCATTAGGTCCAGTCGTGGCCGACTCTGGGGTTGCGGCGCTCATCTCGCTTTATTTGCTGAGGGAGCTGGCGTACAGCTTCCGGGTCATGTGGCCAGCATGACTAAGCCGCTTCTTGCAAAACAGAGCAGCACATGGAAACGCCGTTTACCTTCCCGCCGGAGTATTTATCTACTTACACTTTGACGTGCTTTTGAACTGCTAGGTTGGCAGGAGCAGGGACCGAGCAACAGGAGCTCACCCCGTCGTGGGGATTCGAACCGCTGACCTTCTGATCGGCAAGTCCTAGGCTCTGTGGTTAACCCACAGCGCCACCCGTGTCCCTCGCGCACCAGTGTACACCTCACCAAAACGTATAGTAGACTTGGGTGTTTTACTTGTCAGGTGTGTAGCTCTAAAGGATGTGGGGGGTGGGCTTCCTTTGCCAATGGGGAAGCTGTTTCCACATCCTGCACCAGAGGGACAATACAGTGGGAGAAGGCAGGGGCGTAGGAAGGGTGAGGTGAGGGCGGATCACCCCGGGTGCCCTCACTGAGGGGGGTGACATTTGGCGCACCTCCTGCCCATGACTCCCCAGCCTACCCCAAGCCATTGGGGTAAGGGGAGGAGCTGCGCCACTTTGCCGGCGGCATTTCCCTCTTCCCCCTTTGTTTTGACAGCTTAGGGGAGGCTTGGGAGTTGTGGGTGGGCGGCATGGCAAATGTCTGTCATGGGTGGCTTGCTTTGCCCTGTGAGCGGCTCGCTCCGCCTCTGGCTTCAGGGCACGCACACTGCTCTAGGCACCCAAGAGGCTATCCCGTGCCTGGAAGGGCACCATCCATGCCATGCCCCCCTCGGGAGCACGTCTGCCCTGGGCAGCACGGGCATATTTTCCACAGCTGGGAGGAGGTGGGAATGGAGGGGAGAAAGGACCTGGGGCACCTCCTTCAAACAAATCCAGTGGTACCTCGCAAGACGAATGCCTCGCAAGACAAAAAACTCGCTAGATGAAAGGGTTTTTTGTTTTTTGAGCTGCTTCGCAAGACGATTTTCCCTATGGGCTTGCTTCGCAAGACGGAAACGTCTTGCAAGTTTGTTTCCTTTTTCTTAACACCGTTAATACAGTTGCAACTTGACTTCGAGGAGCAACTCATGGAACGCGTTGTGGTAGCCTTTTTTGAGGTTTTTAAAGACTTTGGAGATTTTTGAAGCTTTTCCAAAACTTTCCCGACATCGTGCTTCGCAAGACGAAAAAAATCGCAAGACGACAAAACTCGCGGAACGAATTAATTTCGTCTTGCGAGGCACCACTGTACAGTGGTACCTTGGTTTAAGAACTTAATTCGTTCCGGAGGTCCCTTCTTAACCTGAAACTGTTCTTAACCTGAGGTACCACTTTAGCTAATGGGGCCTCTTGTTGCTGCTGCGCCGCTGCGCCGTGATTTCTGTTCTCATCCTGAGGTAAAGTTCTTAACCCGAGGTACTGCTTCCGGGTTAGTGGAGTCTGTAACCTGAAGCGTCTGTAACCCGAGGAACCACTGTAGATGACTACCAGGGAGATGGCATTGTTAGGCATTTGTCAAGGCCCACAGTCTGTGGTTGGGCTGCGCCCAGAACACACACAGGTGTCCATATTCTGTACTAAAAAATACCCATAAGAAGAGCCTCTCTGGGTCAGGCCAATGACCCATCTAGTCCAGTATCCCGTTCTCACAGTGGCCAACCAGATGCCCGTGGAAAGCCTGTAATCAGGATTCGAACACAAGAGCCCTCTCCCTTCCTGCGGTTTCCAGCAACTGCTCTTTAGAAGCATAGTAACTGTATCTGACTGTGGAGGCAGAATGCAGCCATCATGACTAGCAGCCACTGACGGCCCTCTCCTCCATGAATTTGTCCAATTCTCTCAAAAAGCCATCCGAGTTGGTGGCCATCACTGCTTCCTGGGGGGGATGGGGGACGACAACTCTATAGTTTAACTGTGTGAAGAAGCCCTTTCTTTTCTCTGTCCAGGCTTTTTCAACATTCAAGCTTCACTGGATGTCTGCCAGCTCTAGTGAGAGGGAGGAAAACATTTCTCTGTCCAGTTCCTCCATGCTGTGCATCATTTTATACATTTCTATCATATCGCCTCTAACTCTCCTTTTCTCTAAACTCCCAAAAGCTGCAATCTCTCCTCATAGGGGAGTCTCTCCACCCTCTCGATCATTTTGGTTGCCCTTTTTTTGAACCTTTCATCACTCTACAATATCCATTTTGAGGTGAGACAACCAGAAAAAGTACAGTATTCCAAATGCAGTCGCACCATAGGGGTGTGTGTGTGTGTGTATACACACACACACACACACACACACACACACACACACACACATATATATATATATATATATATATGAGATGACATAAGGGTATCAGCAGTTTAATGTTCCCTGTCTAGCAATGCCCAGAAACTACACACACACACACACACACACAAATACTTTCAGTCCACAGTAAATAAAACACAGACAAGGAACAGGCGATAGATTGGGCAAGGCTGCTTGAAAGCCTTTAAGGGCTCTACTTAAAGACTCTTCTCCTGTGTGATGGCAGCTTGCGCCAGCTTCTTAAGACCCTGGGCACGTGGGCAATAGAGCACTATGGCATGCCCACTGCACACAGATCCACTATAACTCCTCTCAATTACTGTTCCCATAAACATAAATGTCGATGAGAAAAATTGTACCTGGCTCCTGGGGTGTCCCCTACTGCCTTTTAACACCAACCAACCTACACCGCAAGGTCCTTGAGTTAACTTTTTCAGACCTGGACAGCTGCAAGCCAGTTTTGATGCTGGTTATTCTTTTAGAACACTTAACTATTTTTCTGACTGTTCACAGGATCTTTGGTGACTCGAATTGACATCCTGTGGTGCTCGGAACTTGACTGTATTTGATAGATCTATGTAATGAGATCTTCCACTGGACCATTTGCGGGTTGGTAGGCAATTGCGTTAAGTCCTTGATAGAATCTGACAGTGGACATACCGTCCTATTAGCTGCTTGGCAGTGCTTGATAGCTGTCAGCTTGCGTGATGGCCTGCATGATGTCTCTGTAAACAATCAAGAGGTGCCCGCATGTCGAACACTGCAGTCATAGACTCACAGAACCATAGAGTTGGAAGGGACCATGAGGGTCATCTAAGTCAAACCCTCTGCAATGCAGGGATCGTTTGCCCAGTGTGAGGCCCAAACCACTTACCCTGCGATTATGATTCTCATGTTCTACCGACTGAGCTATCCTACATATGTCTGCTTAAGTGCATCAGAAAAGCCCTGCTGGATCAGGCCAATGGTCCAGCTAAGCCAGATGGGGAATATAATAATAATAATAAAATCCAGCATCTTGTTCTCTCAGTAGCCAACAAGATCCCTTGGCAAAACCCTCAAGTAGCCTTAAAAAGTCAAGGTAAAGGGACCCCTGACCATTAGGTTCAGTCGTGGCCGTCTCTGGGGTTGCGGCGCTCATCTCGCTTTATTGGCTGAGGGAGCTGGCATATAGTTTCTGGGTCATGTGGCCAGCATGACTAAGCCACTTCTGGCGAACCAGAGCAGCGCATGGAAACGCCGTTTACCTTCCCGCTGGAAGGTATTTATCTACTTGCACTTTGATGTGCTTTTGAACTGCTAGGTTGGCAGGAGCAGGGACCGAGACACGGGAGCTCACCCCGTCATGGGGATTCAAACCGCCAACCTTCTGATCGGCAAGTCCTAGGCTCTGTGGTTTAACCCACAGCGCCACCCGCGTCCCTCAAGTAGCCTTAGGACATTCCATATTCCAAGTTAGCATTTCACGTTAAATTTTAAAATATCATTGCTCAGTGAAAGTCCATTTCAACAGCGGAGGCTGGTCTGTTAGGGTGAAAGAGGCAGTGACCCACCAACTTTAGTCTGCTCCCAGTCAGCCTCTACCTGCCAGCCTTCTTTCTTACAACTTGCTCGGGGGTGGCCCTGCCTGTCACCTCCCTCCTCCTTAGTCTTAGTGTTGCAGCAGAGAGGAGGAGGAGGTCAAAACTAGAATTAGTTGGCTTTGCGTGTCACGGGCTGTGGCACCACCTGCTGTCCAGCTCCCTGCCTCCCGCCCTATCAATCTCAATGTGCACCACTCACCACCATTTCATTTCAGTGGTTCACATGCAAATAAGAGATGCTCACAGAGTATTTAAGAAATCCTGCATAAAGTGATGAAGGGGGTCAAGGAAGGAGGTGATTCTCTTGTGTCCCAGGGCTTGAATTACATAACACCCTTCCTGCTATTCTACCACTTCTATTGCTGAAGAAAGACCTTTTTAAATGTTTCGAACAGAGCAAAGATAAATGGAAAGGAGAAGAAGTATAAATCAGTGTAGAAATTGGGCATTTGAACTAAATAGGAACATTAAACCTGAAACCGAAGTGTCACAGTGGGGTGTGTGTGTGTCCCAATTTCCTCTGCTCTCGGAAATGAATTCTTGGTTGGTAAGTTATGACTGTTGTTCAGCAGCTGCTGCAGCAAGGATGTTTTCTAGGAGGCTGAGGGCTCCGTGTGAACCCCTTTGGCTTGGAAGAGTTGAAATGGGCAAATGGAGAATTCATGAATACTGCTTCTGTCCTTTTTGGAGCACTCTGTGCAAAAAAGGAAGGGGCCAGCTATTGAAACAGCAAAACATAGGAAGCTGCCTTGTCCACTTAGCTCAGTGCTGCTGACACTGGCTGGCAGCTGCCCTCCAGGGTTTCAGGTAGCCCAACCTGGAGATAACAGGTACTGAGTCTGGGACCTCCTGCTTGCAAGGCAGATGCTCTGCCATTGAGCTATTGCCCTCCTCTTTTTACTAATAAGTAAATAACAGAGCTGCCTAAACACTTTTGGGTGGTTTGAAGCAAGTGGAGAGATAGCTCTACCACTGAGCTTCGGTCCTTCCCTTAAAATAAAGTAAGTCCTAATCCTCAGTATTCAGAATAAAGGGCTGATTTCCATAAGAAGGTAGGAAGTTGCCTTATTCTTAGCCAGACCATCAGCAAAGCTGTGCTTTCTGGGGCTGATAGGAGTTGTAGTCCAAAACATCCAGAGGGCACCACATTGCCAAAGGCTGGCTTGTTGAATGAAAAACTTTTTGGCTGATGAATAGCATTCATTAATATAATTACCTACAAACCTTAGATGAGACTTTCTCTGCATCTCTTGTTGCAGATATTAATATTGTTGCAGTTTGAAGCAACTGGAAGCATAAGAACTGACTCCTTTTGGAATAAATCTTTGCCCAGACCCATAAAAATATTATTTAAACTTTTACTGGCAGAACTCATTAAAATGAAACAGAATACATCAAATGTTATGTCCAAAATATGCATACAATGTCTTGTGCTGTCCAGTACAGGCTCAGCATCTCAGAAAATATTAAATAATCCAAAGAGACCTAAAAGCATATTAAATAATCCAAAGAGACCTCTCCACAGCCAAAACAGCCAAACAATTCCAGCTACCGGGCTGTTTACTCTCCCTTCAGGAGAGCTTCATTTTACATTTTCACTCAGTTGAATTTGGGATACAAAGACTCAAAGGCAACTCCCTTCAAGATGGAGATTTGCAACCCAATACCTCCTACATAATCTAAGGTTAGAACACTCAAATGTCAGCTACCACTTAGCAAGAGTGCAAAGTGCTCTCCTTGGTTTCAATCTAGCCTCATGGTAGAACCCCATGTTAAACCTTCTGTGATATACCTTTAGGTAGGGTTGCCATATTTCAAACAGTGAAAATCTGGACAGAAAATTTGTTGAGCTTTTTTTCTTTTTGGGTGGAGGCGAGGGTTGGCGGCTAAGTTGTTGACCTTTTTTTTAAAGAACACAACAACAACAACAACAACAACAACAACAAATCTTTATTATGGTTGTAGACCAGCATAAGAAGGGAGGGGCTTTTTTTTTTTAGCTTTTGGGCTATTTTTATGGAAAATTGGCAAAAAAATGGCACTGCTTGCATGGGCTGCCACACAATCAGGATTTCCCCAGGTATTCTTACTGATTTCTGCCCAGACACAGTATTCTGGATATGCCCAGGAAATTCCGGGCTTGTGCTAACCCTACCTTAAGCCATTCTTCATTTCTGTGTCAATTAAACCATTACCCTTAACACCTCACACCCAGAAAGGTTGTGGCTGCATGTGGACTCCTGGCCTGAGATTCTCCCCCTCTGATCTAAAAACAAAGAAAGAGCCCTTTTCGTCATTCTCCTGGGCCGTTGTCCTATTTGCATGCGGATTTAATCAACCGGTTAATCCACCGAAAACCATGCAATTAATCCGCAAAGATGCCTTTCGCCTAATTGCTTTTAAAGATGTGGTTTTGACTATATTTATAGCGCAGTTTGGAAAACTTCCTTCCATTCGGCTCCGTTCCCCGTCCTGACTTTGACAAGCCCAAGCTAACTATGACAAAGGCTTAACATCTGTCGTTCTCTGTGTGCTGGCATCTTGTCTGTGACAAAAGGGAAATTAGCCAAAGAGAGAGAGAGAAGGATCCATTTCCAAGCCATTATTCCCGAAGCCAACAAGGTTGTAGGGCGGTCCTGCCCACATTCTGCAGGAAGCGAGATACAGCCTCCGTTTCCAGCCAAGGCGAGAGAGGGGGAGAGAGAGAGAGAGAAAGGAAAAGGAAAAGGAGAAGGAGAAGGAAAAGAAGGTTTTCATAACCACACGGTTCGATTAATGTGTCTCATTTCACTGCCTGGTTTGAATATTAAACAGAGAACCACCTCGAAAAGTCCTGGAAAGAGGGGAAGCTACGAGCAATTAAACATCATGGGTGATAAAGTACAAATATTGCCAAAGAATATTTGATTGGTGGTTTGGTAAATTAGGGTTGTGAAATTAATAGACAGAGCGAATCGGGAGGCACATAATACCGTTCGGCATTTAGGCAAGTGTTTTACACAGGCAAGCGTTTCATGGGACGTGCACGGTGAAATTAATTTCACTTGGCTGGGTGGGTGAGCACAAGGGGGGGTGCGCTGGTTGCAGAGACTGGGAGCCCCCAGGGCAGGGGGTGGGGGGAGGGAGACTTGGCTGCAGAGTTGAAAAGCAGGTACTGGGAGCGGGGCGGGTTTGCAAGGAGAATGAGAAGATCCTGTAAAGCAGGTGACGGGGAACCATAAGCCCTCCAGATGCTGCTGGGTGGACTACAACTCCCATCAGCCCCAGCAAGCACGGATGATAGCCAGTTAAGCTATGGAACTCACTTCTGCTGGAAGCATTGATGGCCAGCAACTTGGATGGCTTTAAAAGAGGATTGGACAAATTCGTGTAGAAGAGAGCTATGGAGGGCTGCCAGCCAGAGTAGCTATGCTCTTCCTCTATGGTCAGAGGCAGGAATGCTTCTGAGGACCAGTTGCTAGAAGCCACAGGAGGGTTCTTGTGCCCAGTGGCGTAGCGTGGGTTGTCAGCACCCGGGGCAAGGCAAGTAATTTGCGCCCCCTAACCCGTGGATTTGCGCCCCCTAACCCTAACCCCCAGATGTTGCGCCCGGTGCAGCCGGCCCCCCCTGCACTCCCCACGCTACGCCACTGCTTGTGCCCAATTTCTGCTTGAAATTTTCCCTTTGTAAACTGGCAACTTTGATAACAGGATGCTAGACTTGATGGACCTGATCCAGTAGGCTCTTCTTATGATCTCACATAATTCAGAAGCATCCCGAGGGCCAAAGGATCCCCACATCTGCTAGAGGGCTATTGATCAAGGGTGGGAGAACACTCATCAAACTTCCTCATTTGCCCTTTGTAGCAATTTTGGCCAAATGACCTTCCCTACATGTGCCATCATATATGATGTCAGGTGTGGGGCAGGTAAAGATTCAGCTGGGCTAGTAGGGGTTTCCAGGCACTGCTGATCAACTGATCAACAAGGACAACCAGCTGATCACCAGCGCAGGCAAAACAGGCCACTTGATGCCATCAAGATAGACAGAGGGCAGGCCTTATGCATTGTCCTTCTATTTTGTATCTTCAAGGACAGACTAGGGGCTTTTTGAATGTCAGCTGAAAAGTTTGGAAGCGGAAGCTGGACTTGTTCATTCATCTAGCTCATTATTGTCTACACTGACAAGCAGAGGCTTTCCTGGACTCCAGACAGGGAGACATTCCCATCCTTACCTGGAGAAGTCAAGGATTGAATCTGGTACCTTCTGCAGGCAAGGCAGATGTTGGACCACTGAGCTATGGTCCTTCATTATACTACATCAGACCGTTGGTCCATCCAGCTTTGTCTTGTCAACAATGAATGGCTGGCAGAGTCTGTGCAGGGATTCAGGTAGAGGTCTCTCCTAAGCCCTACCTGGAGACACCAAGGATTGAATCTGCATGCAAAGCAGATGCTCTTCCATTGAGCTACATCCCTTTACTCTACTGAGTCTCACCCATCTAGCTCAGTATTGTCAGCACTGACAATATTCTCCAGGGATTCAGGCAAGGGGCATTGCTGGTTCTACCTGGAGATGCAAGGGATTGGAGTGGGGATCTTCTGCATGCGGCGAAAACGCCATGCCATTCAGCTGTGGCCCTTCCAAGTTCAGGGAAGAGGCTTGCAATACCCTTGAGAGGCTTCCCCTTCCCTGCCCTCCATGGCAACAGCCCTTTGTGAAGCTGGATAAATGAGTTAAAAGCAAGCAAGCAAAGGTGCCGTTATACAAGGACATGCATCGTCCACGGGGCACCTTCAGTCCTGTTCAAGAGTCTGCTGGTGCAGGGGAGGCAGGTGGCACTGAGCAGACTGTGAAACCAGGCAGGGAGACAGGACAATGGTGGAATTAATGAGGAGATCGATGTGGGGGCTGGAGCATTGCCAGCCTCTGAGATGTGCACCACAGCCTGCGTCAGTGTCCGAGTCCGTGGGACTTGCTTAGAGAACCTTGTGTAGGAAAACACTTCCCTGTCCCTGCTTCGTAGGTACTTGGAACTGGGCCCAGAAACAAACGGGCAGCCTGTGATTATTAACCAAAACTTTGCAGTTCTCTGCACGGTGGCGTAAACCCTGGACGCAGCTAGCAGTTGCATTTGCCTCCAGAACACTGTGTGCATCCTAGGACTAGCTCTGGAAGGTGTCTAGGTTGGGTATTTGCCCCAAAGAGGGTTCACCCCAGCCCTGGCAGTGCCACTCCTTCCCTTCCAGTTGCCACAGAGTATCCAAGACAATCTGATGCAGCCTGGGTGAATTCTCAGCTTGCATGTCTCACCCCCTTGCAGGTTGGGAGTGTCCATTGAAGGTGCCATTTTCCCGGGCCCCCAGAATTATGGAACCAGTACCAAAAATGTACATGCACAGATGCCATGCTGGCTGGGGAAGGTCTATAGCTCGGTTGGAGGAGCATCTGCTTGGCATGTAGAAGGTCCTGGGTTGAACCCCTGACATCTCCTGGCAGGACAGGGAGAGACTCCCTGCCTGAAATCACAGAGGGTCACTAGGCCACACCCATCACTGACCCTACTTCACACACTTTGGGGAATGTTTTTGCCTGGCTGGAATGTGCCCTTGAACTCTGGCAATACCAGTTGCTTGCCTGGAAGGAGCATAGAATCATAGAATTGTAGAGTTGGAAAAGATCCAGAGGATCATATAGTCCAGTGCTTCTCAACCTGTGGGTCCCCACATGTTGTTGGACTACAACTCCCATCATCCCTGACCACTGGTCATGCTGGCTAGGAATGATGGGAGTTGTAGTCCAACAACATCTGGGGACCCACAGGTTGAGAACCACTGATCTAGTCCGACCACCTGCAATGCTGGAATGAATATGCAACTGTCCCATATGGGGATCGAACCTGCAGCCTTGGCGTTATCAGCACCATGCTCTAACCAACTGAGCTATCCAGGGTTGCTTTAAATGAGCCTACTGTACAAAAGTCAAATCGCCATTCCATTGCTCTGGCTACTTTTGCTTCCGGCTCTGCAGACCACTTGCATGTGGCCCCCAAGAGGTTGTCCTTGGGCTGAAAATACTTCCCCGCTCTTCTCTACTGCACCTGGCAGCAGCCTTGCCTCTCAGGGTTGAGAGATTTGGAGCACAGCCCCTATGACAACTGTAGCCTTCAGGAAAGTCCCTTTCTAAGTTAAACAGCACCTTGATTTGAGCCTGGGGAGCAAGCCCCCTTCTCTCCATCTCAGCCTACCTGGGCAAAAACTCACTACAGTCGTACCTCTACTTACATAGCCCTCTGGATACGGAATCTTTGGGTTATGGCCACGGCAAACCTGGAGGTATATACTTCTGGGTTTCGCCGCGCACGCATGTGCAGAAGCGCTTTGTGCGCCTTGTGCATTTGCAGAAGCGCTCAATCGTGCTGTGCACATGCACAGAAATGCGCCTCCTATTTACGTAATTTTCGGGGTGTGAATGGACCCCCGGAACGAATTAAGTTTGTATCTGGAGGGTCCACTGTACTTCTACGTGTTCTTATGATAAACAGAACCATTTCCTACCTCCCTGTCTTTTCATCAGACCTTCCTGTACTCCTCAAAGCGGTATTCTCTTTGATGCTGTGTCCAGGCTTCTGAGGTGCCTGTGGCCCAAAGGGCATTATCAAAGACATTTCTGGAAGTATAGTTGGATCGCCAAACTCTGGCGCAAAAAAGAGATCACTTGGGGTTTGTGCACAACTTGATGCCACAGCCTTTGAAGCAAAGAGATGAAAGGGAAGATTGAGCACAACTGCTGATCCCAGGAACATAAGAATGTTATATGAGCACTTTCCCCACCTGCAATCCCCAGTAACTGATATTCAGAGCCCTCCTACCTCCAGCCGTAGAGGCTGGACATAACAAGCCTGGCTAGTAGCCATCAATAGCTTTATCCTCTATGAGTTTGTCTAATCTCCTATTAAAGCCATCCATAAGAATGTGATAAAAGTCTGACTGGATAAGGCCAAAGGTCCATCCAGCCCAGTATCTTGTTCTCACAGATGTCCCAAAGGGAAGCTCAGATGCTGGACCACTCTCTCCCCAGTTGCAATTCCTAGCAACTGGTGTTGAAAGGCAATGCTGAGTTAGATGGACTCAGCATAAGGAACTTTCCTGTGTCCCAAATCAGCCTTCCCCATGGTGGTGGTTGCATCTCATAAGAACCGTGCTGGATCAGGCCCAAGACCCATTTATTCCAACACCCAGTTCACACAAACACCAGGAAATAGTGTTATGCCTGAACTACTCATCCCTTCTCTTATGTGTTGTGACAGAACACTTCTGGGTTTTGTCAAACCACTGTTTCCCATTACACCCAAACCAGGAAACTATGGATAGCTGAAAAGCAGAACCAGAGCACAGAAGGTCTCGCCCCATTTGTGATTCCCAGCAGCTGGTACTCAGGGCCGTTCTGCCTCCAACAGAGTAGGTTGAACGTAGTCATTGCAGCTGGTAGCCATTGATAACCTTCCCCTCCATGAATTTGTTTTATCCTCTTTTAAATCCACCCAAGTAGGTGGCCGTTGCTCCCTCTTGTGGTAGACAATTCCATAGTTTGTGCTGTGTGAAGATGTTCTTCCTTTTGTCTTTCATGAATTTTCCGATATTCCGCTTCAATAGAAGTCGGAAGTCTGGACCAAAGGCGAAAGCAAGATGCAGGACCAAGGAGCAACTGCAGATACAGAAAAACACTGCAGATCAGGAAGACCTGCTTAGTCAAGCAAGGCTCAGTTGGAACAAGAAGTCCTCTTATGCTCGTTCCTGCACAGGGGGCTCCAGTGGCAGCTTGGATCAGCAGTCAGTCTAGGGCCTGAAGGTACCTCCCAGAAAAGGCTACCAATGTAGCCCAAAGGTTAACCACATGGGGTAGCTGTAAAGAAATCTAGCAGTTATGGAACTCTGACACACAGCTGAGAACTGTGGGGCATAGTCTAGAGGTGTGGCCTTCCAGAGGTTGCTGAACTACAACTCCCATCATCCTTGTCATTGGCTATGCTTGCTGGGGCTGATGGAAGCTGTAGTTTAGCAACCTCGGAAGGGTCCAACATCCCCCACACATGCTCTAGAGGCTTTCTGGACATCATTATTGCTTCATGTGAATTGGGATTATGCCCGAGAACATTGATCGGCCACTGGTGGGTGTGGACTGATCTAAGGTGGACCGCAACAGGGGCACAACCAACATACAAAGACATGGCAAAAATGGGTCCCCAAATGCATGGAATTGCATACTCTGCAAGCGTTCAGGGAAACAAGGGAGATCCTGTTTTCCCCCACAACAGCAAGGCAGTCATTACCCTCCCACAGACACACTTTACGCAGGAAGGTTGACTTTCAATGTCTTTGTGAGACATCTGTCTTTACAAGGAATCTCACCTAACATTACTGTTTTGAGAAATCCAATTTAAGCTTACAAGGAGTCTCAAAAGTCCCCTGAACCTAGTTGGAAAACCTCCATCCTATGACACTGATCCGTCCACTGTATTCTTCCCAGAGTCCCTCCAGAACCAAAGAGCATTGTAAATCCAGCTCTCCTGATACTGACGTCTCTGAGGCACTCAGACACCCCCTCCCTTGGCACACAGCAAGGGAATGATCACCACCTGCCGACAGAAGTCAATCAAGGAGCCAGATATGAATTAAGTGGACCATGTCCCCAAAGCTGGTTATTGAGGAGGTCTGCAAAGTCCTCCAGAGCCTGACGCATAAAAATGCATTCATTATACATTTGGCATGCAAGCAAGTCACGGCCTGATGGTGGGAAGCATAATTGGTGCCTCCGGGGGTTCCAGTGGCTCATCAACACACCTCGAGATGATTCAAGATGTGAAGTTCAAATGTGAAATGCACATTATTATTTTTCTAATGGACAGGTACTGCAGACCGACTCCCAGCTCAGGATTTCAACACCCTCTTCAATTTCAGTCAAGTGGAAACAGGCACATTAAACACACATGCACGCGCATGAGAGAGGGAGAGAGAGAGAGTTATGGTTCGGGCAAAGTGAGATGACCTTTCCCGGAAGCACTTGTTTTCCCAGCAGGCATGCACATTTAGGGAGATGCTTCCTCAATGGCATGTACAGTGGTACCTCGGGTTACATACGCTTCAGGTTACAGACTCCGCTAACCCAGAAATAGTGCTTCAGGTTAAGAACTTGGCTTCAGGATGAGAACAGAAATTGTGCTCCGGCAGCGTGGCAGCAGTAGGAGGCCCCATTAGCTAAAGTGGTGCTTCAGGTTAAGAACAGTTTCAGGTTAAGTACTGACCTCCGGAACGAATTAAGTACTTAACCCGAGGTACCACTGTAGTTAAGACTATGGAACTCGCTCCAACAGGAGGCAGGGATGGCCACCAACTTGGATGGCTTTGAAAGAAGATTAGACAAATTCATGGAAGGCTCTCAAGGGCTGCTAGCCACAATGACTTTGCTCTCCTTGCACAGCTGGAGGCAGTAATGCTTCCCAATGCCAGTTGCTGGAAGTCTCAGGAGGAGCAAGTTGCTGGCTAATTTATTTATGTACACGACGACAGCAGCACAAATATTGTGTGCCCAAAGATGGAAAGAAGGAGAGGTTCCAGCAAAGGAAGATTGGCTTTTGGCAATGATGGAGTACTGGCAGAACTGGCAAGATGAAGAGCAAAGGTTGGAGACCAAAACGACGAAAAATTCCTTGAGGACTTGAAACCTTTTATCGAGTATTTCAAGAGCTATTATAGTGAGATGAAAATATGAGCAGGACTTGAAATGTGAGCAACAGTGTGAATTATTAAGATAAATAGGTTAAATTGAATGTATTAAATAATATAGGCGGAAATAAGCAGTGTTCAAGGGTAAATATGGAAACCATAGAAGGGGAGGGTGGGAAGTCAATTGATAAAGTAAACTTATGGTTTATGTTAAAATTTTAAAAGTTTTTTTTTCTTTGTGAAAAATTAATAAATAAGCTTTTTAAAAAATCATGGGGGCTATTGATGGCTATTAGCCATAATGGTTATGCTCCACACCACCACAGTTGAAAGCAAAAATGTTTACCAGTTGTTGGAAACCACAGGATAGGAGAGAGCTCTTGTGCTTGAGTCCTGCTTTCTGGTCTCCCACTGGCATCTGGTTGGCCACTGTGAGAACAGAATGCTGGACTAGATGGACCATTGGCTCTCCCTCTACCAGGCTCTTCTCATGTTCCTAGATCATAGAGTCCAAAAGCTGGAGAAAGCTTTTAAGTATAATTGTTTAATTGCACACTGAACTGGAGAAATGCCTGTATGTATATCGCTGAAGGGTTTAATACTGGCAAAATTCCATTGAAGCATACTGAAGCTCTCTGAGCTCTAACAGTTTGATAATTCACTGTTGATGTTCTTTGCTTGGTCTCACATGAGTGTTTAACCTTAAATTATGTGAGTAGAGCATTCAGTTGCAAATCTCCATTTTGAAGGGAGTTGCCTGTTAGTCTTTCTCTATGGCTGTAAAGACCAATGGGGGGGAAACATGTTTGTTACAGCTGGAGCAGATTAAGGCATCTGGTTATGCTGTTGCAGATGCACAATGGTGTTTATTCTTTCTGTGCTCCTCCCAGTGGTCATTTCTCCTCTGGTCACTGTGATAGATAGACGACTTGACCTCCTGTCTCCAGGCACTTCGATTGTCTGCAAGGGATGGTAGGGTTGATGTTGCCAGCCATCATGTCCTGTTTGCAGACATCTTGTAACGCAGAGTTGGTCTGCTAAATTGGTTACCCAAATTCTGTTACCCAAAATTCTCCTGACACAGCCCATATGGAAGGCATTGAGGCATCACTCCTAACAGTTGTAAGTTGCTCACAGCTCACTTCCATAAAGTGGCATGCTCAACACACAAGCTGGTAGATCTTCCTCTTGGTATTGGATGTTAGCATCACATTATTATTATTATTATTATTTCTTACCCATCCTCCACTTTAAGGTCCAAAGGTGGGGGACAGCACTTTAAAATTGAATATTAAAGACAGTTTGAAAGAAATTACAGTCACAGGAATAAAGTGGGGCCTGAAAATCTATATCTCAAGTGGCAAAGGCCAGGGTAAAGAGGTGAGTCTTTGGCATACAACAGGAGCAATATAATGAAGGTGGCCGGACACACCTTTATGGGGAAGGAGTTCCACAACTTAGGGGCTGCCACAAAGAAGACCCTCTCCTAGGCCACCTGTCAACAGATACCTGAGGGTAGAGGGACTACTAAGAGGATCCCCCCACAGCCAGGGAAGGAAGGGGTCTTTCAGGTGTTTGGTGCCTGAGTCACTTGGGCTTTAAACACCATAGTGATTACCTTGAATTGGTTCCGGAAATGAACTGGCAGCCAATACAGCTGTTTCAAAACAGGGGTTAGATGAGTTCTCCAAAACTAATTAAAAGCACCTTGGGTAGCAGAGCTGGGAAATACCTCTGGCTGAGACTGAAGTGTTTCTGTGAGTCAGATCAGCCAATGCCGGTCTCTATGAATCACTGGCTTGACTCAACCTAAAGCAGCTTCATCTGTTACTGTGCTACAGTACATGCGAAAGGTTTTTGGGGAGTACTGTAGCTCAGTAGTAAAAGCACGTGTTTGCAGGATGAAGGTCATAAGAACTTAAGAAGAGCTTGCCGGATCAGGGCAATGGCCAATTTATTGCAGCATCCTGTTCTCAACAGGGGCCAACCAGATGCACATGAGAAACCAGCAAGGAGGACTTGAGTACAAGAGCTCTCTCCTATCCTACGTTTCCAGCAACTGGTATTCAGAATGCTAGATGCCATTCCATGGTGGTAGTGGTAATGATTTATTGCCGACCCTTCATCCTGAAGTCTCAGGGTGGTTCAGGTCAAAGGCCCATCGAGTTCAGCATCCTGTTTTCACAGATGCCCCAAAGGGAAGCTCAAAAGCAGGGCCAGCAGTGCTCTTGTGATTTCCAGTAACTAGTATTCAAGGGCATTTACTGACTCTGGCAGTAGAGGTGGAATATAGCCATTATGGTTAGTAGTCTTTGACAGCCTCATTCTCCATGAATTCGTCTGATTCCATCCAAGTTGGTAATGATCCCTGTGTTCCTGTGGAAACAAGTTCCGCAGTTTGACTATGTGCTTCATGAAGAAAGAATTGCTATTATTTGTCTTGACTCTTCCAACATTCAGCTTCCTTGGGCGTCCAGGAGTTCTGGTGTTATGAAGGAGGGAGAAAAACTTCTCCTTATCTATTTTCTCCACATCTTGCATGACTGCAGGCTTAATTTTGCACTCTGCTTCTCTCTCTCTCTCTCTCATATCTATCTATCATCTATCTATCTATCTATCTATCTATCTATCTATCTATCTATCTATCATCTATCTATCTATCTATCTATCTATCTATCATCTATCTATCATCTATCTATCTATCTATCTATCTATCTATCTATCTATCTATCTATCATCTATCTATCTATCTATCATCTATCTAGATATAGAGAGATAGAGAGAGAGAGAGAGAGAGAGAGAGAGAGAATACCATAAAGAAGGCTGATCGCCGAAGAATTGATGCTTTTGAATTATGGTTCTGGAGGAGACTGCATGGACTGCAAGAAGATCAAACCTATCCATTCTTAAGGAAATCAGCCCTGAGTGCTCACTGGAAGGACAGATCCTGAAGCTGAGACTCCAATACTTTGGCCACCTCATGAGAAGAGAAGACTCCCTGCAAAACACCCTGATGTTGGGAAAGATGGAGGGCCCAAGGAGAAGGAGACGACAGAGGACGAGATGGTTGGACAGAGTTCTCGAAGCTACCAGCATGAGTTTGACTAAACTGCGGGAGGCAGTGGAAGACAGGAGTGCCTGGCGTGCTCTGGTCCAGGGGATCACAAAGAGTCGGACACGACTAAACGACTAAACAGCAACAACAACATCTATCTATCTATCTATCATCTATCTATCTATCATCTATCTATCTATCTATCTATCTATCTATCTATCTATCTATCTATCATCTATCTATCATCTATCTATCTATCTATCATCTATCTATCTATCTATCTATCTATCTATCTATCTATCTATCTATATCATCTATCTTATCAGTCATCTTTTTTTTAAAAAAATAATTTTTTTATTGATTTTTAGATATAATTTCCAACATATAGCATATTTTCTTATACAACATTTTGGACTTCCATCAACTACATCTGAATATTTTTTTCAGTCCTTATCACTTAATCTGCATTTCATTAAGTTCACTATTACTTTTAATAGTCCTTAACTTATAATTCTATTCATAAATTTTCTCTGCAATATTTCACAAAGTCCTCCTTACAAAACTTCTTGTAGTCCTACTAGTGTAATCTGTTGATTACAGTTGCTTTTCAAATAGTTCACATATTTACTACAATCTTCTGAGAACCTCTGATCCCGCTGATTTCGAATCCTTCCTGTCATCTTATCCAATTCTGCATAGTCCATTAATTTCGTCTGCCATTCTTCTTTCGTCGGTAATTCTTCTTGTTTCCATTTCTGTGCCAATAGTACACTTGCAGCCGTTGTCACATATAAAAACATTTTATTATCTTGTCTATTAATATCCTCACCTACAATGCCTAGTAGAAATGCTTCTGGTTTCTTTTAATAAATGTATATTTCAACATCTTTTTCATCTCATTATATATCATTTCCCAGAAGCTTTTCACTTATCTCTTATCAGTCATCTATGTATTTGCATGTATGCATAATAGATACATGCACTCGGACCAGAATGACTCTTCATTAATCGACTTTAACCGAGTCCTCCAGAGCTGGAACACCATAGTGCAGTTCTACACCATGAACACCAGAGGCAGCAAAACTCTTTTAAACTGACCCCCATCTATCTTCTTTATTCAAAGCAATTGTTGTCAACGGAAAAGAGGTCCCTTGGGCGTTGGACAATGGGGACATTTGTCCCATGTGATGGATTTTACAGGAAGCAACCAGCCCTCTATACAAGGGTAGCCCTTTATTTTGACCACCACTGATCTGCCGTGACAGACCCAGTGGAGGCTCAAGGATGCGGTGGCAGTTATGGGGAATGGGGAAGTGGGGCTGGAGCGGGAGAGAGAAGGTCTGTTCCACTATCCCTAGCTGAGAAGCAACCTGAGGAAGAAAGAGAGAGGAATGGTGGAGGTGCAGGCTGGACCTCTCAGGTAGTGTCTAAACATCTACATCAAGTGTGGGGAATGTATGGCCTTCTGAGTGTCTTTGGACTACAATTCTCATCATCTCTGACTGTTGGTCATACTGGCTGGGGCTTATGGGAGCTGGAGTTCAACAACACCTAGAAGGCTGCAAAAATTATGCCAAGCAATTACCTTCATTAGTTAGAGTCAACAGAAATCTTGTAGTAAAAATTTGAACTATGGATTGATTAAGGACTTATAATAATTGAAGTTAGTGATGAGATGCAGAGTGAAAATTAAAACATAAAGATCCACAAAAGGGGGAGGCAGAGGAAAGTAAAAAGGGATATGATGTTTGTATTTCATTTCTTTCATTGTTATTGTTTGTAAAACTGAAAATTTAAAAAAAAATAATTCAAACACACACACACATCTGGAAGGTTGCAGGTTCTCCATCTTTGCTCTAAAGTTAGTGTTGCCATATTTCATGATCCAAGCACAGAAGTTGTTGGGCTGCTGGACATTTCAGTGTTTTCTGGACATATGGCAACCCTATCTAAGTTGTTGAGCCAGGGAGCAGGCAGCAGACCTGACGATCTGTTTCTCAGGCCCTTCTCATCCTCCACCTGAGCAGAAGCTGGCACCCACCCATCACACACAGCTTGTGGTTCCTGTCTCCCCTCCGGTGGCTTTCAACAACTGGTTTTCAGAAGCATTTCTGCCTCTGACTTTGGAGGCAGAGCATAGCCATGATGGCTAGTAGCCATCGATAGCCCTCTCCTCCATGAAATTGTCCAGTCCTCTTTTTAAGCCATCCAAGTTGGTGGCTGTCACTGCTTCCTACAGGTGTGAGTTCCATCGTTCAATGGAGTAATGGCATTACTGCGAGACACAAGAGGATATGGTGGAAATAGGTCTGATGCCTGAAGTGCGACATAATCTTGGCTTGGTCCAGCAGATACTCACTTACAGAGCATGGTCTGTGGCTTCAGTTAAAGCAGAGATGGGAAACTGTACCCCTCCAGGTACAGGATGGGAGTTGTATTCCAGGTGTATCTGGAATACAACTCCCATCCTCAGTTGGTTAATTACCTGCCCTGGGCAGAGTTGTGCTGCCCCTGAAGGAATGATAGAATTGTAGAGTTGGAAGGGACCCCAACTCTTAGTATATAAAGCCCTTAATGGCTTGGGACCAGTTTACTTGCGGGTCTTTTAGTGTGGCAGAACCCACACTTCGGAACTCCCTGCACATTGATATCAGAGGGGCACCTTCAGAGTCTGCCTGAAACATTTCTGTTTAGGCTAGCCTATCCAGACACATAGGTGCTGATGTGGCTTAAGCCCTTTTACTGTTATTTTTTATATTTTTAAACATTTTGAATTGTTTTAAACTCTTTTTACTGCTAATTTTAACATTTCCTTCTTTGTGAATATAATTTTATTAAGTTTTCTGTTTTACAATTTAAAATACTCATTTTATATCCTTAAAATATCAATGACTTCCCTTCTTTTCTTTTCATGGTTCATTTTACATACCATAAATCCCTGCATATTTTACAGAAACTATACTATTCAGTATTCCATTATTGCATCCATCAAAACTTGTTTACACTGTTGGATTTATCTTAATGCTATCAGCATTTTCAGCTGTACACAATTATTTCCCATATATTCAATAAACGTTTTCCAGTCTTCTTTACATGTATGTTCTTCTTGTTCTCTTATTCTATAAGTTAAGTCTGTGAGTTGTGCATATTCTCTTAACTTAATTTGCCATTCTTCTTTAGTTTAGGACCTTGCTCGTTTTCCATTTTTGGGCTAACAAAACATAGGCCACAGTAGTAGCATACATACATAACCTTTTTTGACACCTGGGAATTTCAGTCTGAATTATCCCCAACAGAAAGGACTCTGGTTTGTTGGGGAAAGTACTTTTAAAGGGATGACAAACCTAGACGGCATCTTAAAAAGCAGAGACATCACCTTGCCGACAAAGGTCCGTATAGTTAAAGCCATGGTTTTCCCAATAGTGATGTATGGAAGTGAGAGCTGGACCATAAAGAAGGCTGATCGCCAAAGAATTGATGCTTTTGAATTATGGTGCTGGAGGAGACTCTTGAGAGTCCCATGGACTGCAAGAAGATCAAACCTATCCATTCTGAAGGAAATCAGCCCTGAGTGCTCACTGGAAGGACAGATCCTGAAGCTGAGGCTCCAGTACTTTGGCCACCTCATGAGAAGAGAAGACTCCCTGGAAAAGGCCCTTATGTTGGGAAAGATGGAGGGCACAAGGAGAAGGAGACGACAGAGGACGAGATGGTTGGACAGTGTTCTCAAAGCTACTAACGTGAGTTTTACCAAACTGCAGGAGGCAGTGGAAGACAGGAGTGCCTGGCGTGCTCTGGTCCATGGGGTCACGAAGAGTCGGACACGACTGAACAACTAAACCACAGCAACAACCTGGTTCCATGCAAAGGGTGGTGTGATCTTCACTTGTTTTGTGTCCTTGAGTCGGACACGACTAAATGACTAAACAACAACAACTTTTAATTTTAACATTTCCTGTAAACTGCTTAGAGGTTACGTAACAATCAAGTGGGATATAAATTCTGTTAACTAACTAACTAACTAACTAACTAACTAACTAACTAACTAACATTATCTCTGATCATTGGGTCATGCTTCCTTGAGGCTAATGGGCATTGGAATCTCTCTCTGATCTAGATTCCAGATGTCTACACCACCTGTGGTGTGGATCCTGTTCACCCTGGTAATTCAATGGAACTGATAAGGGAGGAATAATGAATCCCAAGAGAGCAATGTCCCTTTGCTGCCAGGAATTCCCTCGGTATGTACGGAAACTTCAGAGACAGTCAGACAGAGCAAATTTGGCGGTCCTTGAAGCTTACTGTGTGTGGGGGGGGGGGAGAACCACCCTGTTTTATATCAAATGCAGCAATTCTTAAACTGGGATTGCACTGCAAATGTAGAAGCCAGAAACCTCTTCCCTGTAGGCTCAAAGAGTAACACAAGCCATTAAGTTCCTCTGAACTGATCTTAAGCAGACCCCAAATTGTCCAGGTCTCAATCAGCCTGCACAGCAGGAAAAGCAAAGTGAAGTCCATGCAAAAAATGCAGGTGGAGGGAGGGCTGGGCACCTGCGCTTTTGTATATAACCCCAGTTTTTAGATACAGTTTTTAGAAGGCTGTAGAGGGGGGTGTATGGAAGTATGTATGGAAGTGAGAGCTGGACCATAAAGAAGGCTGATCACCAAAGAATTGATGCTTTTGAATTATGGTGCTGGAGGAGACTCTTGAGAGTCCCATGGACTGCAAGAAGATCAAACCTATCCATTCTGAAGGAAATCAGCCCTGAGTGCTCACTGGAAGGACAGATCCTGAAGCTGAGGCTCCAAGACTTTGTCCACCTCACGAGAAGAGAAGACTCCCTGGAAAAGACCCTGATGTTGGGAAAGATGGAGGGCACAAGGAGAAGGGGACGACCGAGGACGAGATGGTTGGACAGTGTTCTCGAAGCTACCAGCATGAGTTTGACCAAACTGCAGGAGGCAGTGGAAGACAGGGGTGCCTGGCGTGCTCTGGTCCATGGGGTCACGAAGAGTTGGACACGACTAAATGACTAAACAACAAAACAACAAGAGGGGGGTGATTTTGGTTTTAACGGGTGGGAAGGCAAGACAGTTTTCATCAAGGCCCCATCAGTTTTCTAACCAATGACTGGTGCATTTGGCAAAAGGAAAGGGAACACAGGAAACTGCCTCATGCTGAGTCAGTCCTTGGTCCACCTAGCTCAGTATTGCCAGGACGGACCAGCAGCAGCTGCCCAGGTTTCAGGCGGGGCGTCTTTCTCAGCTTAACCTGGAGATGCCAGTGATTGAACTTGGAACCTTCCACACGCAAAGCAGAGGCTCTATGGCTGAGTTATGACTCTTTCCCTAAACATAAATTAAGATTCTAGTCCTCATGGTTCTTCTTCTTCTTCTTTTTTAAAGGACTGAATTAAATAGGAACGTAGGAAGTTGGTATAGACTGAGTCAGAACATTGGTCTGGCAGCAGCACTCTAGGGTTGCTATTATTGTTGTTGTTGATGTTAATTATATTTATATATTTTGTATCATAAGATCTCAGGGTGGTTTGCAAAATAAAATTAAAACAAGTAATTAATTAGAGTTTCAGGCAGGGTTGATGTCAGGAAACTCTCCAAGCCTTACCTGGAGATGTCAAGGGTAGCACCTGGGACCTTCTAAAAGCAAGGCAGGTGCTCCAACCACTGAGCTATGGCTCTCCCCCCAGTGCCTCTTTAGTGAGGCTGGCACTCTCTTCCCACTGCTATCATTCCTAGTGGAGATGCCAGGCACATCCCCACCCCCCATTTATGGCAGCTGCCTCCTCTTTGGGCCTAGATCTGAAGGTGCACCAGCCGAGCTCTGATTCACAGCAGCCGTTGGAGAAGCTTTGACAGCCCACTCAATAAATATAAACAGAGCCCTCTAAACATAATAAGAAAAAGCAGAGGAGAAAAGATTGCATTTATGGGAAGATATGTTCTCCTCCTCTCCCCTCCAGCTACAAACATTTTGCTATGCTGAGGGCGTTTTTTCCCATTCTCCAAACACCGCCGGAGGCGTCTCCAGTGAAGATCAGTTGAAGCTCCCTCTGCCCTCTGGGTCTCCAGAAATCTCTTCCCTCCTTTGTTTCTTCTTTGCAGCCCAAAGCTTCTGTTTTGTTATTTTGCATCAAAAAAAGCAGCTACATTGCACTCCATAAGTTTACTCCTGGTGTAATTGCACAATTCCCCTGGGCACCACCACAGAGATCCTTACAATTTTTTTTGCCTCTTGTGGCCACAATAAAACCCTTTTATCCACTGAGGATGACTTGTCAACTGTTTAAACCTCGTTTAAAGAAGATGGACCTTGCCACAGTTGCATGTGTTCTGGTCACATGCAGGCTAGACTGCCGCAGTGCAATCTCCGTGGGGCTGTCCTTGAAGATGGCTGAGATGCCGCAGCTCAATTGCTTGTGAGGGTCAAGCAACTGGCGCTTCTAAATAACACCAGTTCTGGACAACCGACAGGCGGCCAGTACAGTGGTACCTTGGAAGTCAAACGGTATCCGTTCCGGAAGGCTGTTCGACTTCCAGAACGTTCAGAAACAAAGGCGCGGCTTCTGAGTGGCTGCAGGAAGCTCCTGCAGCCAATTGGAAGCCGTGGAACCCACGTAGGAAGTTTGGGTTCCAAAGAATGTTTGCAAACCGCAACACCCACTTCCAGGTTTGCGGGGTTTGGGAGCCAAAACGTTCAACTCGCAAGGCATTTGGGACCCAAGATACGACTGTATAGTGCTTTCATGTTCTCACTTTTCTGCCCCAGTCTTAAAAACTAAACCTCATGGACATCTCACGAGGCTGAATGTTAGAAGATTCGGGACAGCTAAAAGAAAGATTTCTTCACCCAATGCATAGTTAAACTATGGAACTCACTGCCACAGGAGGCAGTGAGGACCACCAACTTGGATGGCTTTCAAAGAGGATTAAACAAATTCATGGAAGGCTCTCAAGGGCTGCTAGCCACAATGACTTTGCTCTCCTTGCACAGTTGAGGCAGTAATGCTTCTAAGTGCCAGTTTCTGGAAGCCACAGGAGGGGCAAGGTGCTGTTGCTCCCAGGTCCTGCTAGCGAGTTTCCCTTTGGGGGCATCTGGTTGACCAGATGCTGGGCTAGATGGGCCATTGGCCTGATCCTGTAGGCTCTTCTTATTGTTCTTATGCTCCAAATCCTTGGATGTCATTTTCCGGAGGATTCATATACCGTATTTTTCGCTCTATAAGACATACCAGACCACAAGACGCACCTAGTTTTGGGAGGAGGAAAACAAGAAAAAAAATATTCTGAATCTCAGAAGCCAGAACAGCAAGAGGGATCACTGCGCAGTGAAAGCAGCAATCCCTCTTGCTGTTCTGGCTTCTGGGATAGCCACGCAGCCTGCATTTGCTCCATAAGACGCACACACATTTCCCCTTACTTTTTAGGAGGGAAAAAGTGAGTCTTATAGAGCAAAAAATGCGGTAGATATTACAGAGTATGGGGGGAACAAGATATTTTGGACCCATCAGCACGACCATTTATTTGGCTGGGGCTGATAGAGGTTGCCTCCCAAAACACCTGGAGGGTATCGGGTTGACAAACACTGGCCTAGTGCAATTTTTTTCTTTCTGAATAACAATCATTTCCATTGAGCATCTCTGCCCAGACCTACACATGTCCTTTCCTGCAAAGAGAACTAGAATTCCATCTCGATTACCAGCTGCGCTCGATTTCTATTTACCTGGGCTGCGACGCATTGGACTTTGATCTACCCTTATCTCCTGCGGTGTCCAGAGCTGTAAATCACCCCAGGAGGACCAGGGAAATGCAAATTCATTTTCTTTACCCACCAGGCATGATGTGGATGTAGAGCAGTGAGGTTTCTCAGACAGGAACCTCCAGGTCCAAGTAGCATCACCCCCCCCCAGAAGGTACGGACGTGGTGTGGGTCATGGAGAAGAGAAGGAGGGATTTATTTCCAAAAGACCTCTTCTAAATTCTCCTCGGTAAATTGGATCCAGGCTGAGGATCCAATTACCTGCAAGTAAAGGTAAAGGGTAAAGGGACCCCTGACCATTAGGTCCAGTCGTGGCCGACTCTGGGGTTGTGGCGCTCATCTCGCTTTATTGGCCAAGGGAGCCGGCGTACAGCTTCCGGGTCATGTGGCCAGCATGACTAAGCCGCTTCTGGCGAACCAGAGCAGCGCATGGAAATGCCATTTACCTTCCCGCCGGAGCGGTACCTATTTATCTACTTGCACTTTGACGTGCTTTGGAACTGCTAGGTTGGCAGGAGCAGGGACCGAGCAACGGGAGCTCACCCCGTCGTGGGGATTCGAACCGCCGACCTTCTGATCGGCAAGCCCTAGGCTCTGTGGTTTAACCCACAGCGCCACCCACGTCCCCTTACCTGCAAGTAACCCACTGAATTCAAATGGGATATACTTCTGAGCAGACGTGGTTAAGATTGCATTGTTAGCCATGCTTGCACATTGGAACATAAGAAGGTGCCTTATGCTGAGTCAGATTGCTGGTTCACCTAGATTAGTATTGCCTACACTGACTGGCAGCAGCTGTCCAGGTAAGAGTCCTTCCTAGACCTACTTGGAGATGTCAGCTTGGGACTTTCTGCATGCAAAGCAGGTGCTCTACCACTGAGCTGTGGTCCTTTAGTGACTTACATAAACCAAGAGGTCTTAAGTGAGGCAAATTGATTTCAGTGGGACTGCTCTCAATGAGACTAATCTAAACCCAACCCTGTTTTTTAATGTATTTCTTAAATTTATATACTGTCCGTCAGGAGTGCCAACTTGGCTCTGCAACTGTGGGTGCCCAGGGCTGTGGGTGCCATGCAGTGTGCATGGCCCTGGCACCAAAATTTGTGGGTGCCCGGCCCCTTCATGGGGAATTTTGTGGGTGCTCAGGCACCCAGGGGACCAGGGAGTTGGCACCTATGCCACCCATCGTCCCAAAAGCTCAGGGCAGTGCAAAGAATACGATACAAGATACAGACACAAGTTTTAATATAGGAAGCTGCCTTACTCCAGGTCAGACCACTGGTCCATCCAGTTCAGTGTTGACTGGCAGAATCTCTCCTTGGTTTCAAGCAAGACTCTCTCCCAGCCCTTTCTGGAGACACCAGGAAGTGAACCTCATACTTTCTGCATTCAAGATGGATGCTTTCCCCCTAAGCTATAGTCCTGCCCTCTCCACACTTCTCTGTATAAAATTCTCATTTGTGGGATTATTTTCCCTGCCTTTTTTTGCGATGAACAAGCTATTTTGTGCCAAGCAGCCCAACAGAGGGAGACTTGAACCCAGCATTTTCAAGCCTCCCGGCCTATTGACATCAGGCAGGTGCCTTCACTGGTTTCTTTTCAGTGCCTGCTAAAAACGATTTTGTTTAGACAAGCGTACTCAGATGTGAGTTGTTTCTTTTAGTTTATTGTTATTTTAACTTAAGTCTTAAATCATTGTTGTTATTTTTTCTTATTGATATTTTTATTGTTTTATCTTTTTTGTAAACCACACTATTGAGTGGTGTATAAATGTTATGCAACAAATAAATAAAAATGGCTGCTGCTGCTTGCAAAGCAAAATCTTATTCGTATCCAGTTATTTAATAGAATCATAGAATTGTAGAGTTGGAAGGGACCCTGAGGATCATCTAGTCCAACCTCGTGCAATGTAGGAATATGCAGATGTCCCTTAGGGGGATTGATCCTGTGACCTTGGAGTTATCCGCACTACACACTAACCGACTGAGCTATCCACAAAAGCAATATCCAGCATGCAAACATGCCATACTTCAAAAGAACAAGCCCCTTTCCCTATGATACCCCTTGTCCCCATATTTGAATACACATTTTTTATTATTAAAAAAAATTAACTTTGCAGGAATGTGCACAGACAGACAGACAGACAGACAGGATGCCGTGTGCCTGAGCCTCTTTTCCAGCCCACTCCAGATAATAAATGTAGCTGAATATGTTCCAAGCTGCAGCTGTTCTGTGAAAAGCACATCCAGATCCATTGTGAGATGAAACTTTATGTTAGGGGTGACTAATTTGCATGCCCTGCTTCAGAACCCAGTGCGGAACATCCCCTTTCAAGAAACCTGCCGTTCCATTCTTCTCAGATTTCCATTCCGCCTGCTGGATCAGGCCAAGGTCCCATCCTGCTCAGTATCTAGTCTTCACAGTGGCCACCCAGGTGCCCCAAAGCAGGACCCAGATGCAAGAGCACTTTCCCCTCCTGCAGTCTCCAGCAGCTGATACTCAGAAGCATTAAGAACTGAAAAGGACCCTGCTGGATCAGGCCAATGAGGGGCCATCTAGTCCAGCATCCCGTTCTCACAGTGGCCAGCAAGATGCTGTGGGAAACTTGCAAGCAGGACCCGATTGCAAAGACACTCTCTCTCCTCTTGCAGTTTCTAGCAACCGGTCTTCGAAAACGTTATGGCCTCCATCAGCAAATAAACAACATTTGGCATGTGCTCAAAACAACCTCCAAGGGAATAATCGTGATTTATTTGGAAACAGGGAGCCAGGAAGAGGGGATGCCCTCGCTCAATGAGGACACCTGGAGTGTATGTTATAACCAGCAATCTGTTTGGAAAAGGGCACAGTGCAGGGGTCAGCAAACTATGGGCCGGGGGGCCGGATCCGGCCCAATCGCCTTCTCAATCCAGCCCATGGACGGTCTGGGAATCAGCATGTTTTTACATGAGTAGAATGTGTGCTTTTATTTAAAATGCATCTCTGGGTTATTTGTGGAGCATAGGAATTTGTTCATTTCCCCCCTCAAAATATAGTCCGGCCCCCCACAAGGTCTGAGGGACAGTGAACTGGCCCCCTGCTGAAAAAGTTTGCTGACCCATGGCATAGTGTTTGTAGGGGGTGGGGGAGAGCAAAGGCTCCAAAACTCACGCTGTCTGCAGCCAAGATGCTTAGAAAGCTGGGGCAATTCTAATCTGTTTTACTAGTTCAACTTTTGTATGTTTTAAGCAGAGACATCACCTTGCCAACAAAGGTCCGTTTAGTTAAAGCTATGGTTTTCCCAGTAGTGATGTATGGAAGTGAGAGCTGGACCATAAAGAAGGCTGATCGCCAAAGAATTGATGCTTTTGAATTATGGTGCTGGAGGAGACTCTTGAGAGTCCCATGGACTGCGAGAAGATCAAACCTCTCCATTCTTAAGGAAATCAGCCCTGAGTGCTCACTGGAAGGACAGATCCTGAAGCTGAGGCTCCAATACTTTGGCCACCTCATGAGAAGAGAAGACTCCCTGGAAAAGACCCTGATGTTGGGAAAGAGTGAGGGCACAAGGAGAATGGGACGACAGAGGACGAGATGGTTGGACGGTGTTCTCGAGGCTACCAGCATGAGTTTGACCAAACTGCGGGAGGCAGTGGAAGACAGAAGTGCCTGGCGTGCTCTGGTCCATGGGGTCAGTGGCGTAGCGTGGGGGGTGCAGGGGGGCCGGCCGCACCGGCCGCAACATCTGGGGGGGGCGCTGTCACACTCGCAGCTCTCTGCCCCTACTAAAATCCACGGGTTAGGGGGCGCAAATTACTTGCCTTGCCCCGGGTGCTGACAACCCACGCTACACCACTGCATGGGGTCATGAAGAGTCAGACACAACTAAACGACTAAAGAACAACAACAACAAGGTTGTATCCCACCCCCAATTGATTTTACTGTTTTATCTTTTGTAAGCCACTCCGAGGCGGTTTTTTGTTTGTTTTGTTTTTACAATGAAGCAATTTATAAATTTCATGAAATATATAAAACAGGAAGCCTTGGCCAGGCTCCCAAAAGCTTCATTATGCAAACCAGGAGCAGCAAACCATTTCACCCGCCTGCTACCATCTTTTAAAGAGTTGAGCTCCTGCTGAATGTCTCTCTGAGGACAGGAGGAGCTGAAAGGAGACTGGTCAAATAATAGCACAGATTTGCAAAGCAGGCAAAATTTCAGGGGTTCCCACTAACAATGCTACAAGGTTCAAAATGATCACTATGTGAAATGAAGCCGAGAACAGCTGTTCTCATAGTGAGTCAACAGTGTGATGCAGCAGCAAAAGAAAGCTAATGCCATTCTAGGCTAACTCAACAGAAGTCGAGTGTCCAGAGCAAGGGAATTAATAGTACCACTCTATTTTGCCTTGGTCAGAGCCCACCTGTGTCCAGTTCTGGGCACCATAGTTTAAGGATGAGAATGACAAGCCGGAAGGTGTGCAGAGGACTGCTCAAGGCACTGGAAGCCAAGCCTCATTAGGAACAGCTGAAGGGACTCAACTGGTCCTGAATGTGGGGGACTCCCTGGTCCTGAATGGGGTAACTGTGCCCCTGAAGGACCAGGTGTGCAGCCTGGGAGTCATTTGGACTCACAGATGTCCATGGAGGTGCAGGTCAATTCTGTGTCCAGGGCAGCTGTCTACCAGCTCCATCTGGTATGCAGGCTGAGAGCCTACCTGCCCACAGACTGTCTTGCCAGAGTGGTGCATGCTCTGGTTATCTTCCGCTTGGACTACTGCAATGTGCTCAACGTGGGGCTACCTTTGAAGGTGACCTGGAAACTACAGTTAATCCAGAATGCAGCAGATAGATTGGTGACTGGGAGCGGCCACCGAGACCATGTAACACCGGACCTACATTGGCTCCCAGTACGTTTCCAAGCACAGTTCAAAGTGTTGGTGCTGACCTTTAAAGCCCTAAATGGCCTTAGCCCAGTATACCTGAAGGAGTGTCTCCACCCCCATCGTTCAGCCAGGACACTGAGGTCCAGCACCGAGGGCCTTCTGGCGGTTCCCTCATTGCGAGAAGTGGGGTTACAGGGAACAAGGCAGAGGGCTTTCTCAGTAGTGGCGCCCACCCTGTGGGACGCCCTCCCACCAGATGTCAAGGAAATAAACAACTATCTGACTTTTAGAAGACATCTGAAGGCAGCTCTGTTTAGGGAGGTTTTTAATGTTTGATGTTTTATTGTGTTTTTAATATTCTGTTGGAAGCCTCCCAGAGTGGCTGGGGAAACCCAGCCAGATGGGCGGGGTATAAATAATAAATTATTATAATATTATTATTATAGTTGAGGGAGTTGAGTATGTTTAGCCTGGAGAGGAGAAGACTGAGAGGTAATTGGATAGCCACCTTCAAATATCTGATGGGCCGTCCCATGGAAGGTGGAGCAAGCTTGTTTCAAGCTGCTCCAGAGGGGACCCAAACTGATGGATTCAAATGGCAAGAAAGGAGATTCCAGCTAAACATTAGGAGTCACTTTCTGATGGTGAGAGCTGTTGAACGGTGGAATGGACTCCTTTGGGACTTGGTGGACACTCCTTCCTTGGAGGTTTTTAAGCAGAGGTTGGATGGCTGCCTGTCAGGGATTCTTCAGCTGTGGTTCCTGCATTGCAGGGGTCAGACTAGACAACCCATTGGCTCCCATCTGACTCTACAGTTCTATGATTCTATAAAAGCATCACCATCAAAACACAGTTGGCTGGGCAGTTATTTTGGGAGAGATTCACCATCAGTTGTTTACTCCGAGAAGATCTCATGGAGGAAGGCTGCGTACACATTGTATATCGAGAGCACATTTAAAGCGCATGAGTTTAATCCTGAGAACTGTAAAATGGAAATGGTAGCTCTGAGAGGGGTATACTACAGTTCCTTTCTTTGGGGAAATCTGTGTGCTTTTAAACATATGGTGTGTCACCAAAAAGTGAATCGATGGTTGTTAGGAGTGGAAATAACAATAGAACCCCCAGACTGAGAAGGCAATCTACCAGCTCTTGTGGTGGTGGTGGTAGGGTTAGCAAAAACAATGAGGAATGGTTGCTGTTCTCACCAGAGCCAGTTCCAAGGTGTGGCACACCTCACCAGCAAATTGCCTTCCATTGAGCCCCTTCCTACATCATTGGACACTCTCCTTTGTGGTGGCCCTCAGTTGACTCGCCTGGCTGCAGCAACATCCGCAAAGCTCTGATCAGCTCTGGTCCACAAAGAGCCAACATTTCAATTTCCCACAATACCTCAGAGCGACACTATATTGGGTGCCCTGTGGATTGTAAAAATGGCAGCTCCCAGATTTACAATCCAACACTCTCAGACATCTCCAAGATTAGATGGCATAGTCTGAACCAGATTTCAGATCTCAGCTTGTAAACAGACACCGCCGGCATTTTCTTGTGTTGAACGTCATGGGAAACTGTGGCTTGGCATAACCAGAACTGAAGAGCCGGATATGAACCACAGTGGGAGCAGGGTGAGAGCATTTTATGTCACCCTAGTGCTCACTAGCTGATGAAGCCAGGATTCGTTACAGCACAGAAATCTCTAGATTAAATAAATAAATCTCAGGTCGATCTGGGGAAGCCCTGAGTAATCACACATTTAGAATCTGCAAGCCCACAGGGCGGTGAGGAGTGGGATGTTAGCTGGAAGATGAAGTGCAAACACGGCTTGCAAAGAAAGGGTTAAGCACACTTCTTATCTGCTCAGAATTGCAGCCCCCAGCAGCTGCTTTTCATTTAAAAATGAACAATCACAGCCTCATTACACCTGTTTGTGGGTAACAAACAACTCGCTCCTCAATGCCACACAGTGTGACTGTAATCAGAAGCCACAAAAATGGCTCTATGTGCTAGCTATGCACACCAAAGGCACATTTTCTCCCCCTCTTCTCTCCCTCCCACCCACCTCCATTGCATTGGTAACATTGCGAACACAGCTTTGCTAATGTCAACAGCAGTTTCCCAGAGAGGTTCCAAAATGACCACAGCAAAATGCTGTCCAGCTAGGCTTTATTTTAGCAGTTTCATATTCTTGGGCATTTTGGATTGAGTTCTCCAGTGCATATATCCAAGGGCAAGATTTTTAAACGAGGCTGAGAAGCCTTCCTCCACCCCACCCTAACCCTGCCTCACACAGTAAAGAATTTGAAATGGTTGTCTCTTGTCCTGAACCTTCTCTATCATTATCATGACAACGCGAACCACGAGAAACGTATCAGCAGTGATAAGCAACTGTAATCTGCTCTGCATTGCCACCAGCTCCTGTGTTCTCCAGGTTATAGCCCCCTTGCCCGTATTATGTAAAAAGCGCAATGATGCACTTTGATGGAAAGATAGTCTCGCCCCTGTGTTGCATAATCCATGTAGCTTGGGAAGAGCAAACCATCACTTTCCCAGGCCTGGCATATTATACGAATCAATGGTACTGTTAGATCGCAATGAAATCACAGCAGCCGACTGCTAGGCAACATCCCTGCCAGAAAAGTCTTGAGGAGTCAGCCCCAATTTGCTGAGATTTCACCCCAACACTTTGCATTGTTCTGAGGCAACCTGAGCATTACACAGGGAGCCTCACCTAGACAGTTACTGAGATGGCAATTTTTTTTGTTATTTCTTTCCGGGCACTGAAGAAGTGCAGGGAGGTCCCTGCTCTGTTGCAGAGAACTCCAAGGTATATCTTCATGCCATTCAACATTTTGCAGAAAATAATAATAATAATAATAATAGGAACTCATGTAACACCCCCAGCCTCATCCCAAGGGATTCCGCCTCACCCCTCCATGGGGATGGAGATATCAGCCCATTCTAGGTTTCTCTGCTTTTCAATGTTTCAATCATACATTCAGTCTGTCACATTTCCGCAGCAATTCGCGATTTATTTCTTTATTGCAAAATAATAATTTAAAAATCCTCACGGAAAATCCATCAGCATTTTTGAATTACTGTCTTCTAATAAATACTTTTGTGTGTGTGCCGTTTTTGATTAATATACACATTTTTTTGCAAGCTACGTCCCCTGATCTAATGTATTTTTGTAGGTTACTTCCACAAATATATACATTTCCAAGCCTCCTTCCTAAGATATGCGTTTTTTGTACACATCGGTTGGAGTACTGCATTGCAAAATTCGTAGAAGGGCAAATTTCGAAGGGTATTCTGCGCACCAGATCACATACTGGTTTGAGAAGAAGTGCGATTAAGAAGCTTCTCGTTAAATCACAAACAAAATTGGGTTTCTCTTTGTTGCCTATTAAAACTCACCACCTGCCGTATTATTACAGATTGCTATGCTCCAAATACTGCTGTTTCTCCACATTCTCTGTTCCTTGATTCTACAATTGTCTTTCTCCCATTAATCCAAAAGACGAGCAGGTGTTCCTTTTTGCTGCTGCTGTTGAAGGTGCACAAGAAAAGCACGCCGGTCCTACACACTGCGGTGATGTTGACAGCTTGGAATCTATGTCACCAGCTCCATTCTGTGAGGTGCCAACCTGTCCTCTGCACGGGACCTTAGTGCTCATGCATCTGCATGCATGTGCACTAAGGCTGAGATGAATTGCATTCCATGCTGCTGAATTTCGAGAGACCTTGGAGGAGGAAAGACTGTAGCTTGGAGGTAGAGCACTGGATTTGCATGCAGAAGGTCCCAGGAGCCCAAGCCTTGGTACCTCCAGGAAGACTCCACCGTAAAACCCTGGAGAACCACTGCTGGTCAGTGCAGACAATGATGTGCTAGATGAACCATTATCTGCTTCAGGTAGCTTCCAGTTCTCCTGTGTGCTAAGGAAAGTGCCCTGGCTCTGTGGTGGAGCACCTGCCTTGCATGCAGAAGGGCCCAGGTTCAATCCTCAGTACCTCTGGGAATGACTCTCTGACTGAAGCACTAGACAGCTGCTGCCAGCCAGTGTTCCCCAACCAGGAGCACTTGCAAGATCTCTGGATGGTTTGCAGTTGATCACCAAGGGTTCCTGATTTGCCTGGTTAGGGCCACATTCATACTGCACATTTAAAGCACTATGATGCCACTTTAAACTGTCATAAAAGGTAAAGGTAAAGGACCCCTGACAGTTAAGTCCGGTCACGAACGACTCTGGGGTTGCGGCGCTCATCTCGCTTTACTGGCCGAGGGAGCCGACATTTGTCCACAGACATTTTTTCCAGGTCATGTAGCCAGCATGACTTAAGCACTTCTGGCGAACCAGAGCAGGGCACGGAAACGCCGTTTACCTTCCTGCTGGAGTGGTACTTATTTATCTACTTGCACTTTGACATGCTTTTGAACTGCTAGGTTGGCAGGAGCTGGGACTGAGCAACGGGAGCTCACCCCGTCGCAGGGATTCGAACCGCTGACCTCAGGGTGCTGAGAGTTGTTAGAAGGACCCTACCCCATTGTTCTTTCCTAGAGCCACAATTCCCAGAATTCCCTGTGAAGAGGAATTGACTCTGGGAGCTGTAGCTCTGGGAGGAGAACAGTATCAATAGGCACCCATGTGTCAGATGATCAGATATGAGTCAAAAGATGCTACGAGCTATGGAAAAACACAGTTTGGAGAAAAACCTCAAGGAAGGAACCTCAAGGAAAACCCATAGCCCAAAGCAGGTCCCAGGTTCAATCCCTGCCATAGTAGGACTGGGAGAGATTCCATGTCTGACACCCTGCAGAGCTGCTTCCAGTCAGTGCAGACCATATTGGACTAGATGGACCAATGGTCTGATTCTTACTTAATTCAGTTCTCTTTTTTCAAAAACCATAAGGACTAGAATCTTAATTTATTTTTAGGAGAAGGGCAGTAGCTCAGTGGTAGAGCACCTGCCTTGCATGCAGCCGGTCTCAGGTTCAATCCCCAATGGCATCCCCAGATGAAGCAGTGAATATTACCTGCCTGAAACCCTGGAGAGCTGCTGCCAGTCAGTGTCGACAATAATGAGCTAGATGGAGCAATGGCCCCACTCAACGTAAGGGAACTTCCTCTTTTCCTTTGTACAGGCATCCTCCAATGTTCCACCCTGCCTCCACTCCTTTAATAGTTGGATACAAAGGGCATTTGAGCAATCATCATTGGTATGGCGAGCTACACCTGCTGAAATCCCCCTTTCCTTTACGCAACTATGAAAGGCGCAGGAGACCCATCTTCTTTTCTACCTGCTCCCTCCACTGCAAACTAGGTGATCAGTGGATGTATTGTGCTCCTGCAACACACAGGGAGAGGTGGTCTTGGGGATGCCCCTGCCCACCTATTTATGACTGCTGCATCAGAAGGAAATCAGCTCAGATACCACCACGCCATGTCCAAGGCTCGCCGTCTGTTCCACTGCATGTGTGAGGCAGTAATATCAGGCTCTGCAGTCGAAAGCCATCTCAGTGAAGAGCAGAATCAACAGCAGAGTGTGCAGATTTTGACCCTTCCTTGAGGATGTCCCCAAATGCACCCCTCTACTCTCTCCCGTATGGGGACGTGAGTGGTGCTGTGGGTTAAACCACAGAGCCTAGGGCTTGCCGATCAGAAGGTCATCGGTTCGAATCCCTGTGACGGGGTGAGCTCCCGTTGCTCGGTCCCTGCTCCTGCCAACCTAGCAGTTCGAAAGCACATCAAAGTGCAAGTAGATAAATAGGTACCACTCCAGTGGGAAGGTAAACGGCGTTTCTGTGTGCTGCTCTGGTTCAGCAGAAGCAGCTTAGTCATGCTGGCCACATGACCCAGAAGCTGTTCGCTGGCTCCCTTGGCCAGTAAAGCGAGATGAGCGCCGCAACCCCAGAGTCGTCCGCGACTCGACCTAATGGTCAGGGGTCCCTTTACCTTTACCTTTACCTTTACTCTCTCCCGTAGGGTGAGAGGTTCTCTTCCACCGTCTAGAATAAATTGTTGCATCTGAGGTCTCTGCTTGCAGGGAGAGCCTTGTAGTAGGGACAGGCTGTGGATTCAGGGGAAGAGCATCTTTTCTGCATGCAGAAAGTCCCAGGTTAATCCTAGGAATCTCCAAGCAGGGCTGGGAAAGGAAGACTTCCCCAATCTGAAACCCTGGAGAGCCACAACTAGTCAGGGTATACAATAGTGAGCTAGGCGGACCAATGGTCTGGCTCAGAATAAGACACCCTCCTATGGCAGGGGGCCTGCCTTTCATGCTGAAGGTCCCAGGCTCAAACCCTGGCATCTCCGGGTAGGGCTTGGAACGTCCCATCTGAAACCCCGGAGAGCTGCTGCAAGCCAGTGTAGACAATACCAAGCTAGATGAAGTAATGGTTTGACTCACTGTGATTTAGCTTCCTTTACAGGACATTCCTTCCATGCAAAAAGGTTCAGTCCCTGAAATTTCAGGGTATGGGTTTCTGCCTGAAACCCCAAAGAGCTGCTGCCAGTAAGTGTAGACAATATTGGACTACATAGCCCAGTGGTCTGACTCAGTATAAGGCAGCTTCCTCTCTCTCTCTTTTACTAGCAATTATAGGCACATGCAGAGGAAAGCCGTGATGGCAAAGCGGACTTTCAGAGCAGGTTTCTGCACAATGATATTATCCAGCACAGCAGCGATGTCCCAGCAGGCAGCTCTTGTCTGCCAAGGGGGCTTGCCTAGGAAGTGGTCCTCTCCTCTCTCTGGCTGCTAGTTTGGCACAACTGATGGGGAATAACTGGGGAATGGCAAGTATCTTTCCATGCATTGCCCAGCAGTGAGTAAAGGCAAACCATTGTTTCCGGATGACCCAGCCTACCTTGGTTTTATGCGGGCAATAAACACATCGGCTTGGATAGGAGCACCTTTTAAGATGTGTGTGTTGTGTATTAATTCTGTGTTTTATGTTATGAAACACCCTGTGAACTTTGGATGAAGGGTGACATATACATTTAATAATAATAATAATAGTTCTAGGAAGGAAAAAGCCACCCCTGCCCTTTCTAAACAGAGCTTCTAAGGATGATGGAAGCCCCAGAAAATCCAGCCCAGCATTCACTAGGGGAGGCAAGAGGAACAGAAGAACATAAGATGGGCTTGCTAGATCACACCAATGACCCATCTAGTCCAGCATCCTGATCTCACAGTGGCCAACCAGATGCTCCAATGGGAAGCTCATAAGCAGGACGGAAGCGCAAGAGCATTCTCCCTACCTGCAGTTTCCAGCAACTGGTATTCAGGAGCATGGGGGCCTCCCATGGTGGAGGGAGAACATAGGCATCATGGCTAGTAGCTATCCATAGCATTCTCCTGTATGAAGAGCTGGTGGTTGAGCATGATTTGAAGAAGGCTGCTGGTTCAGCCTCCCTAGCTAAAAGGGTCAGTGGCTTGAGACCCCAGGGAGCAACTGCCAGTGAGAGTAAGAAGCAGCGGGTTAAGTGAACAAGCAAGCTAAAAGAGGTTCAAAAACCACCCTCAGTGTAGTCTCCAAAAACAGCTTTAGAGGAAGGACTGAAACCCTCAAGAACCACTGCCAGTCAGTGCAGACAATATTGAGCTAAACAGACCAATGATCTGTCTTATCCTTAAGGTTAGCTCCTGAGGATGAGATGCGTTCTAGGAGAAGGGCAGTAGCTCAGAGGTAGAGCAGCTGCTTTGCATTCAGAAGGTCCCAGTAGGGCTGGAAAGGACTCTTCTCTGAAACCCCGAGAACTGCTTCCAGCCAGTGTAGGAAATACTGAGCTAGGTGGACCCAATAGTTTGACCTGACATCCTTTGCATGCAAAGCCGGTGCTCTGCCACAGAGCTACTGCCCTCCACTATACTGAGTCAGGTCATCGTTCCACCTAGCTCAGTATTTCCAACACGGACGGGCAGCTGCTCTCCTGGGTTTCAGATGGGCAACATTCTCAGTCCTGCACAGAGAGGCCGGGGATGGAACCCGGGACCTTCTGCGCTCAAAGCATTTGAACTACAGCCCCTCCCACAGAGATAAGTCTAGCAGGGCCAGCTCCTTGAGGACCTTGATACTTTTCGGATAGGGACTTGTTGATCCGTGCTCAGTCACACACGGCAACAGCCGCCCCTGCCCCCCCGGCACACACTCAAGAGCTCTGACCACTCACCCCCTTCCCCCCGCTTTCCCTACCCCACTGCCAATCTCCATTAAGCCTCTCCTAAAAAAGAAAAATAATAATAACAAACCCGCTCGCCCTGCCACTCTCTGATGACTTTGGCAAATCGATAGATTGACTGAGGCAAGGAAGGGAAGGCGGCGGAGATGGGGGCTGGCTAGTTGCGATTGAGTGTGGAGGGTGGGGGGTGCTTGAGAGGCTTCTCCTCCGCTTCGCCTTCAACCCAAACAGATTGGATTCTTCAAGAGAGGCGAGCGGAATTTCAATCGGGGGAAGCGCAGTGAACGGTCGGGAGCTTTTGGATGGGGGGGGAGGCCGAGCTGTGGAAAGGAAGTGATGGGGGGGTTGAGAGATTCCCTCTTCACAGCCTCAGCTCACGGGTGCAGCAGGCACAGACACCCCCCCATACATACATACATACATACATTCTTCTGCATTGGGGCCACCGCCGTCAGGCTTGGTGATGCCCAAGGTAGACCGGGCGGTGGTGGGGCACCCCACCTGCATTAGGGCATCCACAGCCCCAGGTGCATCTAGGAGGGGAAGGAGGGTTGCTGGCGTGCGTGCTTCCCAAGTTACAACTCCAGGATGAAGCCAGGAGTGGGTGCCTTGCTGGCGAGAGAGACGCATGGAGGAGTCCGTCTCCTTCGTGGACGCCCGGAGCAAACCCTCCATATGCACACCTCCGCTACCTGTTCCACCACCACGCACGGACTGCAGAAAATCTCCCTTCCCACAGAGAGCGAGAGCGAGATGGTGGGTGCAAAAGCGAGGGAGAGGAAGAGAAAGGGGGCGCGGACGGAAGTTTTCTCCCCACCTGCGACACCCCCCATCGGATACCTGCCGGCCTCACAGCCACCTGGACTAATCCTTCCACCGCCCCACTTCCTCCACCCTTCCCTCAACAAACCAGATCCTTTCTTATGGGGTTGGGGAGCTTCCTTGTCCTGAGGCTGCTCGTGTTTCCGCCTCACTTCCCGGACCTGATCCGGACTTGGCCAGGCTTGCACCCCCTTCCTGACCCCGCTCTTTCCTCGCCCTCCTGCCCTTTGTCCTCCCAAGTGACATCTACAGTATACGCGCAAGCACACACGATCTCTGACACGCGAGCACACAATAGCTTCGCCCGCCAGCCAGCCATCTCCTTCTGGCTGATGCGTATTTCGGGGTTTACCCCCAGTTCCTCGACTGCTGGAATCCCTAGGACCAAAAAACCCCCCCAACAAACCAACCCCAAACGTGTCCCATCCTGCCCTCTCCTCTCTACCTGCAACACAGACCCAAGTCAACATCAAAAGATACCCCGGGTCTGAGATGCCACCATCTCTACCTTGGTTGTTTTTCACCGCTGCGGACCATCTCTCTCATCCCAAAAGAGAGAGAAGAAAGAAAGCACCATCACCCGGTTCTGGGGGGTGTTTTTTTTAAACGCTTGTTCCCAAAACAGACTCACCTTCCAGTTCATCTTCAGGTATGTCAACAGGATGCTGCTCCGTTGCAAGGATATTGGGGATGGTATAAATGCCCCGGTACATTAACGCCGCGGTGACTGGGTGGAAAGGCATGGTGGCAGCCGCTCTCAGAAAGCCAAACTTTAATCCCAAATGTCATAGGAAGCGACCTGGCCGGACACACAGCAGCGCAGGAAAGGGAGGCAGGGCTCGCACCTGCCACGGGGCTACCTGTGGTCTTCCCGGAGCCAAAGAGAGAAGCCCCCTCCTTGTCCCCAACCACAGCAGAAACCGCAACTCTTTTAATAATTTTTTTTTTAAGTGGTTGTTATGTTAGTCACAACAGATCCTTGGCGCGGCAGATCCCGACGACTCCGGCTGAAATCGGAGCCTCGCCACCCCGGCCTCGAAGAGATTTAGGGCCACGGTGGAAAGGGCTCTCTCTCTCTCTCTCTCCAAAAACCGCCTCCGATGCTGCTTCTGCACAGGTGAACAGCACAGAGAGACTTTCTCCTGTTGTCCGCATCCAAATAACCAGGTGGCAAAATTCCGGGGGCGAAAGGATTCCCCTCCCACCCCCCACCCCACTTGCCACCCGCCGCAGCCAATTCCTAAACCCCCAGCCTCGAAACCGGGGAGGAAGAGGAAGAATCAGTTCTTCTCCATTCACCAGCAACTCTCTTGTCCCTTTGCTGCTGGCTCTGAGCGTGTCACAACGCAAGGCTGCAATCCTTCCTCGCTGGAGCCTGAAAAAAAAATACTCAGCTGCGGAAGACCTCGTGGAGCTAGATGCTGCACAGCATGGCTCTAGGCCAGCTCCCTGAGGTTGCACATGAGGAGGGGGTGGGAGAAGAAGAGGGGGAGAGGGTGCCACCCCAGTGGCAAGTTTTCCCTCGGTAGGAGTTCAGTGGCAGACTCTTTCTAATTTTTTTTAAAAAAATTAATCTCCCTTTCTCTTGCAGTCTTTGCCTCTCCAATCGGTGTAGCTGTGTGGCTTCTTCCCGCTTTTGCTTGCTCCCTCGGTCTCCCCCTCTCACGCGCACACACACACCCAGCACACGTACAATGCACACATGACTCCCCCCACTACCAACCAAATGAACATCTGAGTGGCGGAACATCTAAATCAATAGGAGGAAAAGATCAGCAACATGCAGGAGAGAGAGCGGGTGGTGGGGGCAGGGGAGAAACATTCACCTCCTTGCTCAGATTTCACCCACCCCTCATCTCACACAAGCCACACTTGAGCACTGCACATTTGGCTGCCCTTGGGGAGCACACCGCACCCACATCCAGAAGGCAGGAAGCTTCCCCCTGCCCAGTGACAACACTGGGTGCTGCCTTATATACCGAGCTCAGTACTGTCGACACTGACTGGCAGTGACACAGTTCTCTCTCCCAGCCTTACTGGGATATTGGACCTCAGACCCTCCGCACGCAAGGTAGAAGCTCTGACTGCTCAGCTACTGCCTCCCACAACCTGTGTGGGTTTTGTGTGTCCTCCCAGCCCTGGAACATGCAGGCTGTTGGCTTAATAACACCTGGAGCCTGGCCAAGCAGTAGGTATAAATGAAAAGAACCCTTCGTTCCTTCTGGGTGCTGTTTTGGGCCTCTCAAACCATCCTTTATGGGGGTGGGAAAGGAAGACAATAGACACACAGGGCAGTGGAGAACCAGTTTATTGAGCACTCCTGATTTGTTTGCGGGGAGGTTAGACGACGTCAGCTGTTTATTGAGCATATATGTTCTGATTTGCTTGCGGGGAGGTCAGGCAATGTTACATCAAGCAAATGTAGTTTCCAGTGCATTTCCCAGTCACTTTCCTTACTGCAAAAAGGTCTGGTCTTTTAAGGAGGCAGGTTTGTCGCACAAGAGCTCCAAATCATCTTTGATTGGGCAAACTGGTACATGATTGTAGATCCCACCTGGAAATTTTAAAATGGCAACAGCCAGGAAGTCCTTCTCTCTCTCTCTCTCTCTCTCTCTCTCTCTCTCTCTCTCTCACACACACACACACACACTTGCCTCATAGTGAGCCAGGCCTGGGGTCCGTCTAGCTCTCTATTGTGTACACTGTGGCAGCAGCTCTCCAGGGTTTCTAACAGGAGGCCCCAATGGATTTGCTGGGGGCTGGATCTAGGGCCTTCTCCTTGCAAGGCAGCCACACACCTTGTATGCAGACAGCCACACTCAGTTTGGTCTTGCTATTCTCTTTCCTATCTTTTGTAGTACATGTTCAAAGGCCTCCCACTTTGCTGGCCAAGCATTTCATCTATTTTTAAATCCCCTGCATCTCCTAAAGAAAAGGAGCCATCGTTTGATTGCAGAGGGGGAGCCCAAAATGGTAGGGAGGGATGGGAATGGATTAAGAAGAGAGAAAGAGCAGAGGCAGTGCTTAAAAAACAACACCATCTCCATTGTGCTCATTTGTCCAGAATTCAGACCACAGCACAAGGGCCTTTGTTGGTTGTGCACCCTGGTCTGTAGAGCACTTAACACCCAGGACCCAACGCATGCAAAGTGGGCACAGGCACTAGCCTTGTTGGCCCTAACCTAAAGTGTCTCCAGCTGGGATGAGAAAGGCCTCCCATCTCTTCTAGACCACAACAAGGGACACTCCAAGGAAGCATCTCTAGATCCTGCTGTTGTTTTTGTTCACTCATTGCATTTAGATCCCACTTTCCCTTCCAGGAGCTGAAGGCATTGCACATGGTTCTTCTCCCTCTCCTGTTTCCATTTCATCTGCCCAAGAAGGTAGGCTAGGTTGAGAGATGATGGCTGCGTGGCTGGAGGTCACCCCTGTGGCTGAACGGGGATTTGAGAAGCCAGGTCTCCTGGGTCCTAGCCTGACACTCTAACTCAGCGGTTCTCAACCTGTGGGTCCCCAGATGTTGTTGGACTACAACTCCCATCATCCCTGAGTTCTGGCCTTGCTAGCTAGGGGTGATGGGAGTTGTAGTTCAACAACATCTAGGGACCCACAGGCTGAGAAAGGCTGCTCTAACTGGTATGCCATACTGTATGATTTTGAACACAGTTGTTGAAATAGCAATGTATCTGAAAGCTTTGCCACTTGGGGCACAGAACAAAGGAACACAGAAACACAGGGAGCTGCCTTATACTGAGTCAGAGCCATTGGTTCACCTAGTTGTCTACACTGATTAGTAGTGGTTCTACAGTATTTCAGACAGGGTCTCTCCCAGCCCTGCCTGGAAATGCATGGGATGTAACCTGGGACCTTCTGCAAGGAAAGCAGATGCTCCATCACTGAGTTATGATTGTTGTTGGTGGTGTTCATCTGTCTCAAGAGACAATGGAGAGTACCTCCGGGGGTGAAGTCAAACTGCTGCGTTAGCAGCAGCTAAGTGGCCTCCCTGTGGCACAAGCCTGGACAGTGTGTGGGGGGGTCCTGAGCTGCCCAGAAAATGGTGCTATCTGCCTTGCATAAGAAGAGCCTGTTGGATCAGGCCAATGGCCCATCTAGTCCAGCAACCTGGTCTCACAGTGGCCAACCAGATGCCCTGTGGGAAACCCTTAAGCAGGACCTGAGCACAAGAGCAATTCTCCCCTCCTGTGGTTCCCAGCAGCTGGTACTCTGAAGCATCATTGCCACTGATGGTGGAGGCAGAGAATAGCCATTGTGGCTAGTACCCATCAGCAGCTTCCATGAATTTGTCCAATCCTCTGTTAAAGCTATTTCCATGTACTGAAGCTGACCAGACCAGCAGATGAATGATCTTGCTTCACCACTGGTAATGGGACAGCAATTGTCACAGCACCTGAGGAAAGAAGACTAACACAAGGCAGGCCACCTGGCACTCCCATTCTGTCCTACAGGATGCTGCTGCCACTCTCCTCCCAGCTTCTTTGGTTGCCTGAGGCTGCTGTCTCACTTTGTTTAATGGTAGGGCTGGTCCTGGAGGTGAGGAAACTTATAGAACTTTCAGAGACATGTGGTGCGATTTAGGGCTAGGGACGTAGAAGATCACCATCCATGCACAGCACATTTAAAGTGCATGGCTTCCTCCAATAATCCTGAGAACCACAATGCGTCCCTTGCAGAGCTCCAATTCCTAACACCCTTAACAAACTACAGTTCCCAGGATTCTTTGAGGGGAAGCTGCAGGCTTTAAAGATGAGATGTGAATGTGGTCTTAGGACAATTTCTTTGCCTTTTTATAGATGAAAACGGGGGGCACCTATTGTATGATGACTGCTCAAGGTCACCTTCTCTCTCTCACTCTCTCTTTCACACACACACACACACACACACACACACACACACACTCTGTTGGAGAAGACTTTACTCCAGCTTCTGCAAAATCCAGGAGTGTGTTTGTGCTTTTGATTAATGGCACACTTGAAAACTGTAATTGCCTTACAACAGACGACCAGCAGTTCAAAATATACATTAGCAGGTACTATGAATGGATTGGCAGGCAGAGTTTAAACACAGGGACTTTAAACAAATGTTGGAAGATTCAGGATAAAATAAAGTCCTTCTTCATGCAGCTATGGAACTTGCTCCCACAGGAAGCAGTGCTGGCCGTCAACCTGGATGAATTTAAAAGAGAACAGGACAAATTTATGCAGAGGAAGGCTCCATAAATGGGTACTAGCTATGATGGCCATACTTCGCCTCCGAGACAGTGATGCTTCAGAGTTGCTGCAAACCACAGGAGGGGAAAAGGCTCTTGTGCTTGGATCCTGTTTGCTGGCTTCCCACAGGCATCTGGTTGGCCACTGTGAGACCAGGAGGCTGGACTAGATGGGCCATTGGTCTGATCCACTAGGCATTTCTTACGTTCTTATGGGCTTACATCCACACACATGCATCAGTGCTGCGATACATTTGCTCCCTGAAGTTTAACTCTGGAAAAGGATGTGAGCCTTGAAGAACAACAACTCCAGCGGCTTGCACTCAAACCAGATGTTGCAAGATGCGGGAGGGAGAACGAGACAAACCAGGGACAGCAATCAGCCAAGATATTGGGAGGCAGAGGGCAAGATGGCACTCCTACCATCCCTTATAAAGAAGCGGACCAGAAGGGCAGCTGAATCTTACTTCAGAACTGTGGCTAGAACAACAACCTCCCTTCCACCTGAGAGCAGCAGCCTAGCTCAGTCTCCTGAATCATGGTGATCATTAACAGATTCGTTTGTTTCTTTGTATTTATATCCCACCTTTTTCTCCAAGGAGGTCAAGGCACTGTACAGTGGTACCTCAGGTTACAGACGCTTCAGGTTACAGGCTCTGCTAACCCAGAAATAGTACCTCAGGTTAAGAACTTTGCTTCAGGATGAGAACAGAAATCGTGTGGTGGCGGTGTGGCGGCAGCGGGAAGCCCCATTAGCTAAAGTGGTACCTCAGGTTAAGAACAGTTTCAGGTTAAGAACGGACCTCCAGAACAAATTAAGTTCTTAACCTGAGGTACCACTGTACACAGTTCTCCTTCTCCTCATCTAATCCCCACAACAACCCTGTGAGGTAGGTTAGGCTGAGAGACAGCCATGAGCTTCATGGCCAAGTGGGGATTTTGAACCCTGGTCTCCCAGGTCCTTGTCCAACACTCTAACCACTGCACCACACTGCCTCGCCACCTCAGTCATGAGTTCTGTAGTTTAACTCTGTGCTGCGTTAATAAGCCCTTTCTTTTATCTGTCCGGGATCTTCCAACATTCAGCCTCATTGGATGTCCACAAGTTCTAGCGTTATTAGAGGAGGAAAACTTTTTCTATCCATTTTCTCTGCGCCATACATGATTTTATAAAGTTCTAGCATGTCGCCTCGCCATTTTTCTAAACTAAAAAGTCCCAAACCCTGCAACCATATACATGGTCTTATAACATCAAAACAAACCTATGCAGTTAGCTCCATTGGTCTGTTCCAATATGTCAAAACATAGAAATTGTAAGCCACAGATATAAATTTAAAGCAGAATGTGGACACGAAAATGAATCAATGCAAACCCAGACCCAGGAACACACTGGTTTTAGCTTGGGCCAATTCTGTATTTGCTGTGGGATGTTTAATAATAATAATAATAATAATAGTTGTTATTTATACCCTGTCCATCTTGCTGGGTAGCCCAAGTCGCTCTGGGCGGCTAGTGGAGACCCTGTTGATGGATTCTCTGCTGATGATTGGCTCAGCTGCCTGTCTGGGTTAAGTCCCAAGGACTGCCATTGGATGAACTGCTCAGATCACAAGGAATGTCACCTCCTCGGGAGCAGGAACTGATTGCTTTTGCCTGAGAAAGGCATAATGCCAACTGACGCCAATTTATGAATGGATATGTGAATGGAAGATCCTAGCACTGGCTAAGAGGCATGCATGGGGCTGGGGGTGGTGTTCAGGTGGGGCCAGTGGTACTGTGCCAAGGGCCCCTTGAGGTATTGGACTGGCCTTGCACTGCACTGGTTCAGTGTCACGCTCCTTGAACCCCCTGCTTTCCCCTGCTCTGCCGCAAGCACACAGCTGAAGCTTTGAGCCATACACATCACTTGCCTCCTGAATGGAGAGATCTGCTAAACAAAAGGGTCTCGCTCTCTGTGAGATTTCCATGACTTTTGATTGGCAGCTGTGGACAGGGAGGCAGGAACTGCGGCTGCTGGGCATGTCAATTATGAAAATGAAAAGACACTCAAATAAACACTTCAATCTCCAGGGTAATTCTCTCTCTCTCTCTCTCTCCTCCTTCCCTGAGCTAGATGACTGGTTGCTCCCAAGCTGCATCACTGTTGAAATCAGTTGTCCTCATCAGAAGGCCAGTGCAGGGGTGGGGGGTAGCCCAGAAGAACAGAAATCCATTCCAGCTCAGAAACCTTCTCTCCTCTCCACCACCTCAATTATTTCCAGGTTTCACTCAAACCCTGATTCTTTCCTACTTATTTCTCACTTTGCCATTGATTAAAAGCAGCTCTGCAAACTTATAAGAAGCAGAAGCACACCTGAATCATCACAGAAAGGCCCTGCTTGCTGAAATGGGGAGATTTTGGCTCTTGGATGGAGACAGACCTCCAGGCTTGGTGGGGCTGGCAGATGTGTAGGCTGACCAGGCACTGCTAGCAAAGGGTGAATTTAGGGGGTTGAGCTGCCACCCTGTGAGGTTGGCTGGGGTGAGAGGCAGTGAACGGCCTACAAAATCCCCCAGTGAGTTTGATGGCCAAGTACGGATTTGAACTCTGGCCTCCCAGCTCCTAGTCTGACACTCTAACCACTGTACCAAGCTGCCTCTCAGACAGAAGAGGACTACTTGCTGCATGAAGGTGCAGTCAGCCCCTGCGTTGGCATCGCTTGTCTGTGCCAAGCTTGCAGACTCACTTGGCAGATGTGAGGCTGCGATCAACTTTGCAGCGTAATGTTTTGAAGCGTCTGTAAGGTTCTGCCGGCGCCAGTCACCCAGAAAGGCTGGAGGGCTATTTAGCACTCTTTGCAGACATCGCACAAATAGCCGACGGGCTCACAGCATATGCTTCAACTGTCCCTATTTCCCAGGAACAGATCCCGTTTCCTGGCACTCCATAAACCATCGTCTTCCCTGTTGCCTTTGGAGGATACCTTATGAAAACGTTGCCAGTGTGATTTCTTAGAGTTGTTGCTCAAAAGGGTTTAGAGTTGGCATCTTACCTTTTTTCCACGGTCACCAATATTTTGGATACATTTGAACTTTGGAGCGAATGCTGTGGGCACCATCTCCCTGGTGATTCTCAGAACACACAAGCACTCCCGAAGACAAAAAAAAGAGAAAGTGAACACATAACACACTTTGCAGAAGGTACCCAGGTTCAATCCCACTGCATCTCCAGGTTGCATGTTTAAAACACAAGAGAACTGCTGCCAGTCAGTGTGGCCAACACTGGCTTAGATGAGCTAGCAATATAGTGGAAGGCTCAGTGGTAGAGCATAGGCTTTGCATGCAGAAGGTCGCAGGTTCAATCCCTGGCTGCTCTAGGTGGGACTGGGAGAGATTGGTTCGAAACCCTGGAGAGCTGTTGCCGGTCAGTACAAGCCAGGCATGTCCAAAGTCTGGCCTGGTCTGTCTCCTCTCCTCTTCTGCTTTAGGGAGCAATCCTAAAAAAAGCTCAACTTTGGGGTTGACCAACAACTTTGGGGCAAAATCCTTAAAAAGGCTCAACAACTTTGGCTGGCCCTCATGCCCTTCATCAGATCTGGCCCTCTTTGAGAAAAGTTTGGACAACATTGGTGTAAGCAATATAGAGCTGGCTGGGCAAGTGGTCTGATTCAGGATAAGGCAGTGTCCTATTCCAGGGGTGCCAACTTGAATAAAATATTGGGGGGAGGGAGGTAAGCCCTGCCTCGCATATTCGATCACAAGACACAGTGTACACATACCTTTTGAATGGTAATACCTATCAACTTGGGGGGGAGCAGCTAGGCTGCCTCAAATATTTTATTTCGGAGGGGACGAAGGGATCTCTTCCTCTAGGAGTTGGCTCCTATGTGTCCCCGTTGTGCACTAAACGAGTAAAGCACACAGCAGAACTCCTATTAACAGAAAGCAAAAGACGAAGCAAATCTGAGGATTGTTCCTGCGACTTAACACGATTGTGTAAATAGAGAACCTTGTTTGGCGGAATGGTTGAAAGGCTAAGCCGTGCACCAGGCAGTCCCTTGTTTAAATCTCATTACCGGTAGGAGTTCATCTAGTGGCCTTTGGCAAACTGCTCTGTTTTTTGAAAGATCCAATAAAACCCACCCCCTGAAAATTCCTTAAACCAAAAGTGTATATACTTATTGAAAAAGGAGTCAAACAGAAGCAAAGCTGATAAGAACAGCTGGCAGCTTCCTCCTCCACCTTATGGCCTCAGTGTTTCCCTTGCAGAACTCAGTATGGAGGAGGATAGAAACAAACCTACTCAGTTGACTCTACCAGGTTGTGTGTCCTGTCCCCCCCATTTTCTCATTTTACAAATATATTTAACAAAAAAACATACCCAGTTCAAGCCTGTTTGCTATTTTCCCTTTGCATTCCCTTTTAATTATTTCTTACTGCGCGGGTTTGCTGTCAATCCTGCTAATGTTTTAAGTTGTTTACAATGAGTCTTCAAACATGACTCCACCAGTTGTTGGTTCTGGAGGCACCTACTGTGGGTCTCCCTGCTTTCTGCAGTACCAGTCTCAATGGACACCAGCTGCCCACAGGCTGTTTGCGATTGGTTGTGCTGCCCTCAGCAGAGGATGTGGGCAGAAAAGACTCTGGGAAGTCTATGAATGGTGTTTTCTTCTACTTCTAGCAGTCTTCAAGTGTATGCAGTGCCAGCACCACAGGCACCGGGTTGCCCTCAAGATCGAAGAGGACTGGCGCACACATGTGACATCAGACGTGAGACATGTGATATCACCTGCTCCTCCCAACACTGTGCAGGCCTGCTTGACTGTTCTGGTCCCCACAGTACTGGGAGATGCTGTCACTTCACACCATAGGTCATGGAATGTTCAGGGGCCCCAGCCCCCTCCTTTAAATTTTTTTGGGGCCCTCACCCCTCACCCACCCCCTTAGATGGCGCCCATGACCGGCACATTTTTCCCTAGAAGAAAAACACTGGTTAAAAGTGTGACACTTACCGTAACATTTTCATGGTGAGTACTGGAACCTTTTATATACATTATCAGGGACTGGGTGGAGACCACCTCCCCAACCTGACCCTTCCAGAGGAGAAGAAGACAGTTCAGAATTACATCAGGAGTTTGAGGGAGATCACAGCTCAGAGGCGGATGAGGGGGAAAGCTGGGAAATAATGGGAGATGAGGAGGAGGAAGAGGGAGCACCAGCTGATGGACACAGTGTCTTTAGAAAGCATTCAAGAGCGCCCTATCCCAGAACCCGGCGAGCCTTGAAAGTAGGAGAGCAAATGGCTCAGAAGCAAAGGGCCCTCAGTGCCACCCATAGAAGAGATGACGAATGAGGAAGTGGGAGAAAAAGAAGGTGGAGAGTCACTCAGGACAACGCCATTATTCCAAGAGGCTGCATTCCCAAGCCTCTTTCTGTAAATATTGAATAATAAGCAGGCGATAAGGACTTTTCCTTGCCTTATCCTTTCCTGGCAACCTGCCGTGGGAGCTGGTTCCTCTGCTGCCTGACATATATATAGAAGAAATGGAAGAATTACAAGTAGACTCAGGAATCGCGATAGCTAAAAAAATAAAATATTTAAGAATTTGGATGACAACAAAAAATATAAACCTGTACAAGGACAACTAAGAAGTGGTATGGAAAGAAATTAAGAAAGATATGGATATATGGAGTAGACTAAAATTGTCATTATTAGGCAGAATCTCTGTGATAAAAATGAATATACTACCTAGACTGTTATTTTTATTTCAAGCAATACCAGTGGTAAAAGGGATAAGACAATTTAAGGATTGGCAAAAAAACTTAGCGAAGTTTGTCTGGCAGGGGAAAAGGCCTAGGATAAAAATGAAGATACTAGTAGATAAGAAAGAGAGAGGAGGTTTTGATTTACCAGACCTGACTTTATATTATGAAGCTTCGTGCTTGGTATGGTTAAAAGACTGGCTGACCTTAGAAAACACTGACCTATTAGATCTAGAGGGCCACGACAATAGTATGGTTGGCATTCGTACCTATGGTACAACAAAGTAAAGGTACATAAAGGTTTTCTAAACCATGTGATTAGGAAATCTTTATATGAAGTATGGGATCGGAATAAAAACCTCCTGGAAAGAAAGACACCGTGGTGGATATCACCAATTGAGGTGCTGACAACAAAAAAAGTAAACATGGAAGGGGAAAGAGTAACATATGAGGATATTACTAGGAAAACAGCCCAAGGGATAAAGCTCAAACCATATGACCAAATTGAAAAGATGTTAACAGGGTGGCTGCAATACCATCAGATCAGTGATTTATTAAAGGAAGACAAAAAGAGAAATGGGTTTGATGATAAAAAATCGAAATTCCAAATCGAGTTAATAGACTGTAAAGATAAAATTTTATCAAGAATGTATAGTTTATTGCTAGAATGGTATACAAAAGACGAAGAAGTAAAGGAATCAATGATAAAATGGGCAATTGATATTGGGCATAACATTGAATTGGATGCGTGGAAAAGATTATGGAAGGAGGGTTTGAGATTCACAGGATGCATGGCTTTAAAGGAAAACTTGCTAAAAATGATGTATAGATGGCATTTGACGCCAGTAAAATTAGCTAAAATGTATAGGAAAAAAGAAAGAAAGTATTGGAAATGCAAAAAGGCAGATGGGGACTATTTCCATATGTGGTGGACCTGCGATAAGGTAAAAAATTTTGGGGAATCAATTTATAATGAACTCAAAAAAATATTTAGATATACTTTCCCCAAAAGACCGGAAGCGTGTCTATTAGGTTTAATAGGAACAGAAATTAAAATAGAAGATCAAAATTTGTTCATGTATGCTACAGCTGCCGCGAGGACCCTTCTGACCCAAAGATGGAAAGTACAAGATATACCAACTATACAGGAGTGGCAGGCAAAGTTGACAGAATATGCAGAACTTGCCAAACTGTCAGGGAGGATCCGGGACCAGGGAGATCAAAGATACCAAAATAACTGGAGTAAATTTATTGAATATTTAAAGAAGAATTGTAAAGAGGTCAAGACACTAGCAGGATTGACATAATACCTCCAATGTATAATAGTACTAATTTGAGAATGATGTGTGTGATGGAAAGAGGATAAATATACCAGTTGTGGGGAGGGAGGGGGGTCGTGACTCGGCAGAGTCAAAGGGAATGTATGGTGCTATTACAATTTGTTGGAAAAGAATATGTAAGGAAAACAATAAAAATTCACTTGGGAAAAAGAAGAAGAAGAAGAAAAGCACCACTGATGACTTTTGCTTGCCTGGATAGATAGAGGTGATGTCTGTGGGTGTGAAGAAACCAGCCTACTGTGCAAAGTGGGGTGGGGAGTTGTATTTGTTGCCCCACCCTTGGCCCCACCCTCCCCTGGCACATGGCTCTCAAGCAGTTGCTCGGAAGGTAATGTGGCCCTTGGGCTAAGCACCCCCACACTGTGTCCTTGAGCGAGGAAAGGCTGGACTTGTGAGATCCCTCAACCGCCCACAGCCTTAACCCACCAGCAGCTGTGCATTGGAGATGTACACAACAGCTGTGTCTTTGTTCCAGCTCGACGTTGCCGTTTCCCCCCTTCTTCCCCCAGCCACTTCATTTTTATTCTTTAGAGCTGCGCGGTCAATTTTCTGTCCTCGTTTCAACCTCCGCAGGCACACTCTGCTCCTCTCACGGGGTGGCGGAACAGATGCAGCGCCTGACAACAGGCATGTGGGTGGCCCACCTTGATACATCTGGGGTGTGTGGTTGTGGGTGTTGCATCGCGAGGGAATTCTGCCTCTTAGGATCAGAGAGGATTCAAGCTGGGAGCCTCCTGTGCTCTGTCAATCATCCCATTGGGTCAGCTACTTATGGCTCCTGAGTGAGGTCAGTATTGCCCATCTGGGGTTCAGCATCTCTAACCTCCAAGCCATCCTGAAGTCTAGGGCTAAGGATTCTGTGACCCTCTAGCTTTTGTTGGACAACAATAACATCCCCATCGTCCCCCTGACCGTTGTCTGTGTTTGCTGAGGCTGATGGGAGGTGCAGTCCCCAAACATCTGGAGCATCACAGGCCATAAGAATCTAAGAACAGCCCTGCAGGATCAGGCCAATGGCCTGTCTAGTCCAGCATCCAGTTCTCCCAGCGGCCAACTAGATGCCCGTCAAGGTAGGAGTCAGGAGCAGGTCAGCAATAACTCACAAGGTGTCAGTGAAGTTAACTCTTTATTCAAAGAAGCAAAGCAGCTCAGTCCTAATGATCAACAGCAGCTCTTCTCAGTAGGTCTTGCCCCAATGAGGACTGAAGCGCCTTGCCTCCCCACACCCCCCTAAGTCTCCTCTGGGTTCTTCCCTAGCAACCTGGGTCTCCTTTG